GCCCCCTGGTGGCGCTATTTATATGTCGACTGGTGCGTTAGAATCTGCTATCTTTATCGATTGTCCAGTGAGAATTTCATGGCATTTCATCGATTGAAAGTCAAGTTATTGCGTTTTAAGGGTCAGTATGTTTGTGTTATCGATGCGAAAATGAGCTTCGAACAAAGAGCCAACATTAAATTTTGTTTTAAAATTGGTAAAACTTTTACCGAAACGTTTCAATTGATGGAACAAGTTTATGGCGATGATTGCCTATCCCGTAGCAGAGTGCACGAGTGGTTTCAACGTTTTCAAAGTGGTCGTGAGGACATAAATGACGATCAACATGTGGGCCAATCAAAATTCGTGATCACCGAAAATTCCATCGAAACTGTGCGTGAATTCATCAGAAATCAGCCGAAACCATCATTGAAATTGATGGAAATGGAATTGAACATCTCCAAAACATCGATTTATCGCATTTCGACTGAACATTTGGGGTTACGAAAGGTGTGTGCACGGTTTGTTCCGCACAAATTGATTGACAATCAAAAATTGCTCAGAATCGATCAACGCTTCTGACCGATTATTTGACCAAAAATCACATTTTAACCATTAACCACTCGCCGTATTCACCTGATATGGCACCGTGCGACTTCTACCTTTTCGGAAAAATGCATTTGCCCATAAAAGGAAAGCGTTATGCAGACGTAGAGGCCATTCAAAAGGCTTGCACCGGCATACTGGCAGCCATACCGGCCAACGAGCTAAAACACTCGATAGACATGCTTTTGGATCATGCAAAAAGCTGTAATGAAGCAGAAGGAGACTATTTTGAATAAAATAAATCGATTTTGCCGAAAAAACCATTTGTTCTGTTTTTTTTTTAAAAAGTCCTGTTTACTTTGGAACATACCTTGTATTGTTCTATGGCGGCACCTGAAACACTGATATGAAACCTGACTAGCTCTTTTTTTCGAATTTCTTAGTAATACTATAAAGATGTTCATATTTCTCATCGGAGCTAAGTAAGTCGGATTTTCCTGGATAGTTATAAAACTCGTCAATCGTCATTTCATTATATGCAATGCTTTCCAGGGCCTCTGTCATTTTATGATCCGGGTTCTTTAACAGCTGAAGCTTATACAACTCAATATACTTTTCAATCAATTCGAACCGTTTGTATTCGGCCAAAGTCCCTTTCATATCAATAATACATTGACAGAAAGCGCCAGAGCTCAGCAAAAAAAGCGCATCAGAATCAAGCTCGTGCGAAAATCTGGATTTTAGTACCTAAGTAAAATAATATAAACGTTAGAGGATTAGGATTAGTAATTAACCATGAAAATAACATAGCCAACATTTTTTAATGGTAATCTGTATGGTATGCCTAGTATAGTAGAATCAACACCGACAATGGCTTAAATTAATAATAATGATTCGAGAAACGGATATGCTGTTTGGCAGAAGTACCCAAAACAAATATGGAAAATTAAAATAAACTTGTTCTTGTAAAAATCACCCTGTTAAGGCTTATGTTATTTTCACGGTTTGGACTTCAACTTGGGCTTAAGTACTTACCGAGGCGATTGTCTTCAAAAGTCTTACATGATTGATAGTATGTGCGCTTTCAAAAATTGGCATAATATGATCAACTTTTTTTATTGATTTAGATTTAGCACGATTTCCAAGTAAATCAGCACAATCTTCGGTTATTGACTTCACTAACCACTTGTCGCCGCACTCCAAGAGTTTCATGAGCATATTGTTACTGCATTTATCGAGTTCGTTTTTGTCGTATGTGTATATGTATGAGCGAAATTTCTCAAAAACTTTCGGTTCCACATCGTATAGGGTGACCTTACCGTCAGTGCCTTCTTTAAAATCCCCCAAAAGCATGCTCTTAAAATAATCACCACTGCAAGCTAATATATTTTTGTGACATTTAAATGTTGTGGATTCAACAATTACTTCAAAATCCGAAAAATGGTTGTCTGTTGCCAACGATTGAAATGCAGACTTCAACCTTAAAATAAATAAGCCACCTTTTAGTGTTTATTACCATTATTATGTGTAGATATTATGATAGATAACTTACCATAAATCCATATTGAAAATAAAGCAATAGTTAACTTATTTTAAAACAACTTTTCAAGTAGTTTTATCTCTCTTGATAATTCGTAATCTGTGGCGATCGAATAAAAATTGTTTTTTGAATGGTTTTATTGAAGCACTGAGATAAGCTGAAAGAAAGTGAAGAAAAACATCAATTTAGTGAATTAGTTTGCTTAGATAAGTACAAATATTGTGTAGATAAGCATACACATGTTTATTGTACAATAAATATATGAATAGTAGCGTAAGACGTTTACAGTGAAAACTCCCTTAATGGACAACTCTTTTATCCGGCACTCTCTTCGGCGAACGCTTTTTCTAAAACATTCGATCGGTGTATAAAGTATTTAAGTATCCCCATAAGCGGACAAAAATTGGTCGACCGTGAGTGTCCGGCCAAGAGACTTTTCACTGTATTATTGTTATTTGACTAGATAAGATACTATTTAAGCTTTCCAAGCTTAAAAGCTTTTTTATAACTTTTATATTGTTCCCTTATGCACATATATAATATACACATAATAAATACATTTATAAAATGGTTGTTGTATGAACATACATATGTACAAGTATATGTAAGAAATTATTTACAACTCAAAAAGGAGCAATTTATTCCATTTCAATAAATCCTTCTTTACCTTCCAAATCAAAAAACAATCAAGCCCAGATCATTTAAAATTGTACTGTTAATTGACAGTTGAAAATTATTTTAAATAAAAATTAAATGCAAATACATATTACTTTTAATAGAACAAAAAGCTAAAAAAGTTAGTTTCCAAAATGTGTCAGACTATGGCTATATTTTTTGTCACGCCAACAGCTCTGTTATTATTATTATTATTTTATTTCATTTATTCACAAAAAATTGGCTCTTAAATTTGTACATTTCTTTTTTCAATAAACACAAAAGAGTTGAAGTTATGTATATAAACGGACAGTATTATGATAACTTCTAATAGCGCACTTTTTATGAAGACACATACATACGTAGTATGTGTATGTATTACATATATACATACATACATACATATGTACATACGTATGATATAGCAAAAACGAATATATATATACATATATATATATATATATATTTTAAATATATTTTTATATATTTTTTTTAAAATATATATATATGTATATGGGTGCGCCATCTTTTATGTCGGTATGTACATATTGAATAACTTTGTCATTAGTGAACCGATTGACTTGAGTAGACCAGTGTTGAAAACCTCAGTTCAAGAAATTGTACAGAACCAAATTAAATAAAAATATCTCATAAAAAAATAAATAAATAAATAAAATCGGTTGTTTATTTTCAAAGATATTCAATGTTTACATACCGACATAAAAGATGGCGCACCCTGTATATGTATGTGTGTATACATGACTCACAATACATTCAAAAGTAAACAGCAAAAAAAAACATACATACATACATATGTATATGTTTTCTATTTCAAAAAGTTAAACACTTGCAAAGGCGAAATATTCACAAATTGATGATGTATTCCAATCGAAGCACTGAAATAAACTGAAAGAATTTGAACAAAACCATCAAATATATACAAAATAAGTATATAAATAAGTAATAAGGGGACTCCCGTTTTAAAAAAAGAAACTATACCCATAATTCTTATCGGAGAAATATTAGATAACTCACCTACTTATTATTATTAGACATTTTTGGAGGTACCAATGCGTATGCGTCAGAACCGGCCTCAGCAAATTGTTATGGCTCGCCGGTAACAAATAAAAGTACATAACATACATACATACATACATATGTACATACATATGTACTTACATAATACGTACTGTTTCTTTCTTCTTTACTATGTACAACTGGCCCTTGCCCCCCTAGAAAAAATCGCAATATGAACTCGACCACACTATTATTCATTATTATCGCCTTAAAATGGAACTGAGTTGGATTTGTTGATCTTGTTCATTTTTATACTCTGTACATAAAATGTACAAGAGTATATTAGGTTTGCGGGAGCTGAAAATGTAACAGGCAGAAGGAGGCGTGGCAGACCCCACAAAGTATATATATTCTTGATCAGCATGACGAGACGAGTCGGTCTAGCCCTGTCTGTCTGTCTGTCCGTCCGTCCGTCCGTATGATCACCTAGATCTCAGAGACTATAAGAGCTAGAGACACCAAACTTTGCACAAAAGGTGCCTTATGTGTGTACGCTATACGAGTTTGTTTTATTTTTTTGAATCCCCCCCCTCCCCCCACTTCCCCCCTATGGAGATTTTCCCGATTTTCCATTCGTATAATCGTCTATATCTCGGAGACTATAAGACCTAGGAACACTAAAATTTTGCAAATACCCCCAGTTAGTTATTATGTGTCCGTATGCCAAGTTTCACTATGATAGACCGATTTAACGAGAAGTTATAGCCATAAATATATTTGCTGCTGCAGCGCAGCTCAAGCGCTGCCCGCGGCTGTTGAAGCTGGTGCTTTGGTTGACTGCACACATGTTTACACAGACACGAATAGATGCGCATAGACATACATACACTCACACAGACGCAATTGCTATGTAAATGTGCAATTATACACCCTTTACGTGAGTTCGAATACCGAGAAAGGTAAAATGGAAAAAATTTGTTTGTAATTCTCTTACTTTTTTTAATTTATATAATTATTCTAAACATATGTACAGAGTATTTCAAAGTTGGGACTCCCGACTTTAGCTTTTTTACTTGTTCCTTCTGGAAATTAGAAACAATATTCTCTTAAGCTTTACAGTATAGCGAAAATAAAGAAGCATACATTTGAGTAGAAACATTCTTATTCTAGGCTGTAACTATATTGCTTAGTTGCCTGGGCAACATATTTCAAATTTCCCTATTAAATAAACAATTGTAGCTAACTGCTGAAATAACGTGTGGAACTTCATAGATTAAAAGGTGGCAAAATGTTTTGGGGTCTAAGCTCAGCATTGGATTTCTATGAGGAATACTTGAAAGCGTTTAAACTCCAGCCGGATGTGGCAGATGCCTCCGGGGAGCAAGGAGTTCAAATTGTAGAGATTACAGATAACGAGCAGTCTGAACCGGAAGTAGAAGCCACTATACCGGAAACGTTGAATATACTGATTTGTGGTGGAGCCGATCCACGTCATGTTATCAAAACCATGGCCAAACGCTACACCCACAACTACAGACCCAAGCTAAACATCTATTTGTTGGATGGATGCGTTGAGATTGCAGCAAGGAATATGCTGCTATTGGGTGTGGCATTGGAGTCACCCGAGGCATTCAATTTAATTAGCAAGGTTCATTTGTTTATGGACATTTACGGCAATACACTGATGAGGCCCAGCTCACACCAATATATGGCGGCCAAGGGTCGAACTCTGCTCAAAATGGTGACCGACGATGATGAGCTACAGCGTTTGGCACCTATCCTAAATATAGAAGGAATGAAATACAAGGAGCGCGACAGTCTTGAAATGGCTTTCAACTTCTGGCAGCCAAAGCCGCAGCACGTGTTCAAAATTGAGGAGTACTGGGAACGACGTGTGCGTGCCCTTTTGGGCAATCGTTATGACCATCGTCAGGGCGCATTCGATTGGGACCTGAGCATGACCCTTAAGGATCGAGAGGCTCAGCAAATTTGCTCTCAGGTGAGTAGGCAGTTGAAAAAATATAAATTCAAATAAATACACACATATGTACAATATAAACATTTGTCTTACCCACCCAGGAATATCGTTACTGGCGCGAGTGTGGCATTGCCTTTGTGTTTCCGGAATACGAGCATTGCAAGCCCAATAAAACTTTTGCCGTTGGCTTGGTGCGCAACGGACAGACCTATTTGCATCGCGGCTACGTGGGTGACGTCCAGACGGGTCCCTTCTGCGCCTTTGGTCTACGTAGTACTGAGGAGCGCATGCACAAGTCGGTTCATGGGGATAATGATTATCGTTCTACAGACGTGACCGAGCGTAACCTGCTTGAGTTTTTCCATGAACTACAGACAAAAACTGCTTACGAGCATGATGAGTCGCGCTCTCGTCGATATGGCGCCGTGCAGCTGCAGATGGGGGCACGCCTCATCTACGACGAAAGCGATGCGCAGGGGCTGGAGAACTATGACAAGCCCTGGGTCGATGTGCCCGATGTGAAATTGCATTTTGTGTCGCCTGAGGAGGTTCTGCAACTGAAGGGAGGCGCAGCGCGTTGGAGGAGCTTTTTTGACGTTGCCTTTGTGGCACAAAACTACTTTCCATTCCTGACAAAGGAGTTCTTCGGCTGCCTACGTGAACAGGCGTTATTCGTACTGGAAACAAAGCTGCTGACCGTCGAACGAAAGGAACAGTTAAGCAGCTACGAGTCGAAGGCTAAGGAGCTATTCAAACAAGCTGAACTACAGCCCGTCATCAACTATCAAGTCATCAATGGCCATAATATGGTGCTGAAGTACAAGAAGAGCATTTCTAACAATTAATTTACAATTTATTGATTATTTAATTTTTCAATTATAGAATCTAAATTTGTATTATGCAGGAAGACAAAAAAATTCAACTGCTTTGGCTTCGTTTCTTTTTCCCCGTCGCCCAGCTGTTCAAATCGAACTCCATGCCCTCCTTGTGGCTGCGCACCTGTTGAGGTGTGTTGAATACTGTCGCCCGGCGTCCATCTCGTTCTGGCTTCATTATACTATCGATTCGTACATTAAGTTTATCTGCACGATTAAAAAGTGCCTTGCGACCTCGCTCCTGCTCCCGAGACATGTCCACAACTTTCCGGCGTGGTACATGTTTTAAGGCCACATCCCAGTCGCCGGTATTCTTCAAGTCCAACATAATGTTAATCATTTGATTAAGAGTCAGTGATTTGCCAGAACACGCACCCCACTGAAGGTAACGATCTAATGGGAGTCGTGCCATACGCAGTCCCAAACGCTTTGCCTTTGCGAGTGAAAGGGGTTCGTTGTTCATAGTATCAACCATGGCCCCCACAATGTAAACATCGTCAGGATTGTATGTGTTGAGTTCCTCACGACAGTGCGGGGTTAGGTAGACCAGATTCTCTTTGGGAAACAATTCTGTAAAGCACTTTTTGTGAATATTCATCGGAAACTCTGGGTTAAACATCGGCGGTATGTAACGCTTCAGGGCCTGCATGCACACGCTATCGTTGTTGAAGTTGCAGTAGTGCAGATCGAAAGGTTCATCATTGGCGCGATTCTCTGCAAAGCTAAGCATCAGCTGCTTAGCAGCATACGATGCTTCGCGATTATTCATGTGAGCATCGTAGGAGCAATCCAGAACTAACTTTGGCGCAAATTGCATGGCTCGCGTAAGGCGATTATTCATCCAGTGATTAATTGTCGAGTCGTAAATGCGCAGAAACAGCGATGTGTGACCCAGGCCATAGATGATGTGAGTGTTCTCCTCACGCTCCTTACGCATTTCTTCCAAACGACGTTCAGTTTCTTCAGCCCGCAGTTCCTTTTTACGCTTCTCCGACTCTTTCTTCATTTCGATTTGCCAGAGGTATCCATAGTATTTTATGCGCGCTGATTTGGTTGGTAATGTCAGCACATGCTCCCAGTGGTGGTCCTGGAAAAATCCTAATTGAGGAACGCGACGTCCTTCCTGATGTGCAATATCGGCTTCAAGCTGTAGCACCTTTAATCGCTTTTCCCGATCGGCTTCGGGCACGGGTGTTGCATTCTCTTGCACTAACGTGGTCTGTGCAAAAGGATTTGATTTTCTTGGTGTCTCTAATTGTCCACGATCGGCTTCTGGCACGGACGTTGCATTCTCTTGCACTAATGTGGTTTGTGCAAAAGGATTTCCTTTGCTTGACGTCTCTAGTTGTCCACCGCCGGCTGCAGTATCATCGCCCGGTGATTGCGCAAACGATTTCAATGACACAGTTAAGTTGCGATAGACGTCATTACGTGTCAGAGGACTGCCTTTGAGTAATACGTTGCATACTCTAAATCGCGCTATGGTTTTCAGCATATTTTTATTAATATTTAAACGAAAACCAATAGATATTGGAGCTTAACCTATAACAGAAACATGTAATTGAACAGCTGAGCGTTTGCAGTGCTGCCATATCTCGCAATTCGAATTAAAATCGGAGTATCAAAATCGGATCTTTATGTGAGTGCTAATCTTGTAAGAAGAAGCATTTGCCGACAAGCGTTTTACGATAGCTTGTAGTTTTTCTTATTCTAGCGGCTAAACGTGCACAGTTTTTATAGAATTCAGTAAAATACAGCAAAGGAGTTGATAACTTTACAAAATGGCTTTGGTTTGTGCTCGTAAGTTTCTAATGAAGCTGCATTTCTGCACGTTTTTGAGGTTAAGATAACGCCGTTGGAACGCACAGTATACAATAAATTTTTTATTCTAGTTACAAACGAAGTCCCCGAGACCCCAGTGGTGTCTCCGCATTCGGGCGCTATTTTCGAAAAGCGAGTCATTGAGAAGTATATAATGGAGAATGGTTGCGATCCCATAAACGGCAAGGAACTAAAGCCAGAGGAGCTTATCGAGGTGAAGACGCCAGCGGTTGTGAAGCCTAAGCCGCCAAGTGCCACTAGCATACCGGCAACGCTGAAAACAATGCAAGATGAATGGGATGCTCTCATGATACATTCATTTACACAACGGCAGCAACTGCAGACCACACGGCAGGAATTGTCCCATGCGTTGTACCAACACGACGCCGCCTGCCGTGTTATTGCACGCCTGAACAAAGAGGTGGCTGCTGCGCGCGAAGCTTTGGCAACATTGAAACCTCAAGCGGGTATTGTTAACCCGCCCACTACTATTCCACAGCCAGCGCTGGCTGCGGAAGCTGGCGGCAGTGCAGCACATCCAATGGAACAGGCCGGCATGAGTGCGGATGTTATTCAGAAACTTCAAGATAAGGCCACTGTTTTGACGCAGGAGCGGAAGAAACGTGGACGCACTGTGCCCGAGGACTTGGTTACACCAGATCAGGTGAAAAGCTTCCTAACAGTGGCCTCTCATCCAGGCCTGCACTCAGCGTCGGTGCCGGGTATACTGGCTTTGGATATAAATTGCGCCGATCACAGCAAAATTTTGACCGGTGGCAATGACAAAAATGCGACCGTATTTAACAAGGACACAGAACAAGTAGTGGCTATTCTGAAGGGCCACACTAAAAAGATTACGAAAGTCATTTATCATCCGAATGAGGACACAGTCATAACAGGCTCACCGGACATGAACATACGCATTTGGCATGTGCCCACATCGCAAACGCAACTTCTTCTGCGTTGCCATGAAGGCCCGGTTACTGGACTCTCACTTCATCCAACTGGTGACTATTTGTTGTCTACATCCTCGGACAAGCACTGGGCGTTCTCAGATATACGCACTGGACGTCTGCTAACTAAAGTCATTGATACGGCCGAAGTTGGTCTTACCACAGCGCAATTTCATCCGGACGGTTTGATTTTTGGCACCGGTACTGTTGACTCACAGGTGAAGATCTGGGACTTAAAGGAGCAGAGCAATGTGGCCAACTTTCCGGGTCACACAGGTCCCATCTCAGCCATATCGTTTTCTGAAAATGGTTACTATTTGGCTACTGCTGCCGATGATGCGTGTGTTAAACTATGGGATTTGCGTAAACTTAAAAATTTTAAAACCATACAACTAGACGACGGCTACGAAGTAAAGGATCTATGCTTTGATCAGAGCGGCACCTATCTGGCCATTGCTGGCACGGATGTTAGGTGAGTTGAATTGTTTATTTAATGAATTCTGAATGAATTTAAACCTTTTGCTTTTGGCGATGTTCTTGAAGCAAACGATGATGCTTTTTAAAGTGCTCCATCCAATTGTGTAGCCGATTTTGTTTAACGAGCGCGCGTCGAGATGTTTCCTTTTCCTTCTCCATGCGTCGACGTACTCGCTGCTCAATACTGCGCAATTCAACTGGTGGAATTTTATCTAATTTTCCCATCAGCTCCTGACAGACGAAATTATTTATCAAATGATTGGTAATTTTAAAATCTATGGTGTACTTACCAAAGCATAGGACTGTATTTTTTCGACTTTAGCCAATGTTGTGTCCTGTTCATCCTCGTATGTAGCGGTCTTAGAAGCTGGTGCTGTTGCCTGCATATCTTCAACAGTGCGCCATTGCTTGGATGATTTTTCCAGCGATTTTGTAGGTCCTGCGTCCTTTTGCTCCTCTGCGTGTACCTTGTTTTGCAAAATCTTCAATATTACGGGCACAACGCTATTGAGCTTCATGTTAAGTTTACTGTGAAGAAAGCATGTGAATAATGTTTCGGGTATTAAGCTTAAACCACTCACTCTTTGCAATATTTCTGCTCATATCCATTTAATAGGTCATGAGCCCGTTTCTCTAATGCGGCCACGCGCCTCTGGAGAAAATCTGGATCTTTTAGGAATGCCTTTGCAACCACTTGCCGTTGATAAGTTTTTTGCTGCAAGATACTTTTGAAATGAAATCTGGAATTCTTCAAAGGCTTTAAAAACATACCGCCTTATGATGTATAATGCCTACAAGATGATTCAATAGTGCTAGCTGAGTGAAGCGGCGATTGTAGTTAGATACTTTCATTCGGTTTTTCTCATAGCCCTTTATCCAAATTTCGGCATTTAGATGGTTGCGTTTAGCGAGGTACGGTCGCACAACTTTGTCCATATATTCCTGAACTTGCTGCACCTGCGCCATTCCAGCCGGATGACGTTCGTTAATTTCCATAGAGACTATTTCCTTGGGCATAACTAGCCCGTTGCTAGACTCTTCAGCGTCTTCCTGCTGCTGCTCGATGGTATCATCAAAATAGCTAATCAGCTTGAGCATGTACTGAAAACGTCCGTAGACCTCTTGAACCTCCATTAGAACGCGTTGATGCTCCAGTTTGACTTGGTTTAATTCTTCGGCCACCTTGTTTTCCTTCAGCTTCTTCAGCTTTTCTTGAGCCTCCAGCATTTTCTTGAATTCGCGTGCTTCCATTTTCTTCAGCGATTCCTCTGCAAACTTGTGAAAAACTTGAGCATCCACATATATTTGATTTTGTTGTTCTATTTCTCGCTTTTTATCCAGAAACATCTCTTGTGTGGAATAATACATAAACTTGTTCCGGGTTATTTCACGTAAACGTAATATATCACTGTTGTGTATAGAACGCATTTAAAAAAAAAAAGACTTAGGTATGAAGTAGCCGTCCACTTACGTTTTCATGCGGAACTTTTTAGACAAACGCTGTCGACTTGCATCTTTAATATAGTCCGGATCGATAGTTGTAACGACACACGGTGCTCGAGGATTGGCAACTTCACCGCGCTAAATCAAATTCCGCTTTAGTTTCAAATCATTTAATATGTTTTTAAGAGTCTTGCATACCGCATTAAAGTCAGTGATTGACAGATTTAAGAGCTCCGCGCCATCTGAATCCGAAAAGTCCTCGGGCTTCAGGAAATCTGCATTAACAATTTTATACTCATCTTAAATAAGCAGCGGGGTTTATTTTAAAAACATTACCTTCGTATTTACGAAATATTTTCATTTTAAATTTCTTCATTGTAAAATTGAGCAAATAACGCAACAATCTGTACTATTTGTTAAAAGGTTAAATCTTCCGTTTATTTGGTTGCTAATAGCAGTTCGTCATCATAGTAACAACCACAAACTGCATTTATCGACTTTCGTTCTCTTTTCAGAGTATACCTGTGCAAACAATGGCAGGATTTGAAGATATTCAATGACCACACAGCACTTGCCACCGGTGTGCGGTTTGGTAAACATGCGCAGTATCTAGCCTCGACTAGCATGGATCGCACCTTAAAACTTTACGCTATTGAGTAAAAGGAAATCACCCACTAGGCAGTACTCAAGATATTTTAAAACTCTACATCTCTAGTTTTCTTTAGCATTAAGTTACACTTCATTCAAGCGGCTTCACATGTTCGTAATACTTATGTATCTGCTCTGTACTTTTGCGTAAATAAACCTGACAAATTTCTAACCATCAAGGTAAATGTTGAATATGAGATTAGCATTTAATAGGAAAGTATGTCTGTGTATATTTATAAAAAAACAAACGAAAATCATTACTCCTAAAAACATTCAGTGAAATATTAATTCAAATAATGCACTACGATGCCGAGATCTGCTTCAGTGGCCTCTCCAAATAGGCGGCCAGAGACATGGCCTTCTGCTTGAGCATGCCCAAGCCAACATGTTCTTTGGCATAAAGGCACAGCAAGACACTCGCCACCTGCAATGAAGAATATTTTATTCTTCCAATCGGTTTAATGCGATGCAAAATCCTAAGTTACCTGTGTTATGGCAACATGGCCACATTCGCAGTCGATGAGCACAAATGTCAAGCGGTCCTCGCGGAAAGCATTTCGTCCGTGCTTTTCGTAAGCTGCCCAAATGTTACTCGCAATGGCAGCCGTAATACGCGCATCCTTATCGCCATACCCAGAGTATGCCAGGAGAGCACCCTCCTGACTAAGTAGGCTGCAAAACAAATACACAATCAGTTACTATATTATGCAGATGAAAGCGGTACTTACAGAGTATTCTCGACGCCTCCTGTGTTCGCCTGGCTGAGCACTTGGGTGAGCGCTTTGGGTTTTAACATTATTTGTTTTTCTTGTATTTTTGTTTAGCAAATTAGAACTACGCCTTGCGAGCTTTCATGTGAATGGCAACATTAAACAGCTGTGTATGTAGTATGTGTATGTAGTGAATGGCATAAATTTGGTTGGCGCCTCACTTTATTTTGAAAGTGCCCAAGCAAGAATGAACCAATTTATTAAAATATATCATTTTTCTTTACTTGCGGCTTATTTCCAAGAAGTATTGATTTAAAGCTACTGTATAAATTAAATAATTAAAACTATTCGTTTCCTTCTTATTTTTTATATACTCGTATATAACTTAACGGGGTTGGAAATGCCTCCAAATATGTATGTGCTTTGCCTAAGACAAATTACTCTTTTTACCCTCCGGATAATAGGCATAGAAACATATTTTCCGTTAATGAGAACGCCAACCGTGGTTCCATCTATAGCAGATTTTATTAATGATGATTAATGATTTGTTATTAACTTATTTTTAAGACCACATAAAACACTCAGCGTTTGTCATACTTAAACACTTAAACAACATCAATTCAAGCAATACAATACAACTGATGCCACATTATTAGCCTATTAGCAATGATTGAATGATTAATTCCCATTTATTGCAGTTTAAAAAAAAAATCTACATGAAAACGTGAAAGGATCGAGACGTAATTGTTGCCATCATAGCTATGTATTTTAAATACAACCACTTATATACTCCAGGATGTACATATGTATGTATGTAAGCGACTTGGGTATTTTTCAATTCATGGCTTTGAAATACATTTTTATTAGCAACAACTGCATTTTCCCTTTTTTGTGTTATTCATATGTGCATACATATATATGTATGTATGTATATTAATTTATATAATATATAAAAATATCCACTGACCCACAACCATTTGAAAAGAAGACTACACTCTTGAAAACGCTGAATATTTTGTTGGCTGTTCTTGAAAAGAAAGCGGACACGCTAATAATAAAATACAGATCAGATTTTTAGTCTAACACAATTGTTATTTTCAAATTTCAAATTAAAATTTGTGCTCTGATTTCTAAAAAATGCAGGAAAATATCTCTATTTCTATCATAGAATATAAAAACACATATACATATGTACATAAAAAGTGTTTTAAAATGCTAAGACTTCTACCTAAGACTTTGTTGTACCATCATATCTATGTTCGATAAGAATACTTTCGCAATACAATTAGTAAGTCTGCTGTGGTAATTTTAAATCGTATCCTCTCTTGCATTTGAGATATGACGTCATTTGCAGGTATAAACTGGGTCAGGGCCCTATTGCGCATTTAAAGTGCGCTTAGCAAGGGCCAACCCCATGGTTGCAGCAACAGTTTGGAAAAGCAACCACCACCACCAACAAAATACATAAACAGTACACCTTGTCGTGCCTACGCATTTTACTGCGTACTGGAAATACACTCACACACTACTATATACATACATATGGACATACATGCACTTATTTGCAACTTCCTACTGCGCATGCGTCAATCTCGGGATAGCATTCGCTTTGGGACGCATCCTGCCGATAAGAACGAAACTGGGTCAACGTTCCTGATTTCCGAGAGAAACTGCGCAATAAATTGCATTATCGGAAGTTTTGTGGGGTTAAAATTTGGAAACTCTAGAAACTAAACACGCATTAAATACATATGTATATTTGAAATTTCCTTTTTATTATTCGCTTAAAATCAACAAAATGTAGTCTTGGAGTAATAATATCGAGCAAACTTTGTTTTTTCTTTGTTTGGGCAGGACTCTGCACCAGTGCGTTCTGCTTAATAAAAGAAGTGATCTTAGATTAATTAAATATGTTTTAATACTACTAATTTGTATGTACACATCGACAACAATTCATACATTTGAGTAGTTCTGATCGGAATCTGCGGGACCAGTTGTAGTTGAGAACGCCATCCTTGTGCGGATGGGACCACTCAATAGGTTAGCACTACAATAGGCCCGTACCATCACTCTTTATTTCTATGCAACTGTATGTATTTGACATTGTTTGGTGTAGCCTTCCAGATTAGTTTGTGGTTTTGCGTTTGTGGTTAATTAATGCATGGCATGGATGTGGTTGGATAAACTTTTAAATTTAATGGGTGTGCGCTGTCTACCTGTTCGGTTCTGTTCACCTAGAAAATACACAAGGTTTGTCGTACTGCTAGCTAAACTTACATAATTACGTCTTATTTACATGCCTAACATGTCCACCATCTTCAGTTGAATTCTAATTCATATATCAAAATATATATAAATTTCCATCGGTATCGATCACAGCGCGCGCTCAAAACTATAACATTCAAAAAAGCAACTTATGGGAGTAACTCATAAAGGGGCACCGCTCATTTTCGCATTTCGCATCCTCGACTTTTGTTGTGTATGTGTGATTTATATTGCCTTCTAATTGGTTTATTCGAGAGCTGCGGGGCGAGCACGTTTCGGAACTGTGCAGAAAGATGCAACTATGCATGGCTTATCATTATCCTTGTTTTCCGTGACCCCTTGCGGCGGCAGACGTTCGGTAAAACTCTTGGGTATGCCAGACTTCAGCAATGTCTGGCGATTGTACATATCTAGATTATCGTTATAATATGTTATGGCGTCCCAGCACATTTCGCTTAACTTTGGAACAGTCATCCACATCTTGTAGAGATCATTGCGACGTCGCATCTCCTTTTCATTGTACTCAATGCCGCCAAACACATACATGCAGCCATTATCGGAGTGAGCAGCCGAGTGGAAGTATAGCGGACGGGGCAGGCTAGCTGTCTGTATAATTGACCACTGTTTGGTGCGCAAATTTAGCTTCCAGATGTCAGAGAAATAGGTCGAGAAGTCACCCTGTAGATCGGAAAAATATAATACTGTTAATCTAACCTAATACCTAGTGTTGATGTTATTTTTTGTGCCCTTACCTGCAAGCCTCCTGTGATAAACGCCTCAATATCGCCATTAGACAACTGATGTTGCACGCAGGAGAAGCATTTTCGTGGCTTTGGATACCCTTTATCGCTCTGTCCCGCGCTGGTAAACCAAGGATCGGGCAGAGTATTAAAGTAATCCCAGCAATTCGCGTCCAAATTATAAGCGGGTATGCGCTGCAGATCGTAGACAGAATGCGAAGTGCCCCCGCCTAACACAAATATGTGCTTGCCATCGTAGACAACTTCATGACGATAACGACCCTCGGGATCTTCACGCATCTCCGGCCGACATATATAAACATTCTCCCATATTTTGGTGCGCAGGTCTAGGCGGTACACATCACAGGAGTAATCGAAGCCAGTTGTTCCCCCGATCGTGTACAGATAGTGCTTGTGTATAACAATGCCAGGTCCATATTGTGCCATAGGCAGATCTCCGGTGACTTTAAGGCGGTCCACACTTACATTGTCGCCGGTACGGTAGACGTAGCAATCATTTGAGCATGATTCGCCAAAAGGATAGCCCGTGCCGCCATGAGACTGCAAAGTGTGATAAAGTGTTTCGAATTTTAGAACAATTGTTTTATGAATTAAAATTAAACTATTTCAACCCATTTCTTTTTTGGAAGCACGAGGACTCTTACTCTAGACCGACTATTTCCTAAAACAAAGTAATTTAGACATGAGGGTGGATGTTCTTATGACTGTTTTGGATTGCCATGGATAAGAAAAAATGTTTAGTGCCATTAGGCAGCAGGAATGTCAAACATGTAAGATAAGTGGGAGCTAATACAATTATTAGTAATAAAGTCATAAACTTAGGATTATAAATCAAAAGAAAAGAAAAGAACACTTAGAATTATCAAAAAGTCTTCCGATAATTATTATAGGCTCCATTTATTGTCTTTGCTAAAGATTAAATGATTTAAAATTGTTAATTGAAAACACAGGAGAATTGGAACTATGCAGAGATACATATGTATGTATGTGTGATATTTAAAGTTTTCACGGAACTGAGCAAAAATACTTCTTCCTATATGGTAGTAAATTTTTTGCTTGAATAAAATTCTAAGGTAAGCTAAAATGCAAATCAAAACTGCTAGATCGGTTTTTAGATAGAATGGCTGATTCGTTAAGATTTTAGAACTATTTTAATGTGGCAGATACTCGTAATTTTAGAATATAGAGTATGGAAAATATGTTTGTGATCATATAAACCTCATCCTTTCCCTCTCGTTGTGACACTAAAATATTGAGAGACTCGTGATTTTCGGTGCTGGCGTATGAAAGTATTATTTTTGTACTTGCTTTTTTTGACAGTGAAATACAGGGACAGGGTCAGATATGTACATACATACATAGTCGCTGATGATGACGTTGAAGAACGGAAATTCAAAGAGCACGGCACACGATGCTGCATTCAATTAGCAGATATTTAAGCAACAAAGAACTTGGGCATACGAATATATTTGAAGCGTTTGGCTCACTCACTTATCAACTTCAGAGCTGAGCTAAGGAAAGAGCAGGCGTATATGCATAGCGATAAGCGGAAACACATTGCCACATACATATGTATGTATGTATGTATGTAAATACTTAGTGCGTAGGGAGGGTGATAGTTTTTTTTAAAAAAGGCGGGTAGGTAGCAATGCAGTCTCTCTCGATTTATGATTAGTTTTGTAATTAAAACTAATTGGTGGATGCTGAAGAAAGAGGGCATTTAAACCAGCATACATATCCATACAAACATACATATGTTTGCATGTATGTATGTATGTAGGCATAATACGACTTTGCCAGTTATAATGGACACCAAAAAGCGCGCGCTTTCCACCAGCAAGCTTCAATTGAAGTGTCAACTGTTGGCGAGGGGCGAAGGTGGGCGAGAATGGGAAGTTTTTGTGGAGGAAAAGCTGGAAAACAAGTTGTTGCATGCACCACAGTACAATAAACAACTGCGTCGCAACATAAGACAGGGCGTGCGCATAAAAGAGACAGCATACGATGCGCGCAGCTGTTTGGGGTCGATGCTGATAATGTTGTATCTTTTATTACATATGTAGGTTTGTATGTATGCGTATAAGTACACATAAATGTATGTGTGTGTGTGTGTAGCTCAGTTTGGGTTTGTTTGTCGTCAACACCACCGTGAATGCAATGCTCTATGGTGGGGTGCCACCAATGGCGCACTATCTTGACTTTGTTTAGAATGTATAAACAAAGCGAGAGCTGAAAATTGTTGTTGTCGGAAGTGTTGTTGTTGTTGAGCATAGGGGCGGCAGAGCTGGCAACGGGTGTGGCACTTCACTGGCACTGACACTACTATGGCTGATCACGAACCAGTGGCAGCGGTAAACTACGTAATTATGTTTTGTTTCGTTTGTTGTGAACCAAAAAAAAAAAAAAACAAGTTTCCACTACGACGTCTAAGCTGATGGCCCTTCCAACCAAGCGTTGTGAAGGCCTTCGAGGGGGCGGGTGTTTATCTAAAAGTTGTGGTTTCGCTTTTCTATACGAAACATACATACATACATGCATATGTATGCACCGACACAGTCACACCAGCATACACTCTCTCTCGCACAAATACAATTATACATCCTACACATGGTCGGAGCAATGATATATCTATTTTTGTTTTTCTTCATTATGTACTCACAATCAACACGTTATTGTGAATGGCCAAAGCGTTGGAGGCCAGCTCAACGGGCATATTTCTTGCATTGTCCGCATTTAACTCCAATTTCCAACGACTAGTGGCAAAATTATAACTCCACAGCTCCTGGAACAGCAAACATCTGCCCCTTCGAGCGGCTGTGAGCGCACTGCGCGGGTTGTATCCTCCCAATGAGTAAAGGTGGGTTTTGGATGCGATTATACGATGGCCACTGCGTGCCAATGGGAAGCCACCAATGCAATGTTTTTCCTTGTACTGACACTTCACCAGACGCAACGGCTGGAAGCAGTAGATGGGCTTGATTTTGGGCGGCTCAGGCCCGCCCACATTCGATGTGGTCGTGGCCATTTCACTTTCATCGTTAGATGACGTCCATTCGCCATCATCTGAAAATATTTCCTCGAACTCTGGTTCTGACTCTGATTCCTCTTCGTCATCATCATCATCGTCATCGTCGTCATCAATATCTATTTCATCGTCTGCATCAGCATTCTCCTCCATATCGCTTGCATCCATGGGCTCCGGCCTCTGTTGGACAACCGCTACCGCGGCGACATCTGCTGCATCTGCTTGGGGCTCCCGATGCTGCTCCTCTTCAGGCATTTCCATTTGTTCCATAATGTCGATATTATTGTTGTTGTTGTTATTATTGTGGAGGTACTCTAGCTGGTTGGCGTTTGGGTTTAGCTGCAGTTGTATCTGTGGCTGTCTATTTTTGACTTTTCGATAAATATATTGCAGCAGGTTGGCAACAAATACAAGCAGTGTCCAAGTGTGACGCAGTTTAGGTAAAAGTATGCACTTAAGTTTGCTGGGCTTTAATATGTTCATACCAGTTTCCTGCCACGACCTAACGGTTATTGAGTTGAATTCAATGTAAAATCAAATTTTCTTAACGCACAATTTTAAATTAGTTTATTTTGATTTTGTTTTCATAAAATTTCAGTGGCAATTTTGTCAGTTTGGCCTAAACAGATAACGACGACAACGAGCACAGCTGGCTGGGAGGCTACTCTGCTTTTGCTGTCATTTTGACGTTATGCTCTCTGGCTCTTGTTTACTCACACACACTCGCACATACAGCCACGAAACTCTGACGGAACTATCTCATTTTTATTAAACTATTGAAAAGTGTTATGCATAGCTATGTATATATGTATGTATGTACATATAGAACATGCATACATTTAATTTATCAATTTCACAAAACGTGTGCCCGCTCGAGGTCAAACGGAAAGGAGACCTTCACAGACTTTCACTAGAGTTAACTAATTTTTTCTTAATTTGATTGTTAATTGCACATATGAATGATTGCACTTGGGTTCGATGCACAACAATTAAACAACTGAAATATATTTGTTTACGCCACGCAGCGTCGTTAGCACAGCCCGAACTCGAAAAGAGTACAATGCCAATTGATGCGAATTACAGCATATGTGTATGTAAGACACAGTGCTGCCACTTCAACTAACTGAATAGGTAGCACTGGGTTGAAATTAGATTTGCCGTAGAGGCTCCCGCCGAAAAATGGTCACACTACGCGCCCGGTATAAGACACAACGAAACTACAGCCTATTCTTCATTGTGTTTTCAATCGTCTGCTTGTGTAATTATGAGTGTACTGTGCGGTAGTGGGAGCTAATAAATATTCTTACTGCAAAATGTTGAGATATAATAGACGTCATCATAAGCTTTGATAACTATTTACTCGGATGTGGTATACTAGAAGCCACTCGATTGATGTTGACCCATGGTCGTTGGTGCTTCATCTTTAAAATAAAATATTGCCAATGTGTTGTTTCATCCAATGCTCTGTGCCTGTATCTGAAAGATTAAATGCAAATACATTCAGACTACGTACACATGTATATGAGCGTACTGAAAGCATTTCGAAGTGGAATGTCTAACACAGACGAAAGCACACAACCCTCATTGAATTTATAGGCTGGAGCGCGGGCGCCACGGACGGCAGTTCCATAACCTAAAAAGGTAAAGGCACGTGCATCGTGACTGCCGCGTTATATTGGGTGAAATCACGGAAGGCGCGTATAAGACGAGCGAACATACCAACACTTATACGTCACAAGGATACACATTAATCAGCTGTTGCGTGTGGGACCATGGCTACTGCAACTAACGCAGCGACAGCGCTCATCGCACCTGCACCTACTCTGGCCAACAGACAGCAGTCGGCTCTGAGTGTGTCAGCGGTGCAAACGAACATAAGTGAGAGCAATGGACAGGAAGTAAAACAAGTGGACAACAATAGCAAGTCAGCTTCACCAAAGCCGAGCAACATGCCAAAAATAACAACAACAATGCTTAACAAAATGGAGACGGGCTCAAAAAGCGAAAAGCGCGTCTATAAAATTGTCCTAACTGGCGGTAAGTTTGACATCGAAAAATTAAGAATTGTAGATTTCAAGTTCATGATTTTCTGTATCTGTTACAAGTGTCCTGTTAGATTATGCGAACTACCCCCACACAAACGCCCACACGTACTATACATACACACACATACTGTGCACTGTTCCACTGTTGCAATTTGTTTACTATTTTTTCTCAAAGGATGTCAAGGTCAATGTTGAAGGGAAACTCTTCGAATCCCTGAAAAACGCGCGCGCATAGCGTGCCGCTTCCCGTTACGCATATCCGTTAGAAGCGCCGACAATTTAAATAAAATCTATGATATATGCCACGTTAGTTCTGGTTCATTTTTTAATCAAGAGAACATTAGCCGCCCCATCCTAATCATGTTATTAAGTATTCATTTTGGGCTTTCTTCTTTACCGGTGCTTTACATTTCCATAAATTTACACAATATTATATGAAAACAATGCTTCGAAAGTGCCGTTTTTTTCTGATACGCAAAAACTTGTCTATTTCACCATACCCCAATCATATAAGCAGAGCAGCGAGTGGTCTAATCATTTAATTTCGCGCAAGTTATTGCTGCGATTAATTATTTGTCCTTGCCCATTATCACGCACGAGTTGTTTATTTTACGCTCTATATGTATTGCATAGGTATATGTAAATATCTGATTACCCCATAATAAAAGAAAAGTTAATAAAACACAACGCGGAACGTTCAAACACGAGGTGCATTTCCATCTAATCGGCCTGTATCTGATTGATTGAAAACGATTGAAAAATTCCGTCTACATTATTTGTTTAGCTCTCGAGATTTGTGCCACGTTTTCTTATCGGCAGACCCCGACTATGACTAGGATGCGCCAGACTGATGTGCATTCCCATTTCAATTCAAATCAATTAAATTGAATTGTATTTAGAGCATAATTTTCATTTCCTGATCGCTGCACAAAATGTATTCGACATTTCTGCCACTTTTATTTACAATTTAAACATTACTGGCATGCTATAGTTGACTTAGCAATATAACTACCGGCTTGTACGTTTGTGAGATAGTCAGCCGCAGGCGAAGGCTCCGTAATTGCAGTCAAGGCTGATTCTGTAGCGCTTCAATGCACCTACCGACCATATCCAAATAAATTTTAAAGCATATGAACATTTCATTGATTATCATTCGATCTGATCACACACTTAAACATATTTTTAATGTTAACTTGAGAAATTCATTTGGAAATTAATTTAAAAACAGACAAATAAAATATTTCAACAATGCAGGTTGCTTATAAAATAGTGAAAAATATGTATTGAATATAGTATAATATAATAATGTTTTATTCAATTTTTCTGAGACTACTACAGTCACAATCAAGGATTAAGCCCAGTTTATTTTATTTTTATATACAGCGTGATTTTTGTTTTCTTTAATGTTTATACACCTTTATAAAGAACAGTTTACTGCCATGAACATGAACTTTTTTAAGAACGAATGAACATTAATTTGTTTGTTGGTTTATCTTTGCGATATTTATTTTCGAATTAAATTAAAACAAGATCTCGCTTTACATTTTCCAGGGCCTTGTGGAGGCAAAACAACTGGACAATCCCGTCTGTGCACGTTCTTTGAAAACCTTGGCTGGAAGGTGAGTCTCACTTTACAACGCTAAATGGGGACTATTTGAAATATTTGATCATGTAGAAGCTCAGTTTGAAATTCGAATTAATACTGGATTGGGTTTGGTTTGGACTGGTTTAAGCTAACCAATTAACAAATTGAACTTTAACAATATGACGTTTAGGTTATCATTTACTCTGTGTGAGATGGACATTATAATATAATATACATACTTAGTTACGTTGCACGTGTAAGTAGTGCAGGCTGCAACTAAATCTGACAACTAATATTGATAATATAAGTGTAATATTAAATGGCCAACTTAGCCCCGTAGGCAGTTAAATACCTAGCTCTATATTAAATACAAAAAAAGAAAAACAACACAAAAAGAGAAAAACACTTTAAAAATAAAGTTATATCATTCGAAACGAGACGACAAAAACCAACAAAGCAATGAGCATGTTAAATATTTTCAGGTATTCCGCGTGCCTGAATCGGCCACTGTACTACTCAGGTAAATGCCATAACACATCAAAAAACACAAACGGTCTAGAAACGAGCAAAAGTGAAATAACAGGAGTCGACATTGCAATGAGTCTCGCCACTAACAGCCATAGCTCAAGCCAGAACTGTGTGGCAATTGATTCTGGCCAGAGACTTGTTGCCGGGTCTACCTGCTTGAAGTAACTTTTGCTCGCTAGTTTGCTGCAAACAATGTTTTGTGCCAATTGTTTGTGCGGCATTCATAATGATTTGACTTTGTTTTGCTATACCTACCTTTTTCCTTATATCGTAATACTCATTAAATGTAGCATTTGGTTTTTTTTTAGTTTTTTTTTCTAAACTGAAACATCTGCTTTAATGCTCAATATCTTTACTTCTTTCTATTTTACTTAAAATTCTAGTGGTGGCGTTAAATTCTCCGACCTCACCGATATAGAAGGTAAGTTTCGCACACATTGCAACTTGATTAGAATAGAAACAAAATAAAGCTAGAAAACGATTGCAAGCATTTCGTATGAAATTGAAACTCATTTGTTTAGGTCTTATAGTTTGACGTCTGTCCTTCCTATAGTGTAGGAAGTAGTAGGGCCACCCCACATATTGTCAAGTTCACCTAAAAGTTGGCGCACCGTTTTCTCGAACAAAGAAGAATCAAAATATTTACTTTTTAAAACACATCCCCACCCATTTTATCTATACGATACACAAGTCCTATTATGTGTGCGTTTGTCTGTATGCTGCCTTTATAGCACCACCTACAATATAACATTTTCTGCACAATATCTATATAGTAGGTATGGTCGCTCATCTAGTACACAACAGATACAGATAGCTCATGCTCATGAAGAAGACGTCGGTTTGCTATTTATAAAACCAACAGCGAGTATCTGCTGGCACGGCAGTAGATACTGTAGATAGTATGTATTTTTGTTTTTGTTAAATGAAACAAAATATATACATATGTATATACTATTATATATAAGAAGGCCCCCGCGAAAGTCACGTATTCAATGAAAATTCATTTACGTAATTTGCTCTGACATTTTGTTGTGGCTGACGGCGCACACACCCCCTAACCCTGCTCAGGCACAACACGACACACAAATACACACACCCTCATAGAATCTGTCAAGGCAATTGCAAGACATTCCTTAATAATCCTTTACTTTAGACAAGCACGCGCATTGAATGCCCAATCGCGTGTTTGGGTGCAATTTCCTTAAGTTACTTACTGCGCACTAACCCCTCCTGTTCAGTTATTTAAAACTCGTATATCAATTTAAGTTTAATGAGCCTACTCGATTTTATTGAAGGGGCCTGCGAAATGTCATACATTTTTGATAAGATATACAAACAAATATGTGGCATACGTGCGTCGATAACTTAAATTCGAAGAACCGGTTCAATTAGATTCTTTGGGACTTGTAGAAATTTTTTAAGGAAAAGGAAATTCCTACAGCAGTTTTGGGTTTTCAAACATTATTTGAAGCATCAACTAAATGTGCATATAATTCTGGAGTAATACATCAGTTGATTTAAGTTTCTAGTGGCTTCTCCTGGCATCAAAGCCAAACAAGCAAACCGGTTAAGTAATTCTTAATTTCAATTGTGTTCTATTTCCTTTAATTATTTGTTTCCCATAATTAAATGTTTACTCACTTCATGATCAGCAACAATTAGATGATTAATTAGAATTTGAATGGATATTATAAATATAGATTTAAATTATTTAAATGATGAGAAATATACTGTACATATATTTTGGGAGCTAAAATATACAATAAACTACTTCATATATCCGAACATTAGAAAATGTATCTATTGACTAGTTCGAGAGAACGGCACAACTTCAGAGTGAACACATACATACATACGAGTATTTATGTACTCGTATATGCCTAGTGATAGCGTACGGGCCTTCGAAAAGAGTCGCATGATTAATTAAGGCATATGATCACCATATCATAAGGGTTCGCAATCAGGCAGCAATAATCGATAATATGGAAGAAGCCACTCACATTAGCTATAATCTAACCACGCTACACATACACACACACAGACCCTCCCACGCCAACTACGTACGTGTACAAAGATCTTCCCTTTGCCGCTCCGGAGCACAGTCTCATCGATCTGACTGCATCCTGTCCACGTTGTTTGGCGAACGCTGCCTCGAAGCCGAACGGCAGCGAAGGTGAGTGAGTTGAGTCTGCGCGCCCGAACCAAACCAAGTCGATCGAACCAGATCTGTACAATAATTGTGTTCTTTTTTGTCACTAGTATTGCTTATGGCGTTAATTTTAATCCGCTTCCAAGCTCTCTGTAATTTTTGTACATAATTATACTCTTCTATGTATATGTATGTGAGTGTCACCTTTCCTTTGTGGCTGCTACAAGACGCCTCGAAAACGGCGCTCCACGTGTAGCCCGAAGTGATTCGATCACATCGCCGACTATACTTGTATTCTACTTAATTTCTGTTTTCTGTCTCTCCTGTTATTGTTGGTTTGGCATTATAATCTGTTGGTTTCTTTTTTCTCCACAGGCTTCGACTTGCCTCTAGATAAAATTCGCTTATGCAAACAAATTGTTGAACTTTATTTGTATTTGTGTTTTTCAAGCGTTCTGCTGTTTGTTTATTTTTATGTTTTCTTTGATTTGTGATTGCGGCCAATATAAAAACTGAGCCATTCTAGTACGTTTTTCTACTAACAGTCCCATTTATTCATCAAAATAGCTATTAATTCCATGCTGAATCATTTTCAGTAACATGGCTTCCTAAATCGTGTTCTTTGTGCAAATTAAATAGAGCATTTATTTTTGGCTGCCGTGACACACATAGACATACATACATACATAAATACATACACACATTCATGCTCAAAATAATAGGTACACGAAAGTACAAAGCTCTAGCTTATTAGTATGATTTCCCAAAATAAGACTCAAAATGTAGGTATGTGATTATTCTGACATCTGTCCATATGAACAAATATTTTAGTTTAAAACAATTGAGTTCAATGCACATACTCGTCTATGTCCAATTTCTGAAAAAGTCGGAAGACTGTACCTTACCTAAAACATTCATTCTGAAATAAGTAAAAACTCTGAATCATGTTCTCACTATATGTGGGATCTGATCATCCAGTTATCGATTGTCAATTAAATTCAATGAAATCAAATCAATTCTATAAGTAAGTGTATTGTATCTTCCAAAATACTCGTATATGGGGAAGGGTTTATTCATTCAGCACTATTTTGTTGGCTCCAGATCCAGAACCGTTTTGATTTCTAGATACTTATATTTGCTTAAACAGCTGGATTTTTTTTATCATCCTATTCCTACGGGTTTGTTATATTTTTAGAATCCTTAATTTATAGGGAATCCTTCCAAAATATGAGAAAGAAAATTCGAACAATAATGACGAGAAATGAAAGCTGTTGTCGAAGCACTGAAATATGATTTTAAAATTGAGTTTTCCTAATTTGAATGGATGATATTATTAAGAGGATCATCTTAAAGCAAAGATGGCTAAACAAATTTACAAAGTTGTATCTGTTTGCTAATATTCATACATTTGGATTCAAAATATATGAAATACATACATATGTACTTGTATATAAATATATGTATGTATACACATGTGAAAAACATATGCTGATGAAGAGCACGTTTTAATTCTCGCATGTCTGGGGCGCAAAGTCAAAAAATAAATACATGCATATACATACATATATGAACATTAATTTTTATTACTAAAAAGAAATGAGAACGAACGTTTGTGTAGAAATTGCGAATTCCTAAGGAATGTTCAAATACAGACAAGAACTCAATCGATGGATGAAAAAATTGGAAACTAATAATGCAGACTACCTTGACTGATTGCCAAATACATTTGATTCGCATTATGCTATGTACATGCGTATAAGTTACATATGTACATACATTTGAACGTATCTATATGAATATTGTTCACATGGCACATGTTTGGCTTCCCAGGCCAGAAGCTTCAAAACGAACAACAAATTTTACTTTTGCGCCATAAATTTGTTTATTTATTTTTAGTAGACTACCGACTAGTCAAGTATACATACTGGTGTGTACTAGTATATACATTCATATACATACAAGTATGTACATTCTAACATACATATGTATGCATATACTGTATGTCACGTGCTTTGCTGACGTGCGTCCATCCATTTGGTCTGACTGCTTGTTTTTGACCAAATTATACTTGGATACTTGCTCTTCGCAGTTCGGCGTTAATAGCTTTGCAACATGGGAAGATCTACATGCAGATATCTACATATATAAACATGTATGTATGTATGTATGTAGACGGTGCTTTGTATCTTCTACGCCGATGCTGTTGTTTGTCCCCTTTCCGAAGTCAAAGAATTGATTATATTGATTTACTCAAATTGATAGGCTAAATGATTTTGTTTGTCCACCCGGTTTTTTTTCTTTCAATTTCTTCATTAGCCGACAAATTTGCATTTCATAGTATGGGTATGGGAGAGAAGAAAAACAAAATTCAGTGGCAGACTGATAACTAAAGTGCCTTAACATTAGCATTTATAATACATAATATCTAAACTCGAACTATGCAAATGGGTTTCATCGAATAATGTATGGGTTTTATGGCTCAAAAACTCGTTCATTTTACATAATGTGGCTTGAGACAGCGCGCATGCAGACGAGCCGATAAATCCTTCTTAGAAAAATGCGTGTCGATAAGAGGAGAGGGCCTTTACAGGGAACAGATATGGGCGGGAACGTGCAAAGCTTAGAAAAACAAAATTGTTTTTGCATCACTTTCTATTATATCATGACTGCTAATTAAATTAGAGAATTGAAAACAGACAACGGAGAAAAACAAACAAAGCGCAAACGAAATAAACCCAAAGCAACAACAATAGGCAATAGGAACAGAAATGATTTGTTTTGAGCTCGGCATCAGCTTTTTACAACAACAAGTACAACCTATTCATGCATAATTACACACACATAATATACATATACTTGTATGTACATAGATGTACATACTTGTATACACTTCCCTCAACAACAACAACAGTAACAACAAGTCGCCTAATAATGTGAAATGTCGATGAGTCAAGTTCAATAATGAAAACAAGAGAGAACGCTACAGTCGAGCAAGCCCGACAGTGTAATACCCTGTACCCAGGTAAACTTCCGTCACTGAGTTAAATGCGCCCATAGCACCAGCAAAAAGAGGAAGAAGAAGAACGAACTTGTTGCTGCAGTTTGGGGGGGTTGTACTGGCGAGAATTGAACGAATTGAATAAAATTTCGAACAACAGTAGACAACTATAAATAAATTATGTGTGCAAAGTTTGGTTAAGGTAGCATTTGAAATGTGGACGTTATTGACGAAATTCTGTAGCGGGGGAAGGGGGGGGGGGGGGGAAATTATAAAAAATAAAATAAACTCGTCCTTACTTGGACCTAGGAGAATCTGGATGCCAACTTTGGTTATTCTAGCTTTTATAGTTTCTGAGATCCTTGCGTTCATCCAGACGGACAGACGGACGGACATATCTAGATCGATTTCTTTCGTCATGCTGATTCAGAATATATATACTTTATGGGGTCGGAGATGCTTCCTTCTGCATGTTACATACTTTGCACAAACCTAATATACCCTTTTTACCCTACGGGTACAGGGTATAATAAATTATGTGTGCGAGAATTTGTTTTGCTAATAACTTTTCTTCGAATTGAACGAATTGAATAAAATTTCGAACAACAGTAGACAACTATAAATAAATTATGTTTGCAAAGTTTGGTTAAGGTAGCATTTGAAATGTGGACGTTATTGACGAAATTCTGTAGCGGGGGAAGGGGGGGAAAATTATAAAAAATAAAATAAACTCGTCCTTACTTGGACCTAGGAGAATCTGGATGCCAACTTTGGTTATTCTAGCTTTTATAGTTTCTGAGATCCTTGCGTTCATCCAGACGGACAGACGGACGGACATATCTAGATCGATTTCTTTCGTCATGCTGATTCAGAATATATATACTTTATGGGGTCGGAGATGCTTCCTTCTGCATGTTACATACTTTGCACAAACCTAATATACCCTTTTTTTCCTACGGGTACAGGGTATAAAAAACCGAACGGGACTTTTGCGCAATTGCACGCGAGCGCAACAAGTGTGGAGAGGGGCGTGTTTTATGCCACCCCCCGAACCGCAACCACCCCCCGACCAGCAGAAATGTCACCAGCGATAATGAATCGCGCCAAATTGGCATGCATAGCTATTGGTTTTGTTGTTTTTGCTTTGCTGTTTTTTAACAAATGCAATAACTAAACTAAATGCTGTGACATGCATAAGTGTTTCTTTTTATACCCTATACCCAAAGGGTATATGCATTCTTAATCAGCATGGGTGGGAAAAATCGATCTAGACATTTCCGTCCTTCTGTCTGTCCAGATAAACGACTGGATTTCCAAAACCGATGATCCTATACTAATCCCTCTTGGTTTGTAGACTCTCCTAATTCCCAGACGAGTTTATTTTATGTTTTTGATTTCCTCCCTGCCCCCGCTACAAAGTTTCGTACTGTCCACAATTCCGAAGCTACATTAATGAATCTGTGCATATGTAATTAATATATAATTCTATACTTTCTATATATTGTTATTAATTTTACTCCAGTATTAAGCCACAAACTTCTTCATTATTTTCGCCTGCTATAGTTTCTGTCGGAAGTTTTTTTTTTTTTTTTGTACAGGGTATTTTACTGGCGAGCTTGCTCCACTGTAGCATTCCTTCTTGTTATATATTTGTTTTTGTTTCAATTCAGAAATATTTTAAATACAGCCCTGCTAAGTATATATATCTTTAGAAAATACGCTTCTACACACAAGTATAAACACCCTTGATCAACATAATAGATACAGCATTGCCATATTCAACTTAAGGACAGTTTTATAATAATATTCAGCTATTTTTAGTGTTCTTATTATTTCAACAAAAAACATCTCTAAAAACAATAAATTCTTACAAATACACTTTGTTGGTTAGGTAATTTTCTAAATTATGTATTCCCCATTATACTCATAGTTCTTTTTTCTTCGTCTTAACAGTATTATAGAAAAAGAAACCCTGTCCAACTTCCATACCATTTTTTTTGCAATAATATTTTCCCATGACAAATTATCAAACATAATATTAATACTGAAGTCGAAGGTAATTGAAATGTATGATCTATGTATGTGAAGGTAGTAATATCCGTTTTTAATTAGAACTTATACCATTTTTAGTTTGAACAACCATTTTGATTTCGCAAAGTTTCTTCTTGATTGATGATTGGGTTCATCAGAATCAGTAGTTTTCCAGCTTTTAATAAACTCAATGAGCAAAATAACAAATAACCTTATCATAATTCAAAATATTAATAAAAATTCTAAAGAAGAATGTCGGATTTAGGCGTAAACTCAAATTTTATTAAATAAACTAAAAAACATCTATTCCGCCTGGTTCCGTTTTCAATTTAAATCAGATATTTTAAAACTGATTCGGGTTTTTTATTCTGAGATTTTCTTAAAATTGTAGAAGCGATATTTCCCTCGCATATAGGAAATGGAATTGAATTTGAAAATTGTTTGGGATTTTGCCAAATGCATTTCGACAAATTCAATCAGAAACAGGCTTGTACATCTATTATCTATTGTACATATTATGTTGACCAAGGGTGCGTATGGGGCATGTGACATGTCTTAGCAACAGTCCCATCGGGCAGACCCACTAACGACTATTTGAACAGCTGCCAATATAAACGATTCGTTACAACAGCAAAACAAATACATGCCTTAAAGAAATTTCTACAGAATCGAGAAAGGTCTGATTCAACATAATACTCACACTCAATTACTACACAATTTACAACACTATAAAAAACCTAGGTCAACGTCGTGATGCATATACATACTATACATATCATTTCCATAGGCCTGCGGAGTCCCGCTTGCTGTCCATTCGCTCATTCGCTTGAATCGATGTTCGAGACGGTCATATCATTTAATTGGCCTCCTCGATGTTCACGAAGGAATGGAACGAATTCTTCTTCAATGAATTTGCTTGCAATTGAGATTTAAATGTATATACATATATACCTATATATATATATGTATGTACATATATGTATGTTCATACCCAGATGTATGTATGTACATATTTATGTATATTGTATCAGTTGTATCATAAGTTGAACTTAACTGAACACAGTCTTCATTTCCTTCACTTGCAGCCTACAAGTTCCAGGAGAATTTGATACGCACCATGGTCCAAATTGAGAATACATACTTTGAGCTGGGAAACTCGAGTACTCGCAATTGCCTAATTATCTGCGATCGAGGCGTCATGGACGCCAGTGCTTGTAAGTGGAGTACAGTGATTGGAAAGATTGTTTAGTTACTTAGCTGTCATATCCATACTTAATGCCTTTGCAGATATATCGAAAGACAAATGGGAGAAAATGATGGGCGCCAACAAATGGAATCCGGTGGAGATGCGGGATAATCGTTACAATCAAATTTTGCACTTGGTGTCCGCCGCAAATGGAGCCGAGGAGTTCTACTCCACAGAGGTGAGTTAGCTGGGTGTGTGAAGATATATTTGGGTTCTGAACAGACTGAAGAATGCACTTTTTGATGGGGCAATTAAATGACTGAATTTACATTTTTGCTGCTACAACCACAAAAGAAAAGAAAACGCCATTACTACCAGGTATCCAATCACAGAAAGCGTCATTTGTGTAATACCCAATACTTACCGCTAGATGTGTTGGCCAGCATTTGGTGTAGGTGGCTTTGGGTTGCTGATCGTGTCTTTACAACCCCTATTAAAACTAATAAACATTCTGTGTGTCTCTTTCAGGATCATGCCTGCCGTTCTGAAGGCGTCGATTTGGCCCGCGAATTGGACTACAAATCGGCCGCAGCCTGGGTGGGACATCCCTACTTCGATGTTATTGATAATTCAACTGATTTTGAAACCAAAATGAATCGCATGATCGAGTCCGTCTGCCAAAAACTGGGCATCGACACTGGAGATCGTTTGCAGGCAACTTCCAGAAAACTAAAATTCTTGGGTAAGCATTTTATTTTATTTATCTTCTGAACAAGTGGTGTATATCTTTAACATCTAACGTTATTTGAATAGTCGCTACATTGCCGGTTGACTCCGAATTCCCACCGTTCCAAGATTTTGATGTCGTGCACCACTATCTGCAATCCGGTGGACCTAAAGTGCAAGCACGTTTGCGCAAGCGCGGTCAAAAGAATCACTGGAGCTACATACACACGCAGCGTAGACCCAACGTCCATGGACAGGCCCGCATTGAGGTGAAGACACAGCTTAACCATCGCGACTACATGAATCGGCTGGCACAGCGCGATGAAGCTCATTTCCCCATTTACAAGAAACGTCGTTGTTTCCTCATCAACAATCAATATTTTCAATTGGATATCTATAAGGAACCTTGTCATCCACGGTATTACATTGGTATTGAATCCTGTGTTACGCAATTTACTAATGCCCCCGTTTCCATACAGCTGCAAAGGTCTCGTACTGCTTGAGACCTATTCATCACTGTCAGGCGAGGCGTTAAAGAACTGCATGCCCAAATTCTTGAACATAGTCAAAGAGGTAACTGGCGATCCAAAGTTCTCCATGTTTAATCTATCGTTGAGGGAGGATTGGACCACATCAAAGAAGTTTTGCAGCTCGTCGACGCATGGTAAGCAACAACAGCAACAGCAACAACAACAACAAAAGCAGTACAAATCTTATGATGAGACAAGCGACTAAGCTGCAACCAACTAACCGTCAACCAAAACAAGCAACCAACATCATTATCATGCTCATGGTGTTATCGTTATTATAGCCAAAGAATAATTAGTAAAAATTCAGTCAAATTGTAAACCAAGAGTCATGTCCATGCTATTCGCTTTTGCTGTAAATATGTATATTTCCAAAGTGCTTTTCCATTACATCCCCAATTCCCCATATCCTACGCTTTTGCATGCAGCTCCTTCTGTCCTTTATAAGTATATATATATATATATATTCTTTTTTATGACTGTTTGATTTTTGGGCTGACTATTTTTCTTTTAATTTGTAGCAAATGGAAAAGCAACAAACGGAGTTTCAAAAGCGCCATTGGAACTCAATGGCCATTGAACGTATCCTACTACCATTACCTATTCGTCTAATGGCCACTAAATTCTATCCCTGAATCTCTACTTTATGTTTACGTTTTGAATGTTTTTAGTTACAAGGGAAACACAATTTATCAACTAAAATGTAGACTTAGTGTACATCGGGTAAATTTATTTTCTATTCGTACTCATTGACCTTTAAATTCGCTCATAAAAATAAGTGTAGTTGGAGAAAGTCAAACTAAGTTTAACTAATGAATAGAAACCAATGATTGTTATGATAAAGTAAAGTAAAATAAGTGTCACTAAAGTAGCTGTTGGTTTTAAATATGTATCTAAGTAGCACTATAAAAAAAAAATCAAGTGAATAAGATAAATCTTTTATCATTATTTGGTTTATACTTACACCATTTTAACATATTTTTATAATAACAGGTGGGCGAGTTTAGTGGCCATTTTATAAGCCAAAATCAACACCCACTTGAGTAACACAAATAAGCTTACTTTTCTATCGTTACAACCAATAGTTTCTATAGTTTCTATATACAAATTTTAATTTTACTTTCTTCTCCTTTACTTATTTTATGAAGACAGGGAGGCGAATTTAGTGGCCATTGGGTATGAATGGACAATAAAATTAGTCGTTGTACACTAAGTTTACATCCTTGAATCTCTTCTTTACACGCTGTGGGAAAGTTTTTAGTTTTACGAAATTATATATCAAAATTATAGATACCTTATGCAAATCAAAACTTGTTACCTTTATGACCATTATATGTATCATACTATATAATTATAATTTGTCACTTCCCACTATGAATTATTTACGTACTTACTGGAATGCAAACTATAAATGTACTGAAACACCTTTAAGCGTACTTAATTTTTTATCAATAAGGTTTTGCCATGTTTATCATTTTTGTCCCAATCCTGTTGGCCTTGGAGGTGCGTAAACCACTAAATTTAAACTAAATTTTAGCTAATGTTAAAAAAACCTTATTCAAATAAAAAACCAACACCACCAAAAAGCGACATATGTTTTTTTCTTAAGATGTAATTGCTCTACAATTTATTGAAAGCTAAATAAATAAATAAAATATTGAAATTGCATTTAAAATGTACTAACTTTAACTTGAGTTTAAGGACTTAAGTTTAACAGTCGAGCAGTTTGTGGCGTCGTGCCAGCGACTAAGACCAACAAGTCTATGGCAGCAAAACCAAAACGGTGAGGATTTTGGCAGTCGGGCCCAGCAATAATGAATGGGTGTTGTCCTTGATAATACATACAATCACACCGCCAAATGGGCGGTCGGAGGAAGGGAAAGAATGTAGATTATTGGCAAATTTTGTTGTAACTCATAACCCCCCGTCTTTCAAGGTATGTATGTAATTCCAGTAAATTTATTTTAGTCACTTTTATATAATCGTGCTCTATTTAACATAATGGAATTGCACTTATGAACTTATATTGAGGGGGCCTTGGAAATATCATAAATGTTTGATAAGATTGAATTCGAAGAATCGGAATACAAATTATTTTGAACTAAGAATAACATATGAGTTAGTTACTGAGAAATTTAGAGAGAGAGCAAGGAAAAGGAGTGTCATGAAATGATGAAACGAGACGATCGAAGAATGAAATATTTCGCGTGCCATAATTACAGACTGACGACAACAAACAAATGAGTGGCTAAGGGTGCTGGATGAAACATCGATACATCGATGTTATGATCGTTTTTTTTAGACATCGATGTTTTATTCCAAATGTTCGATGTTCTTTACTACTTGCCCACCACTGAATTTTTATTATTGTATGTTATACTTTCTTTCATTTTTGTCATATTCTTTGAATTTATAAAAATATCGTTTTAGAAAAAATTTGTATCTAATACGAAACCTTAATTTTATAAATAAGATGACAAATCTAGATAAAGTGCCCTATGTATAAGCATAAATAAAATCTTTTTGAAAATTCTTGCATCGACGTTCTTCCCCCAAAAACAGACAGAGACAAAGGAACAACCGACTCAGGGGAGTCGGAATACAATATGGCAATGATGGGTCTACTTACCAACGTAGAACTTTTTTTTTTGTTTTTTTTTTTGTCCTTGCCAAAGGGCAGAGCTATAAGCGTTTTATATTTTTGTAGAAAAGGGTTACCTAATTCTTATAAATAGCTAAGTAGTAAATAACAGAAATTACCCCCCAATTTTTAATGATCAACATTTTGAATTTTAAGGCAGAAAAAGAGTTCTGCTGAGAGTAGGTGAGGAAGATCATTATAGGTTGCAATGCGTAATCATTGGTAAGCTAAGATTAAACATTATTAATGTAAAAAATACCAGAACAACTATATTTGTACCAATCGCTAATCATAACCATTCAGCACAAACTAATCATTAATCGGCTTTATCAGAGCATATATTGAATAAAAAGACAAAATGATATACGGATAAAAACTGATAGTTAAAGAGTCAGACGAATAAGTCGACTATACAAAGATTGCGAGCAATTCAGTAACTAACAACAAACAAAGTGCTAACTTTCTTATTTCAAAGAAAAATATAAGAATGTAAAGCTAAAGATTTACGCAATGAGTTAACGAGCTTATAGAGCTGCTTAAAATCCTGAGTGAGTGGTATGTTGATAAGATTGAGCATTGACAAGAGAAGGCTATGGTTGATTAGATTAAAAGCATTAATTTCTTTTCTTTCTCCTCTTATGAACCTAGGGAGTGTGAATTTAGTGACCATTGCACATAAATTGATTATAACTTTACTCGAAGAACACGAAGTCGAAATACCTGAATATCGCATTATAGTAGGTAGTAGCTTCCCACTCCTATTATATTCTGCACATGAAATGTACAAGAGAAAATGGTAAAAACAGGCAGACCTCACTAAGTATATGTATATATTTTTGATTACCTTGACAAGATGTAGCCCAGTCTGACTTTCCGTATAATCACCTATGTATATCGGAGACTGTAAGCCTTCTGTAAAACTTCTTGCAACATTGGCTTATCGCGATTAAACATTTGTAATACGGACATATAATTAACCGGAGTAATTTCCAAACTTGATCAAACAAATTCCAAGATTAAGGAAGTTGTGGGAATCACTTTTTTAAGCAGTACAGGGTTAGTCCTGATCAATTCTTGCATTCCATATTTGTTGTTTATTTTTTTTCTTTGTGCGAAAGGGTACAGGATATTAAAAGAGGAGCCCATTCGAATCTTGCATTCCTTTCTTGTTTATTAATAATGTTGTGCCATTCGCATCAACAACTAAGCTTAAACTAAATTTTATCAAATTTAAGAAACAAACAAAAAAACAATAAATATATTGTTACTTAAGATTTAATTGCTCTACAATTTTTTAAAAGCTAAATAAATAATTTTAATATTGAAATTGCATTTAAAAAGTACGTACAAACTTTACGCCTAAGAAGTAAAACACTAGATACATACATACGTTGAGTTTAATTTGAGTTTAAGGACTTAAGCTTCATACTCTAGCAGTTTGTTGCGTCTTGCCAGCGACTAAGACTAACAAGTCTATGGCAGCGAAACCATAAGGGGGATGAGGATTTTGCCAGTTAGGCTGCTCACCAACTGAGGCCTAGTACTAATTAATTGGTTTTGACCTTGTTAATACTCTTGATCAGGGAATCGACAGCCAGATTTATGCGCAGAAGCAAACCATAACCCACAATAATGGCAGGCAGGCTGACAAATGTGGCAAGACCCTCGTAGATGAAACGTGGTGCAAAGATTTTCCAAACCATTAGATGCCGACAATGTATGGTGCAGGCGAGCATCGCACAAAATATCTGCGGGGTAGGAAAATTAACAAATATAAATATATTACAAAATAGTTTTAGCGCAAACTTACTCTGAGCCCTTGCAGCATAAAAAGCTGGCTGGCCAATTTAAATGTGGCGCCCAGGAAAACGTCCTCATATTCGTACAGAGTCAGTTCCCCGCGCGTCATGTCAAAGCCTACAGCTGCCGTTGAGATATCAGCCAACGCTGTGGTGGCATCAACTTTGTTGCGTGCTGTGCTTGGTGTCGAATCGCGATTGCTGTTGCTCCTGATTAAATTGGGAAAGAGCGCGAACAACGAAAACGTCTCTGTGGACAGCAATGTGAACATACAGAAGAAAAATATTGGACCGCAAAATGTATTCAGTATGACTAGGATGCCTGATATAAAGTTCGACTGGCCAATGCCAGTGGTTCGGCCCACAAAAGCTGCTCGCCAATCAATCTGAGATAGCGTGGTCTGATGAGAAGTCGCAAAGAAGCAGAAATGGGCGAGCAGGAACCAACCTACAACGGCTGTAAAAGTGGGCTGCACACAAGTCTCTGCAAAAAATAAATAAAACGTAATTACATCAGCAAAAAAAGGAAAGTTAGATTCGAACTGCTGCAGAAAAAAATCAAATGATTCATCTACATTACTTACCGAAGTTTGTGGCAGTGCGATAGCGCAGAATGCCGTGCACGATTAAGAGAATGGCGCCAACAGACATGCATACGATTAGGCCGACTGTGGCACGCGGCTCAAGCAGGACAATCAGCGTCATGGCGAGGAAAATGCCAAAGGTAATGATGATTGATGAATATACAGTGGCCAGTCCGTAGACCACAGGAATGGCATAACGACGCTCGGCGTCATCACCTTCGTACATTCGCTTCATCTTCTTAAATATTTCGGGCACTATGCTGTCACGCCCGTTGACGGCAATGCTGTTCGGATTTTTCGGTGGTAATACAAAAGTCATCAAAGGCGCCACAGATACGACAATGATTTGCAACAGAAGGAGTCCATAAATGACCAACGCCATGGCATCAATGTGGGTGCGTTGTATATTTTTTATCGCACTGTTTGCAAGCAGTATGTGGCCTCCAGCACAAATGGAAGCAACTGTGGGTCCATAGCGTGCAAGGAGCACATTTGGAGAGTTGCCCGTCAAGTTGCCGCATGAGCGCAAGTAGAGACGCGTCATTGTAGTGTACAACACAATAATGACTACTGCCATTATGTATGTTTTGCCACTTGCCGGTTTCTTAATGGAAAATCCTGCGGAGCTGCTACTGGAAAAGTCAGCACAGTTGCCTTGCTCCTCGCGGCAGCGAAACAATGTGTAGGCAAAACGTATGAAGCAAATGGCCAAAACGCTGGCAAGGATTAATCTGAACGCTGTAGATCGTATAAAATGCGATATTTTAAACCTTGACCTAAAGTCCATGCGTACGCTCTGTTTAAGCACCTCATAGACCAGCAGTAAAATAACAGCGGCTAACAAATAAGATAATGTCTTGGACTCTTGAATGATGAAGCTGTTGGAGAAGAACACTCCCATAGTTGTGAAGAGCAGCAGACGCGTAGGCATGTGGCCAAAGCGTCTCACATTCGCCCAATTGTTGGCTATATTGCTCCAATGTTTCAATGTGAAAAAGACCAAAATGACGGCACTAAGCAGGCTGGTGAAGAATATAATGCCATGCTCCTCCGTCTTGAATGAGAAGTTCTTGTAGTAACGATAGCCAAAGACACCAGCCGCAAAATTCAGCAAATATGTATATGATATTTCCTTGGGCGTAAAGATCTCCACAAACTCACTAGGACGTGAGTTATTAATTAGCAAAAAAGCGAAGAAAATCGGCAAGAATGTGAAGAGCAGTCCCTGCGACATTTGAGTTGCATCGAACTTTACCCAGATCTCGCGACATATGTTTAGAATATTCCGCAAATGCGCATTTAGATCGCCCACAAACGACTTAAAAGCGGCTTCATTATAAATGCTCTTTACACGATGTGTCAAGAGTATAAATTCCGTTTCCATTTTATCCATCTCCTCCACATTAAATGTACGCTTGTTCTCCATGGCATAGTTGTAAAAATAATGGTAGATCTGTTGGGCATTTTGCCAGGAGTGAAGCAGCAGGGTTTGAAATTTACTCAAATGGGGTACTGGGACGTTGGGTACAATGTTGAAATTGATAAGACCCAAGTTTGAGTAGGGTATGGGCACCCCCAATATGGTTGAGAGTGTAGGCACCAGATCAATCTGAAATATGGCAGTTACATTTTATCAACCTGCACAGACGCACGTTCCGTTTTGACGCATAACGCGATAAACGTTGTCTTATCTCTCACCTGTTGCAGCATTTTGCTATCTGAGCCCACATCGCTACCGAAGAACGAATGCTGCTTGGAGTAAGCAAACAATAGAGCATTGGTTTCGTCATCGGTGTCCCCGCCATGATCACCGGTCGCTGTCATTCCATGGTCACCCATTACCAATAATGTTGTTTCATTATCCATCTGCGATACGACGAAGCTGTTAAGAAATAGCAGATAACAGATTTTGCGGCATTTCAAAAGGCATTGTTGACATACCTTATTATCTCATTCATTTCACTTAATTTACGCGACATTTCCGCATGCATGGGTCCATGTTTGTGGCCACAATGATCAACGCCCAAAAAATGGGCTATCAGCACCTGCCAATCATCGCTGGCCAGCTCTTTAGGTAAATGCTTCATTATTTGATTGTCAACGCTATCCAAATCAAAGATGTCAAAGCTAGGATAGGAATAGGCGCGCTTGAAGCGACGCGGGTATAAATCTGTCCAGGTGCTATCGCCCAGGAATACCACAGGCAAATCACTTTTAACTATCTGATCGATCACATTGTCTTCGTTAATTTCTGGCGAGGCGAAGTTTGACCCGATGTCAATAAATGTGGGCAGGCTGCCCGTAGTCAGTCCTTTTAGGCGCTGCAACGTTGTCGTCGGCGGATCAGCTTTGAAACGCATTAGACGCGCATTATCCGGCGTTCGTTGATGCAGCTCGTGCAGCACCCCAAGCTTGTTCTCAAAAGGCAATGGCTCGGAATGATTCTCCTTATAGATTCCGAACTCGTATTTTAAAGCATCAACAACTATTACAATTACTTTAGACTTTTGTGGAAGACATAGATTCGACGAAGCATTCACATCCTTGAATATCTCATGCACAACCTCTGTGGTGAGAAAGTATTCCTGTGGTAAATTAATTGAAGGATTAGCATAAGACTTCCATAGAAGTAGATACCCAACCATCATACTTACATCATTGGGATTATTTGAGAGTCGCCGGCAGGAGCTGACCTCCGTTTTAGAGACGCGTGAAAGCAGGAAGCCGCGAGAAAAAAGCAGCACGCCACTGCTAATCAAGTACGCCAGCCAAATGAGCACGAATATGTAGGTGATATTCATTGTTCCGACGCATTAATTAATTCAGTAATTTAAATCTATGTATTTGTACACGGCATTTATAACAATGCTGTTGACTTTAGAACAAAATTTTAAGCTTAACACGAAGTTTTTTAATTGCACTTTGTTTTGGAGTTACCAGTTTTTTATTAATTATGCTGCATCACGAAGCCGACCGACGTTTGTCTTATTTTAATTTAAAATACATAATCCTTAGACGATATGAATCAACTATGGTTGACAAAATATGTGGGGCCGAATTAAAGCGTTGCCACACTGGACTAAGACAGCTGTCGCTTAACCGGCCCTGGTCATTCTATAAAGTTGCCGTACTGTTTGAGTACATCGTAAATGACGAGACGCGTTATTTCAAAAATCGACCTACTCTAATAAAAAGACCACAAAAGCTTTAAATTGGGCGCACAAAAGTTCACATTTATTAAAAGAATAGTACACATATAGCAAATCTTATTCAAATTTAGTTGCAACGAACTATCTGCGTATTTTTGCAGAAATTTTTCTTTATACATTGTGATTGCAGCTCTTAATTTATAAATGGATTTTCTTATTGTGTTTGCATACAAGCTCTTCTCATATATTTAATAAATTTCATGAACGCCATTTAATCACACGGTTCAAAGCCTACAGAAGAGATGAAATTATAAAAATATATTTTTGTATTTCATTAGACATATACATAGATGTACATTATGGTTTTAAATCCGTTTTTATGTTCATGGATGAAGAAAATCTTAGGAATGAAGACAAGCACTTAATGCACATACAATATACCTTGAATGCGATTACACCATTAGAACGCTTTGCTGTTTTATCTGTTATTACGATTTAACATAAAACATAGAACTAAATTCTGTAAAAAAGAATGCTGAAATGCCACATTGTTTATACAATTTATGCACTTCAATTATCAATGGGTTCACATTAAATAGTGCTATTAGATAGTGCTATTCGTATATTTATAAATATTCATATTCATTTTTAATGCCAACAAAACGCACAAAGATTTGTTGTTAATTTTCAGATAATATAAAAACCACACATAATTTGTAATAAAATTCTGATCTTGGTGTTAGGCGCGCACCGACAAATATTAAATAATTACTTGTACGCATTTGTGTATTGTATGCATGTATTAGTGTCGTGTATTAGTGTAATATTATTTGATTATTTGACGCATATCGTGCATAAGTTTATTTAGTAACTGAGTCTGTGGGTGAATTCAGTCCGAAGTCTGTGTTGTTTTCATCCAGAGCGTCTGGGAAACTGGAAACCGAACCCGATCGAGATGTCACCTTTGTCTACAAGAGATAGAGAGATAGAGTTGTAACAAACAAATGATAGACAAATGCATCAAATTTAACTATAACAACATTTATAAACTCAAATACCAAAAGTTTAAATAAATATAATTAGTTCAATTTAATGTTGAACCATGCACATGTTTAGTATTTTATTTACAAGTGCATCTAAAAATGTGCGCATGAACTGCAAAGTGCCTTTCAAATATGAATTTTTGTTAGTGGTCAACGACTATTAATTAGTCACGAACTGGCCATAACATGTTAGGAATATGAATGTGAATAAATGTATAGGATATATAATAAAATAGTAGTTACCGCATGAGATTGGCACAAAAAATTGTTGTGTTCATAGCTTACTTTAACATTCTCATAGGCTGAGCCAACCTTTTCTTCAATCGAACGCATCGATTCAGAGTTTTTCATTTGTGAGAATTTGGACGTAATGCCGCTGGTAATACTGCCAAATACCGAAGCGGTCTTCTCACCTGTCGACTTCAGCACAGATTCAGTGCGTTGGAATCTACGGATAGAAATTATACAGATGTAATAATATTGAAATTTGATGTGAAAACTCAAACATAAGTAACAGCGTTATACGAGCAAGTGCGACAAAGAGTTAAGTTATTGTGTTAAAGGAAACGTGGACAGCGTTTAGTGAGTTGGTACGACAAATTGTGGCCACTGGTTGTTGGCTTTAACACAATTACTTACATGGGTGCTTCATGCACGGCTTTAGTTAAAGTGCCCACGCTTTGCTCCACCGATTGAAAACTATGGGTATATGTTTTGACCATAAGTAAAACGAAAATAAAATAAATTAACACAAGAGACAAAATATGAGTTGATTGCACCTATAAGGGTATATAGTATGCCTCAACTGTAGTTTACATGTGAATTTGCTTACACAGTGCTCTCTTTAACATTCTTGAAGCCCTGATTGACATCATCTGTTAACTCCTTCCAGACGGTTATGCCCAATTTGCGCTTTAGATCTGATGCATGACGTGTCTTTGAGGCCAGAACCGTTCGCAGCGTATTTATTTCCTCCTCCACGCGAGCTAGTTCCTAAAAATGGAAATAAATGTCTATTTAATTGTTGTTTATTTGTATGGGATTCAAATTATAAGCTTACCTGGCTCCATTCGGCGCGCCGCTGCTCCTTTTCCTCTACTGAAAGTGCTGCAAACTCGGCAGCAATCTCTGCTGATGCCACAGAGGCTGCTGGAGATGCCGGCTCCGATATGTTGGCGGTGTTATCTGTTGAGAGACATTTCAGGGGTACGGAATTAAATGACAGATTATATCATGTTGGCTCTAAGGTGTTTTATAATTTAATTAAAGCTTGAATTAGTTTCTTGAATTTGGTGTTGGGCGTGTGGTTTAAGTACCTCCTTTAAAAGCAATTTCCTCAAAGATTTTATCATAGGCTGAGTATTTCGAATTTAGATTTGTTTGAATAAAATTTTTCAATAAGATTGTGCTTGATTAGATGCTTGATAATATAATAATTATACTCACAAACTGTAGCCGAAAATAGTGAGAGCAAAGGAATTGAGAGGAATATAAAGACAATATTGATTATTTAGAATTGGTTCATAAATCTAATCATTACGATAACTACTTATATTATCAAATCATATCAGCTTGACAAACATACTTCGTAATAAACCCAATCCACTCATATCAGGCCTAAATTATGATCGCACTCTCATTCTTCCGCACTTATTACCTTTATCGACGTGGCCAGTTTTTAAGAACCGCTTATAGCTATCACTATTTGATATTTTGGCCAGATAGGGTTTCGAGAAATCTATAAACGTGACCTTAATATCGCGCATTGTGCGCTTTGCCAGGAACTTTAAACGAAAACGTTTTGAAATCGAAGGGGAAGGCGTCTGATTTGCCAGCTTGGCTGCAATAAAGTCTGTTTCGACGACTTGCAACTCAAGCGTGTTGGCATAATCTGAGTCCACATCATAGAATATATCGTCGAGAGTTAGATTGCGCAGGTATTGGTCTGTTTCATCGCACCAATCGAACTCGCTGGGACATAGATCCAACGCTAGTGGCTCGTCAAGCGATGGCGTTGTGGTGATGTCATCAATGCCCGGCAAATAGGGATCCTCAATGAACTCCAAGCTAACGGGTTCCGATTCAGTCATACTGCGATATGTGGCGCGTTTTTTCTTCTTTTTGTTGCTTACTTCATGACAAGCACTTTCTAATTTGGTCAACAGCGGCGGTGGTTACTGTGGCGCATGTGGTTAGGGTCTCACATTTCAAAGCGAGCGCGATCACAACACATACAGACACAAAAACATTTGCTCAATTCTTGAAACTACAACGAAGAGTTGCATTTGTCCATAAAAAAGAGTCGAGGTTTTTTTTCTTTAAATTGTTATAGAATTCATGTTGGAAAGCATTTTCATTTTCTTTTTCCCCATTTAGCGTATCTCGCATAGCCTCGATTCGGTTCCGCGCGCCTCTATAGCAAAACTACAACTAAGCTCAAGTTGAAATTGGTATGAAATTCAACAAGTTGGTTGGTTGTTGGCTTGACTTCGTTGCTGATGATTCGTGTCAGCATACATACAAATGTATACTCTACAATGTGGTGGTAGATTCGAGTTAACAACAGCAACCAGAGAAAAAGACAAGAAAAAGAGCACAAAACAAAGCAAGTAACCAGGCAAAGTTAACAAAGGGGAACAGCAACAACAATAATAAGTGGCTCACTAGCAGCTGGCTTGGTATGTCTTGAGCAACAACAAAAAAGTAGTCTTACAATTGCGTTTGAAAAAAGTTAAAAATGATGGGCCACCTAAAATCAACAAGTGCCGCCCCCTAAGCATGTATTCGCAAAAGATTAATTTATATACATGCACACATACATATGTACATATAAATATATGAATGTACATACAAATGAATATAGGAATTGTTTCATTTATGTTGCATGATGGCAAACTTAATTGGCAATCGCAGTTTCCACTGAATTACACTGAACGAGATTTCATTCGAAATAATGGTGTTTCCGTGACTAACAGCTCAATTAAACGTTTATTAACATACAAATTCTATCGTATCCAAATTCCATAAATAGATGTATGTATTTGCATACATACATACATACATACGTATTAAGAGCTGTATCTGCAAAACAAAACGCCAACAAAATCAACGCCTGCTGGAACTAAAGCAAACCAAGATAGCAACAATAACAACTACACACATGCATATGTGCATGCGTATATGTATGTACATATGTATATAAGTATGGCGTTTACAGCTAAAGAGCTCGATAGATGCAATCCGGAATCTGCCACGTTGCCCAGAATTTGTAATTTTAATAGTATTCTAAATATTTATATTAGGCACAATATCATGTGAAACTACATGTAAAAACATCCCACGAATATTATATATGGCGTATGTGCATATGTATATACAATTTTCTGTGTGCACGTTTTTCTTGAAAACCAAAGGTGCAGGAAAAGCATGACTCATCTTTATTCCTGCGACTATATGTAGCTGCATGTACACTTTACTTTTAGCTGGATAATGTGCCTGATATTTCTTTTCCGATAGTCCAACTTGTTAAATACGTACCCTAATTAGCACCCATTTCACTACACACAACGGGAAAAGGTTCGCCGCCCCAATAAGAAAATCTAGTTTGTTGCATTCAGAGCATTGCACTGTGGCATACGGCAAAATGTAATTATTCGTACAACTGCAAATAACTACAACAACTGCAAAACTTACGGTCTTCCATGGTAGCGCTCTGTTGTTTGCCTTTAAAATCCTTGTTCAGCTTAATGCAATTGAAACGTACTTGTCTCTTTTTATATTTGTTGTTAAGAAAAATTTGCCGCAGGGACCGATGTACAATAAGTGTATCGAAGAACTATCGAATATTCGCTGTCATGGGAATAAGCAGAGTTGCCAGATGTATGGCTGTTTGGCCCATCGAAAGTTTGGCGCACGTCCGGGGATTTTATAAACACAATGCGGTTTAATTTATTTTGTATTTCAAAAGAAATAATATATGTATATATAATGAATAGATTGTTTAAAAAAAGTCGTGAATGAAAAATACTCTTGCACTTCAGCTTCCAAATGCCATCGCATTGCTCTGTCTCATACATTTGATTTCGTCCAGTTTCGAATATAGGAAAATATATACATTTACAATATATTTTTTAGTTCGCTACTTCCTTAATAATACTTATGCAGTGATTTCATTTTTTTTTCTTTTGTAAATATTGTATGTATATTTTTAAAAAATGTACAATATCAGGTTTGTTTATTCTTGGTGTTTTCGAAAGGAATTCCTCCAAACAAGTATTATTGTAGGTATAAACAAAAGAGCAAAACCAAATTTAAAGAAAAACCAAAGATTTTATTTTAGTATTTTTTTATAGTTTGTGGTTTGAGTTTTATTCGTAAGTTTTAATAAAATTCAAATTATGCATCCTGTCTCCCAAAATAAATGGAACGTTCAAACAATTAACTTATATCTTCATCTGGCTGTTTTTGACTAAAAATTAGTCTCCTTAGTAATGATGTTGAAGGTTCCGTTTAATTTGGGGCCAACGTATATATTTGATTATAAAATTTTACAAATGAAAAATATATATTGAAAACAATTTAATATAAATCAAAAAGATTGCACAAAATTAAAATGGTTGAATTCATTTTGAAATGTGTATGGGTGTGTGTTTCGTGGATAAGGCTGGTTAGGGTTAGCAGGAGCAGGCGTGCGGATAGGGAAATAATTTCAAAGCACATGCGTAAATATAATTAAAAATATGATTTTTAGTTGAACATTATATTCAATAATTTCCTTTCATCTGCGTTTATAACTTTTCAACTTTAAGCTTACACGTGTAGTGTTCTGCCCATGCAACGCATGTCCTTTCCTTCTCTATACAATGAAAAACGTTTTTACAATACATTTAACAGCAGATAAACGTTAGAACATGCAATTTTTTACTTTTTAAAAAATTAATATGTAAATGTTGTGGGGCAAATACATTGAAAATAACAGGTTCCATTTTAACGCAACGATGAGAGAGAGAGTAAATATTTAACACTGTTTTTGCTTAAAATTAATTCGTTTATGACGGCAATTCATTCATTAAATATCAAACTCAATTCAGTTTTGAACACTTTGACAAAAATAGTTATTGAACTTTTTGCTTAATTTAAAGGGTCTTTCACTAATTGGAAATAAAAAATGGTTATGTAAAAAGAACTTGGCATTCAAGTTTTAAGAGGAGCAACAAAAGGCACGGCGAATATCAGCGGGTTGGACAGAACTTGGCGCGAAAATTATAAGAGTGTCTGTTTTATGTCGTATAAATGCAATTTCATGTGTTTGGGTGTGTATGTATGTGTGAGTAGTTGTGTGTAGTTGTGTTTACGATTTGCTTCTGTATCAAATTATACAAAAATAGTTGTAGTTGTTTGCTTTGAATTATGGTAGTTTTAACCTGCACAAGTTGCGTTATAGAAAAGCTCCTAGGAGACAACCTATACCATTTGACACTAGTTTTCGACTAACGAGTCCGCACGCCTGCTGCTGCTCGCCACCGTTACTGCCACTGCCACAGTCACTGTCACCAGACCCGTTCTATTCCCCGCCCTATATTGCCATATTGCTGCTGCTAACCACTTGAGCACTTAGTTTTTTGGACCCCACACGGAAGTGATGGGTGTGGCCGCTACAGGGGTACCACTCGCAGAAAAATGCGGGAAATCCTCCTGCGATTGGGTGTTGGGCGCAGTTAGGTTCTTGGCTTGTTGCTTCTGCTTCTCCCACGGTGCATCCTTGATGATGAAACCGTTCTCGTTGTTACTTCCACCGCTGGCCCCGGCAAGGAAGGCGCCCACAGTCTGCGGCTGGGGTGATGGTGGCAAATTCTCCAAATAATCGCGCTCATAATCTTCGGCCATGCTAAGGAGCGCCTCCTTGGCATTTTCCACATCATCCTCTTTGCCAATGATGGTAACAGCATTCGGATTATTTTGAGCATCGTCTGAAGATGGGAATTTGATGTCCACCTATATTACACAACAAAGAATTTATAATAAATATATTACGTTAAGAAAAGTCTAGTCTTTGCTTACGTACCTTATAATCATCAATGATCTTCCGAATAGTTCGTCCACGATGACCAATGATATGAGAGTGAATGCGCGAATCAATCTCGATGACTTCGCGGTGCAAAGTTTGCAGTTCACCAACGATTTCCAGTATGGCATCGCGGGCGGCCTCCGCCTTGGCTTGATAGCCGGTGATGGTGATAATGCGCTGATTAGGATCGTCGCGCTTGGGCAGCGAGATGTTAACGTCATGATCGGCGCGCAGTTTATTGATAACGGCGCCTTGCCGTCCAATGAGTTTAGAATGATACTCTGTTTCGACATCCACCTGCAGGACGAAGGAGCGTAGCTCGCGATCAGCACGATCGGCCTCATAGTCTTCGATCATTTTCTGAAGCGCTTCCTTGGCTTCGGCCACATGAGCCGGTGTGCCCGAAACCTTAATTACATCGGATTTGAGTTCGCTGGGCGGCAGTTCAACATGCACGTCATGCTTGGACATAAATTGACGCACATTGGCACCGCGTGGCCCAATGATAGTGCGATGCAGATCGAAAGGAACATTAAGCTCTTCTTCGATAGGAATAAGGTCGATTAGCGCCTGTTTAGCGGCGTTGCACTTCTCGATGCGTCCGGTGATACGAATAACATCGCATTGACGTACAGGTTCCTCGGTTGTCTCGCCATCAACGCCATTAGTTTCACCATTGACCAATCCCTCCACCGGTTCGGTGGCATCGCGATCAGGGAACTTGATCTGTACATCATACTGAGATGTTACCATCTGCACCTTATATCCACGTGCGCCCATTATTGTGCGGTGCTGGCGCTGTGGTATGATAACATCGATTGTAGTTTGTGCCTCCAAGTCGGCCACAATCTCGGCAATGCGCTGCTTGGCTGCCTCAATGCATTCCTTGGGACCTTTGAGCGTTACCTTGTCAGAATTTGCACCGGGACGGGGGAAGGATATCATGACACCACCACATTCCTCCGAAATTCGATGCAGAATAAAACCGCGTTTGGCCACAAAGTGTTTGTGGTGCTTAGGATCAACGACAACCTCGCCTTCAGTTACCTCATCGCACTCCTTGATGATGGCTTCTAGCTGCTCCTTGGCCTTCTTTACGCTATCCTCCTTGCCAATGATGGTGATGACCTCTTTATCGGTGTCCTCGTTCGAAGGAAAGATGATGCGTGCGCCCGTCGCATCGCGAATCTTACGAATGGAAGCACCGTTCTTGCCAATGAGGAATTTGTGGTGCTGTTGCTTGGCACGAACTTCAGCGGTAAACGAGGCCAATTGACGCTCGTTGGCAAGTTCGAGCAGCTGACCCTTGGCCTTTTCAACATCATCCTTGGGGCCGCGAATGGTGACCTGTGTAAAAAACACGGCCATTAGAATTTGGTAATTTTTTGTTTAGTTATAACTTACCTTGTCGCTCTTGGATTCGCTGTTGGGGAATTTGATGGAAACGCCCCCACACTCTTCCATAATGGAAGAAATCAACTTGCCGCCGGTGCCGATAATGGAATTGTAATATTTGGGCGGGATTTGCACCTCTTCGGTCACAATATCGGACAATTCATTTTGGATTTTTTGTATGCGTTCCTTAGCCTCCAGAACATTTTCCTTTTTACCAGTGATTACGATCACTTCGTTGGTATCACCCTCGGCGGGTAAGTCGATTTTCGTTTGGGTTTCGTCGCGAATCTTTTTAATATTGGCACCACCTTTACCTATAACGAACTTGTGGAATTGCTTGAATATCGGAACTTCAATGATGTGCGAAGATTCCTGGATTTCTTTAACAAGTTTCAACAGATCCTTGTGGCATTTGTCCACATCCTCCTTGGGTCCACGCAATTTCACAATATCAGTATTTTCCTGAGGCGTAGGAATCGTGATGGTAACCTGGCGGTAGCGGTCCTTGATCTCACGGATCTTCTCACCTTTGGCACCAATGATTGAACGATGCAGGCGACGATCAATGATGACATCCTTTGACTTTTCATTTTCCAGTTTGTCGATTTTTTCTTGTAATTCAAGCTGAGCCTGTTGCACACCCTCTTTGGGACCCTCGATGCGAATATTGTTTTGACCTTCGCGTTCCTCAATGTTTATATTAACCTTCAGCTCATCCTTTAGACGGTTCACATTCGCACCGTTTTTGCCAATAATGTGCTTGTAGTACGAGGGATTGACTGTCATAACAACGTACGTGAAGTTCTGCTCGTAGTTACGAATAATCTCGGTCAAATAGCTCATGGCCTTGTCCACATTCTCGGGGTCGCCTTCCAACTTGATCTTGTCTTCCAGACAGTTAACATTCACATTGGGGCAATCTTCCTCCAGCTGCTTCATGTTGACACCTTTGCGACCGATGACGTACTTGTGGGTCCAATGTGGTGCTTTAATCTCCACCGACTTCACCGAATTCGCTTTCTGGTAAACCACAGTGAGGGCATTGCCCAAAGCTACTTGGGGCCCACGTAGAGTAATTGTCTCCGATGGTGAATCGTTGGGCGGCATTTCAACAGACACTCCAGTGAGTTGAAGAATCTCGGCGATGGTTGCGCCCTTAGGTCCGATGACGTAGCGATGCTGCGGCTTGGCCACCTCAACGCTCACCGTAGAGCACTTTTTCTCCATCTCCTTGTAGATGGCCTCAACCTTCGCCTTGGCGGCAGCAACTGCATCCTTTTCGCCCGAAATAATGATCTCATCCTTCTGAACCTGCTGCGGCGGCACATTAATCTTGGCACCGGTTTCCTCCTGCAACTTGTTCAGATTCTCATTGGAGGGACCCACAATAAACGGATGGTAGATTTTCGGCACAGTCGTGCGATCTGACGATTTCTTATATTGCTCCGCGGACAATTGCCGAATCTCCTGCTCGGCTTTTTCAATGCCCTCCTTGGTGCCGGCAATGGTTATAAAATCGCTCTCATCACCCTGATTCGGAATATTGATGCGCGTCGAGGTGAGGCGCTCCAGTTCGCGCACACGCTCGCCTCGTTTGCCCAGAATGACGCGATAATGCTCCTTGGGGATGCTAACCTGGCGACTTGCCTGCGCCGAGAAGCTCATCAAGATCTTGCGACGAGCGTCAAGCAATTCACTCTGCTTGCCCTTGATTAGGAAGGTGAGCGACTGATTCTTTCCACTAGCGATTTCAATCTGAGCGCCTGTCTCCTTCGTGATCTGCTGGCAAATGCGCTTCGACTCGCCCTCGCCAAATTTCTCCGATTCCGTAGACTTGCGCTCCTCACCGGGCACGTGCAACACCTAAGCCAAGTGCGTAATAAAGTGAGTTAGACTGAAATGTTAGCAGTGTTTTTTGTATAGTCCTACCTGCGTCTTTTGCGAGCTCGTCACGCGCGCTATGGCCGGACCAGCCGAATTGGATAGCGGTACGGATGCTGATGTATTTGCCGGCAAGGCTGGGAAAAGATCATCATAGCTAAAGGCAGGCGTGGCATTGCCAGTGCCGCTATTGGTGCTAGTGGGCGTGGCCACCGAAGTGGGCGATGACGGTTGCTCGTTGGACACCTGCTCTTGGCCATTGTTCAGGGCGATTGGTTGCTCAATGTTGGTTGCTGCGAAGACACAAAATTAATGATGCGGTTGAATAATGTTTTATTGTTTAAGATTACCGTTAGATTCCTCCATCACTGCTGCTTGCATTACTTAAAAAAGAGAAGAGTCCTTTTCGTTCCAAGTCGTTACAGTACCACTGAAAAAAAAAAAAAAAATTAAATATATATTATAATAGATGAAGAAGGTTTTGGTTAACGCTTTTGAATCAATATTTTATTTTCCCCAAGAAATATTTATTTTAAAATAGAAAATTCGTCAACAGATAATCGCCGATAAATGGTCATTGTATTACTTTTTTTTTTTATAAATTTATGTATTGCCAGCCAGCATATGATAAGCCACTGATCGAGCCACACTTTCGACCCTCATGTCGACGCGCCGATAACGTACGGTTTTGTGTGTTATACAATAGGAAATACTATGTACCTCGACTATACGAATATTCTTTATATGTGAGGGTCTTGACTTCGCGCTGATTTTGATAAACCGATTCTGTCTTTTCATGACTTTCTCATTTTTATATTTTTGACTTTCTCAACAACGAACACGTAACAACAGGGCCCAATTCGGCCAGCGACTTGGCGTTTAGCGTTTAACTGATATAGATTTAACTTTATATTTTATATACATTATATAGAGCGCTGGTTCCCCATATGTATACACACAAGCAATTTCGCGCAACTATTGATAAGAAACTCAAAGATACTTCTATGCGCATGCATGCAGTTTATATGTATGTAAGTACATTCCTATACTATATGTTAGTATGTATGTATGTACAAATGTATAAACCGATGTACATTGTACATCGTTCTTATCAGTAATGGCATCTTGACCCATTCTGTGATATTGAAACAAGTGAAAGGTATACGAGGCCTTTGGCCTTTGAGTGCAGTGGAGACAAATAGCGAGAGTAGGGGCAACTTGTTTTCTCTCTTGCCACAATTTACAGTTTGGCGCACGGCAAGCGGACGTGCACTTGTTAAGCAAGAAGCAAAGAAACCAAAAACTGAACATCGAAATTCAAGAAACGCTTGATAGCCTGATTATTCTTCTGCTTTTGCCTGCTTCATCTGTGTTTGTAGTGTGTGTGTTGAGTGTGTGTGTGTGTGTAGTGTGCGTGTGGTTTTCTAAATCAGTGAGCTCTTCCTCTGAGCCCCTAACAAGTTTTGTAGCCTACATTTTCTTTGGCAGTTCAACGATACACAACAACAGCAATAGCAACGGGCAGCAACAAGAACAACTAAAAGACATTTTACCACTATCGCTGAATGCTGTTATAAGAACAAGAGAGAATAGTGCAGTCGAGCAAGCCCGATAGTTAAATACCCTGTATCCAAAAACAACCAGACAAAAAAAATATAAGAAAACCATTGATATGGCTTGGTGATAGTAAGATGCTTTAATAATAATTAATATTTTTTAAATAAAATGTGAACTAGGGGTGGAGAAAAAAAGGTAGTTTCCAAAATTTAGTTTCTTATATTTGGAATTGTGGGCACTGTTGTTGAAATTCTGCGGGGAAACCATATACACAAATATATAAATTTGTTGTAGGAATTTGTAAATAATAAGGTTGGTCCAGGCGGTTATCCAGACAGGCGAAATGATGCAGATATGTCTGTTACATATATTTGTATAACTTTTATATACTCTTTATACCATTCGGGTATAGGGTATACAAATATGTCAAAAGAAGAAACTGCGAGAGCCGGAGCGGCAAAGAGAGTGAGCCTAGGCTGACTCGTCGGTGGGGGCTTGCGCGGGTAGCTGATATAAAACCGGATGATAGCCGGCACTGGCACTACACAATAAAATGATCGACAAGTGTATGTGTAACTATTTAAGTATGTGTGCTGCTCTGCACTTGTATTCTCAACATTGCCTGCATGCGCACTTTTACACTGCCCGTGCCTTGTGATTGTTCATATGTGTGTGTGCCTGTGTATGAGTGTATGTGTATTGGTGCTTGGCACCTTTCGAGCAACATTTCTGAGCGCTTACGAAAAAAAAAAGACAAGGTGCGCACAGGTAAAAGCACAAACAACAATACACAGAAGGCAAAATACTTCGATGGATGTTCATAACACAAATACAAGAGACAAAGAAGCAAAGTTCAGCTTCAAATTTGTTGCACATGTTCGTTGTAGGCTATTGACGATGTAGTAGTCCGCCGACATAGTTTTTGGGCGTTTACTGGGCTAACTTGCATTCTGCATCTACATACATACATATGTACATAAATATAAGTTATTAGTGAGCAATTAGAGGTTGCTTGTTGCCAAGACTGAGGGAAAGACATTCTTATTTAAACAGTTTGCGCGTTAACAAAAAACGAGTAGATTGTTAAAGTAGCGCCTGCTCGACTCTTGAATACGCTCAAAATAATAAAAACGAATTTATTATAAAAGAGTGATTTTTGAATTAATTTCTATAATATATATTATTAAATATGGTGTGTAAGACAGAGGGACGTGCGATCTACCACGCCTTCTTCTTGGCATTTTGACTTTCTAGTATACTTAAGTATCTTTCGGGTACAGGGTATGCAAATAGTTGGCAGCACAAATAGTTGCAACAACAACAACAAAAATAAACTGTTGACGTAGTCATTTCAGCTCAAAACTGTGCATACTTAACTAAACCGTTAACTTTTTGTTTTTGGCCATCAGCGAACGTGATTGTGTGCAGCTGTGTTTACACAGGCAATACAAACATACACATATACATAGTCGCTGGTTGGGCAAATTATGCAAATTAATAAAAATTCTCGACAGGTTGTTCAACTTACTGTACTGTAAAATCCAAAAAATCCGGCCTATTTATTTACTTTAACAAAATCCAGTTTGATAACTTGGCGTGTCCTCGGCTGGAAAATGGAGAAAACACACACATGCATGTTATTATTAAAAAGAATGTATTTAAAATTTGACTGGGCACGAAAGGTGAAACATGTAAAACAACCAAAAGCAATAAAGATGCCTCCGGCTGAAACGTGTTTTTTTTTTGCTTAGTGTGAGTGCATTTTGACGAGCATATACGAATTGAATAGCCGCTTGTGCATAGATTTACTGATAAATGTGAGACGACATCACCCGCCCCTGCTATGCGACCTTATGGCAAAGCCCGAACGACATCGCTGCATAAATATGCGGGCCACTTATTGGACAATTGTTGTTGTTTTTGCTGCCGCCACTGCAGTTCAGTATAAAAGTGGAGCACAGCACAAAATTTGGTTTCAATGTATGTGAGTGTATGTATGTGCGGTGTTGCGGTTCTTTGAGTGTGTGCGGAAGCGAATGAGAGAGCGCATATTATTTGTAGTCTTCAATGGATGGAAATCAGGTGAAAGGTTTTACTTCAACTTGTTTGAACGCGTGGGCAGACAATGGGCTGAAATCGAAAGAAATTGCTGCGTAAAGTCTGCAATATTTTTCGTTTTGTGGAAATATTTACTAAAGCTACGGTCATTAGACTTGGAAAAGTAAGCCACTAAAAAGATTCTTTGTAGCAGAAAACTATATTTTTATGTAAAATTCTCGAGTTTTAATTGATATTACATTATAATCATAACACACATGTGAAATTAAGCAGATTTGAATGCATATTATTTGTCTGTTTGATTATTCCCTAACACACCACATTTCAACAGAAAAATATAAAAGTTCAAAAATCAGTCGTCGTCTACCCACATAGACACACATACAACATACAACACCCATGCGACACCACCGTCGCTCTTTTCAAGACTTTGCTGCCGCGGCTATTTCCTATGTGTGCGTGAACGTTGACGTCTCCGCTGTAGCGGACTACGAAATATGGCTCTGTCTGTCTGTGTGTGCGGGCGGGCGGGCATATGTGAGTGCGACTGTGTCTGTGTTTGCCTATGTTCGTGTGTGTTGATAAAAACCATTGAAAAACACGTTGTTTTTCTGACCAACAGTTTTATTTTACAATTTCCGCAAGGAACAGTTCTGGGGCATTCATTGCACTTGCGGCTAACAAAGTACTTTCAAATTAAATTCAAACACGGGCTCCACGTTGCTCGTAAAAAAGGTGTTGCAGTGGCGAGAGCGGCCTAAATTTTTCCCCTAATTTAATGATTGCCCTGCTCACAAAACTGTAAATTTATGCACATTTTCGCCCAACATTGACGATTTTCATTTAGTTAAGAGGCAGTATTAGTTCTTGTACGATATTTTAATAAAAATCTGTTTAGATTCTCAGACTTTCTAGCAAAATGCAACGCACGGCACGGCACAACGTAATTTACATTACCGACTCCAAGTGTTGAACTGAGCGACGAACGTGGCACATTAGGGATGTTGATAGTATATCGACATATCGATATTCTAGAATTTTCGATAATATGTATTATAAGGCGGGATTACTATTATCGATGTTTTGATGATGTAAAGGTTAAAATTGAGATTTCGTTATCCAAAGTAGTTAAAATTTTCCTAAAAAAGTATGTTCTTAGGGACGGTAATGTTATGTAATGTAATGTTTTATTTATATTTTCTATTTCTTCTTGCGTTAAATATGTTTCATCGCCTATTTCAAATGTTTTTTAATGCCCTAAAAAGCGTATTTTAAGTTCGATATTTTTATGTCGGGTAGTCGTTATCCTATATATTTTTAAAGGTACGTACTCATGGATATTCATTGTTATTTAACGATATCATTCAGCTTAAACTTGATTAATTTACATAGTTTTAATATAACTCAGAACTAAAAACATAAATAAATAAATATGTACCAAAAGATATATGTGATCTGGCAACACTTGCCAACCTTATCCCATCACTAATGCCATTCACTTGCTGCAACCTGTGGAGCTACCATATATTGATTGATTAGAACTGTTTGAACAAAGAGGGGAGCGCTGGTGTGTGGGTTCATTGTGCGCAAAAATCACACAGCCTCTGGTATTTCCGGATTGAGATTGTAAAAGAACCCGATAAGCATACGCAAAATGTCAAAGTTAAGAGGCCTGTTGCCCAGCATTTTCGGCAGTAGCAAAGAGAAGGAGACACAAAACCACACATGCACAACAACAGAAAATGCTGGAGAAGAGGGTAGATTAGAAACAGATGCAGCGCCAGTGGACGATGGCGGATTTGAAAGCAGCAATGGAGCTATTTCAAGAGTGACCACTACTCCGACTGCATCTGCAGAACTAACCGCAGAGGTTGTGCGCGAGCTTTCGGATCCGAATTACAATTCAATGGAAGTTGTGGAGTCAACTACAATTCCGGGCGCTTTGGTGAATGGAACCTGTGGTAGCAACAGCAGCAGCAACAACACCATGAATACCATGAATGTGCATAGTGCGCAACAACAGGTCGTTATGAACTTCTCGAATGCCAGCAATCTTCATTTTGGCTCCGTGTACAACTTTAATCAAAATCTGAGCGCTAACAGTTCACGCAAGAACAGCACAACAGACGAAAGCGCAATAGCGATGTCACCAGACAAAATGGCTGGATCGAGACAGCGTCAAGTGCCGCGCAAGACTACCACTATTGTGGCCATGATGCAGTGTCAGGATGAACCTGAAATGCGCCTCCTCGACACAGTAGCTTCACATTTGGGAGAGGGCTGGAAGCAAATTATGCGCGAACTGGGCCACTCAGAAGGACAGATTGAGCAGGCGATTATTGATCATCAAATGCACGGAAATATCAAGGAGGTAAATCGATCCCAATCGTTATAATCTACAGTTAGTACAAAAATAAATTTATTTTCAGGTTATCTATCAATTGCTGCTGCAATGGGTGCGCGCTGCTGATGATGGCGTTGCTACAGTTGGCCGCCTAACGACATTGCTTTGGAATCAAAATCATCGAGACTGCGTTCAACGCATGAAAATTGTTTGGAAAGCAATTGAAAAGCGCAAGACATCCAGTTAGTTGATTAGTTGTTGGTCTACAGGCTTCAACACATTGATTCTTTCGGAAATTTGGCAACCGTTTTCTAGACTTATTAAGTAATGCTTAAGTTTTTCACTGGAGACGGAGACTTAAGCTTGTTTCTGTAAACACTTATCTCCAAGTTTTTAAACTGTCACATAGTTACCTAAAATTTTGATTTCAAGTGCTTGAAATGTGCATTTCTAAAACGCCGGAAGTTATTAATCGTTGAATTTGAGACCAAACATTTTGTGCAATACTTTTTATAAAAACGTTCGAATAGGTGCTGTATAATCATAAGCTTTTTTATGATTCCAAATATGCGAAATTATGTTGGCGAAATAATTGCAAAATAAGCGAAACGAAATTGTTCAATTTAAAAGATGTGCACAAATGTTTATTTTGCATAGGTAGCGATCGCCGAGATTTACAAAGTTTATGCTGGTAGACGGAAAGCTAAGCTTCTCCGTACCAGATGCGATAACGAAAAACGAACTTGACTTGCAGAGTTAGCGACAATAACTAGTACATATGTGGCGGCTGCGCAGCAGCCTATGCAAATTTATGGCAACAAAAGGAAACGTTAAGTGCTCGGCTTGCTATGCAAAGCAAGCGACAAGAAAACGAGCACTTTGCATTGAGTTATTTACGTTACTTATTAACTATGATGTGCTGCTGGTTTTGGCTGTTTTTGGCCGGATGACCAAACATACTCCCCCTGTTGAAGAACCAGGGTCTTCAACAACATCTTGTTTCGGCAGCGGGCATAATTTGCGAACGGCTCGCCGAATGGTTCCAGTGGAAGTCCTCAATTCTGCAACTCTCGACACGCCATCTGCGCCGCTGATGAGGCTGACCACCCTTGCTAATGGCCATTTGAGGGGCGGCAAATTCTCGTCCTTGACCAGAACGACATCATCAATGGAGAGTCCAGGCTGCGACACTCGCCATTTTGAGCGCTGTTGAAGAAGCGTCAAGTATTCTTCACGCCAGCGAGCCCAAAATATCTGCTGGTAGTACGTCACGCGCTGCCATCGATCCAGCCGATTGAAATTGAGCTTCGTCAGATCAGGCTCAACGTACGTTGACAGCGGAGCAGCACCAAGAAAATGAGCTGGAGTCAAGACATCGAGATCTGCTGGATGTTCTGAAAGGGATAACAATGGGCGAGAATTAATAATTGCCCCGATATGGCATACAAGCGTGCGCAGTTCATCAAATTCGAGCAGCGATAGTCCGACGGATCTGTAGAAATGATGCTTGGCAGTCTTTACAGCCGCTTCCCATAGACCACCAAAGTGAGGCGAGCGCGGCGGAATGAAACGCCAATCAATACAGTCAGCAAGGCAAAATTCTTGCACAGCCTGCAGGTGCTCGCTGGATTCAAAAAGACGCTTTAGCTCAGCCATCTCGTTCCGTGCGCCAACGAAATTTGTAGCGTTGTCAGACCAGATCCTCGTAGGTCGACAGCGCGTCAAAATAAAGCGTTTAAGTGCATTTAAGAATGCTCCGGTGGTTAAATCCTTCACCAACTCCAAATGCACAGCCTTGGTGGCGAAGCAAATGAAAATGCAAATATAGCATTTTATTGGTGCCTTATTGCGGACCTCGCTTTTGTAGAAAAACGGCCCACAAAAATCCACACCAGTGACCATAAAGGTATGTGAAGCATCAACTCGATCCTTTGGCAGGTCAGCCATAACATGCTCCACAAGACGAGGCTTGGCTCGAAAACAAATGGTGCATTTGCTGACTACGCTGCACACTGTTTTCCGACCGCCAATTGGCCAATACTGCAACCGAATTGAGGCCAGCAATGCACGAGGTCCAGAATGCAGATTACGGACATGGTAGTGCATAATGACTGAACGCGTGACTGGATGACGCCTTGGAAGTATAATTGGATGCTGGGCTTCAAAGTCGAGCGCAGAGTTACTTAGACGGCCACCAACGCGCATCAATCCAGAGCTGTCGAGAAACGGAGATAAAGAAAGACAGGAGCTAGACGATTTCAAAGTGTGTCCGGCCTGCAAGGTCTTGTATTCGTCCCGAAGCGTAGACATTTGAATTGAGCGCATCAACAGCAGTGTACCATGACGGATGCAGTCCACCGATAGCCCAGGAATTCGTACACGGTGCAGGAACTTGTATACATATGCAAACACGCGCTGCAGCTTTCCAAATGTGTTAACATATTTGCATTGCTGTGCAATGTCTTCGCACAGTGTGGTGCTTACAAACACTTTAGAGCGCTGCTCAGGAAGCGACGAGACGGAATTGCAAGACTCTGGCCAAGAAGATTTATCTTTCGTCAGAAATGCGGGACCATGTAGCCACAAGTTGGACTGGACTAATTCGCTGGGCAAAGCTCCACGTGAAAGTATGTCCGCAGGATTTAAATCGGTTGGAATATATCGCCATTCCATGCCAGAGGTCAACTCTTGAATAGTTGCGATGCGATTGGAAACGAAAATTTGAAACCTGGATGGCTCGCTGCGAATCCAAGATAGCGCTACTGCAGAATCAGACCAACAATAAAACTTGCAGTCGAATAACTCCATACGAGATATTTCGTTTATGAGTTGTGCCAGCAAAACGGCTCCGCACAACTCTAGTCGGGGCACGGTCAACGATTTGAGCGGCGCCACACGAGATCTGGAACACAGCAGCTCCGCACGAGATTGGCCTTGCGTGGTCGAAATGATGTACACGCAAGCTCCATAGGCATCTATGCTGGCATCACTAAAACCATGCACTTCAATGGAAACACCAACAGAAAGTGCAAGCCTTGGAAATTTCAGCTGCTTTGTGCGCTCAAAATCTGCAATAAGATTATGCCAAGATGTTGTCAATGATGCTGAAAGGCTTTCATCCCAATCAAGCCTTTCTCTCCAAAGCGCCTGCAGGAATATCTTAGCCTTTGCGATTACTGGTCCAATAAGGCCAAGCGGATCATAAAATCTGGCAATAGTTGACAAAACAGTGCGCTTGCAAATTCGACCAGATGTCAATGCTGGCAGAAACGTGAAAATGAATAAATCCGTCGCAGGATCCCACGACAGTCCTAGAGTTTTTGTTATGTCGCTGCCATCATCAAACTTAACTAGAGTTTCTTTGTCTTCTTCCGGAACTTGTTTGAGCACATCAGGATTGCTGGAGCACCACTTCCTTAGCTTGAAATTAGCCTTGGCAAGTAGCCCTGTGGTTTGTCTCATAATTTCTATGACTTCGTTTGTAGAAGCACCACCAGTGATTAAATCATCAACATAAAAATCGCGGCGCAAGATATCGGAGCCAATAGGAAATAGCTCATGCTCATCTTCAGCCAGCTGATGCATAGTGCGAACGGAGAGAAACGAGGCAGGCTTTGTACCGTAAGTGACGGTATCAAGACGGAAAACTTGAATAGGCTTTTGAGGCGAGTCACGCCATAGAATGCATTGAAAATAGCTATCCGGATTTGATACTCGCACGCAGCGGTACATCTTGCAGATGTCTCCTGTTAAAGCGATAGGAAACGTGCGAAATCGAAGAAGCGTGTTTGCGAGCTTTGACTGAATGGAAGGACCAGCCATTAGGATGTCATTTAAAGAATGACCAGAGGATGTGGATGCGGAACCGTCAAACACGACTCTCAACTTTGTCGTTGTGCTGTCCTCCTTCAGAACGCAATGGTGCGGCAGGAAATACTTGCACAAATTTAGCGAAACTGGCGATACAAGCGACATATGACCCAACTCTAAATACTCCTTAATGAATGCAGAGTACTGTGCTTTGAGAAGTGGATTGCGTTCTAACTTTCGCTCCAAGTTTATGAACCGACGATAGGCTTGCGTATAGGAATCGCCAAGCAGATCTGTGCTGAGCTTTACAGGCAATCGGACGGAATACTCGCCAGTACGCAGGCGCCTGTAATTAGCCTTGAAATGCTCCTCGCAGTCGAACTCTTCTTTGGTGAGTTTTACAGCCGGATCGACACCACTTTCGAGTTCCCAAAAAGAGCGAACCATCTGCTCGATTCGTGTATTGCAATCCTGTGTAGACGGAGACTTGGATGCAACCAAAGCAGATTTCTGACGCTGCGAGCCACCTCCAGTAACTATCCAGCCCAAACGAGTCTTTTGCAGAAGTGGCAGGCCATCAGCCAGTTTAATCTGACCTACGCACAACAACTCGTAGAATACATTGGCACCGATAAGCATATCAATTTGCTGTGGCTTGAAGAACGCCGGATCAGCTAAGCGGACATTGCTTGGTATATCCCAATGAGATATGTCAACCGTGAAATTTGGTTGGTTCTCAGTAATGGAAGGAGCGACCAAAGCAGTAATATTTGCGGAATAGTCAGTGACCAATGATTGCAAGCATAAGTGCACAGTGCAACCATCAGACTTGAAACTGACGTCACCAAGACCAGACACAGAGGCCGACGACTTGGTCTTTCGAAGTTGGAGCCGGTGAGCGAATCGCGAAGTTATTATGTGCAACTGTGATCCGGAATCGAGCAGTGCACGGCAGGGTACCCAAGTCCCGGCGCGATTTTGAATGCTGATGACAGCGGTGGCCAAGAGCACAACATCTGAGCCGAGATTTTGGGCAGGCAATGAAGCAAGCGATGTCACCAAAATGTATAATCATAAGCTTTTTTATGATTCCAAATATGCGAAATTATGTTGGCGAAATAATTGCAAAATAAGCGAAACGAAATTGTTCAATTTAAAAGATGTGCACAAATGTTTATTTTGCATAGGTAGCGATCGCCGAGATTTACAAAGTTTATGCTGGTAGACGGAAAGCTAAGCTTCTCCGTACCAGATGCGATAACGAAAAACGAACTTGACTTGCAGAGTTAGCGACAATAACTAGTACATATGTGGCGGCTGCGCAGCAGCCTATGCAAATTTATGGCAACAAAAGGAAACGTTAAGTGCTCGGCTTGCTATGCAAAGCAAGCGACAAGAAAACGAGCACTTTGCATTGAGTTATTTACGTTACTTATTAACTATGATGTGCTGCTGGTTTTGGCTGTTTTTGGCCGGATGACCAAACAGGTGCTTAGAATTTTCTTTATTCGTATACTATATATATATCTGATTCGTCACTCTTTGGTGAACAATGTGATATTTGAAAGCAAAACTAAACTTTTTGATCAATTTACAAAATATATACATATGTGTTTATAATTAAATTTGAAATGTGTCAAAGGTTCCAAAACATATTTAAATGTAATGTTTTTCTATCAGCATCGCCTCAAACAATCTTCGTGATCTTTGCACTGAACATGTCGATTAGCATTTGCGCTCCGTTGCCGTTGATCGTCTGATAGTCGGGCAAGTGCGCCATACGCTCCAGCCAGGCCTGCAGCTTTGGATAACGCTTCTGCTCAATGGGTGCCAAGCCCACTAGACTGGAGACAGTGGAAACAACACTGAAATCGGCAATTGTCACGCTAGTTCCTGTCAAGTACTGAGCTACCAGAAATGATTCCAAGAACCCGTACGCCTCATAGATGGCGTCGATTTTTGAGCGCGGCACCTCAGTAACATTTTGATAGAAAATCGGCAACGCAATGTTACGCAAGCAGCCTTGGAACAGCACGCCAGACTCAAAGTGCAAACGCTGGTCGACAACGGCACGTCTGTAAAAGTCCTTGGGATAAAGGCTATCGTCTTTGCCATATTTTCTCACCAAATACGCGCAAATGGCATGCGAGTCCCAGATACTCTTGTCTCCATCCTCCAACATAGGCACAGTATGCTGGGGATTCTTTACCATGTATTCCCGAGTCTTGTGTTCACCAGCCAGCAGATTAATCAGTTTATATTCATATTGTAAGCCAAGGGCGTGCAGTGTCAACTTGCAGGCGCGTACTGGCGGACTCGGCTCCAGGCCATATAACACCAGCTTTCCCATAGCTAATCGAGACTGATTGTAAGGCCGACTTTGTAGAATGAACGCCTTTGCGAAACTGAACGGCCTCGACAAAGCTTTGCTTAATTAAAATATAATTATATTCGAGCGGCACTTACCTATAAATACATATATGTACTTAGTACTTATGTATAAATGTATAAGTGTGTAGTATAAAATTCGTTTCTATTTGAAATCAAAGCTTTCCATAGTTCTCAGTATTATAGCTGTGATTAGAGGGCTTGGCTACCAGCAAACGCTTATATAGTCACGTAAGTTGTTAGCAATCTGTAGTTCTGATATTGACTGCATTTGTTAAATATTTGATGTACCTATTTATTTGTCACTTACGAGTGTCGCTATACACTGCAATCAAAGCGAATATTAGAGTGGTTCACAGGCTTATATTTACCGCATTGGTTAAATATTTGATGCATCTAATTATTTGTCACTTAAGAGGGCCTTTATATCCTGTATTTAAAGCGAATATTGAGGTGGTTAAAATGCATATACATATGTATAACATTGCTGAAGTTTTGATTAAGGATTTTATACAATTTTTTGATGGCATTATTTGAACAAACAGTTTCATATTTAGAAAAACTTTTAATTTTTAGATCTTACTGGATAGTCATAACCAGTTTTTGTGATTGTAAGTCGGCATTTGTATTTGGAATTAAAATTATAACTATATCTTGAATCTATAATTTTATTTTGTAATATTTACTATAGTTTCTTAAAATGTGATATTATTTTGTTGTCCATCTTTATTTTAATTATACTTTTCGTAAAATTTCGCAAATATCTTTTTACAATTTGGAATCAAATCACTTTGAAACTAAATAATAAATAAGAAATACAGATACAAAAAAATGAAGTTTTAAATAGTATAGCTTGTACGTAATAAAAGCACGTAATAGCTCAATATCTTATCTGTGCTATAGCTTATCAGGTAAACACTTTTATTATGGCTTTGCCATACATATATAGAGAGAAATTTCGTAATAATTTGATAAAAATCTATCAATTCTGTAATCGTGAAAGCACTCCTTCAGACATACTTGTGCTCTGCACTGATAAAGAAGAATTATTGAATTTTTAGAGCACATAAAATTGTTAAAGAGAAAAATAATAAGCGCACTTCTGGAATTATATTAATAATGTTATTGAATCCTATTCGATCGAACTTGTCAATTTGCCTAGTTTTCCCTGATACTCTGGGAGGGGAAATGGGTATACGTATACTAGTATTGTGCGAATGGACGTAAGACACAGAAGGCCGACCCCACAAAGTTTATATACAAGTATTCTTAATCGGGATGGCAAGAATCGATTTCCGTTTGACCGAAGGTCCCTCTGGATGAACGAAAGGATCTCAACAAGACCTAGAATAACCAAAATTGGTACCCTGAACTGGAATTTAGAAGTCTTGAATGAGAAAATATTTTTGATTTATTTGAATATTTATTCGATTTATATTTATGGCAAAATTGTAAAATTCGCATTTTTTAATTCCGCCACCAATTTCGTAGCACCACTGCCATTGGCCTCCTCGTAATAGGGGAGCTGCTCTAGACGCCTCATCCAAGCAACGATTTGCGAGTACTTAACCACTTCGATATCAAGGAAAGCAACCAGTGAAGTGATTGAAGAAATCAGACTGAAATCTGCAATGGTGAGATGATTACCCGCGATATAGTTATGGTGCTTAAGAAATTCCTCCATAAAATCATAAACCTCGGCAATAGCGTCGATACGTTCTTTTGGTATTTCTGTTCTGCCAGAAAATAGCAAAGGCGTGGTAATGCTACGCAATGCGCCAGTAAAAACCACCCCGGACTCGAAGTGTAGGCGCTGGTCAACAATAGCGCGAAGTATTGGATCCTTTGGATATAGTGAATCATCCTTGCCGTATTTCCGCACCAAATAAGCCATAATTGCGTGTGAGTCCCAAATAAACTGTCCATTATCCTCCAAAGTTGGCACAGTATGCTGAGGATTCTTCTGCAGATATTGCGCTGACATATGCTCCTTGGACAAGAGATCTACTGGAATATAGTCGTAGGGCAACCCGAGTGCTTTCAGAGTTAGAAATACAGCACGTACGGGTGGACTTAAGTCTAAACCGTATAGTTTTAATTTTAACATGTTGACGTGTTCAACAATGAGATGCAACTGAGACACGACAACTGTTATTGCCAAGCGATTTGAATAATTCATATCAGCTATGGGAGCTCTGCGGCTTACATACAGAACGGTAGAAAAATACTACACACATTATACTGTTTAATGTAGTGTGAAATCTTTAAGCTATGTTACCATATATTTTTAATAAATACTAAATAAAATTTTGGTTCCCTCAAATATATTTAAGATTGTCATGAGTGATTTATTTTTAATACAAAATAGGGTTTGGTCTATTTTAAAATTAAATTTTAAATAATATGGGCACCAAATATATTGAGATTGTCATGAGTGATTTATTTTAAATACAAACTAGGGTTTGGTCCATATTCAAAATTAAATTTTAAATAATATTGGTATCACTGCAGAAAACTATTAGAACGATGAAAAGAATTGATTTATTTTATATATATTTTTCTTTTGCGAAAACAAATTTATTTCCATTGTCCTTTAGAAAGAAATATGTTAATTTTAAGCATTGACTTGCATCAGTTTGGAAAACAAATGTTGGATTTTATTTCTACTAATATTATAAAGAGAAAGATTTGATTGTTTGTATGCTTGTTCGTTTGAATTGAAAAGGCTCCGAATCTACTGAAGCGATTGAATGGATTCTTTCACTGTTGGGAAGCTACACTAGTCAGTTCACAATCATCCTCGAAACATTGTCACTTTAAATATTAAGACAATATTATTCAAAAGCCCCCAGCCAAATAAAAAATTATAAATCGATCCACACTGTGAATAATATTGAAGACATTTAAATTCACTAAACCCTTCTGGACTGCCGCCACATGAATTGACGGTAAAATTCGGAATTGCAATCATGCTTTTGAGAAATTAAAGCCTTCCAAGCATGTGCAATGGGTCGGAAAGGGTATAGATTTAAGGAAAATTGCAGGACAATTTAAGAACATTTAAAATATTATTATTGTTGTACGAAAGTATATTTTAGTATACAAGTCGTATTGATTTTAATTAAAGCCACATTATATTCATGCCATGTTTATGAAACTCAAGAAATTTCTCCTAAAATACTTTGCATGTCTGATCATGGCTTAATGAGTAAATTGTTTCAACTTTGTTGTCTAGTGTTTTAGTTGATTGAAAACATATCACATATCGCAGCAATATAACATTTAATCGTAATAAAAACACTTTGTTGTACATTGATGAAACAAAGTACATTCAATAAATAAACATTTTTTGTTACAGATGGTGTGAAAGTGCCGAATGGCCGAAAGAAGAGTTTTATTGTTCTTTGTAGTGACGAATGTCAAGTACGTCATGAACTTGAATCACACAGTAAGCTATTTGTATGAATTAGTTCGGTTGCTAGGTGATTCCTAGATAGGGCATTTAGCGGTCCTTGGGGTTTAAATAAATGAAAACTACAACAAACTCACGTTCGACTACGTGCTCTATGGAGAACACGCCAATTCAATTGTCATTAAACTTGCTAATTACATAGTAACATGGGATTAATATCTAGTATGACATGACTTAAACAATTTTGGGGTCTTTTGACTTAATCAGGCCAATGATCCCTGCGACGCCCTTGCCGTTGGCCTCCTCGTAGTAGGGTAGGGACTTGGCCCGTTCCAGCCAGGCAGCAAGCTTTGGATATGTGCTTCGATCGACTTCCAGAAATACTGTCGCCGTTGTGATAACAGAAATGAAGTGGAAGTCGGCAATTGTTTGCATATTTCCAGCCACGTAGGTTTGGTCTTTCAGGTACAGTTCTAATGTGGTGTAGACCTCGGCGAGAGCATCTATTTTCTCCTTTGGAATATTTAATTCGTTCAGGAAAAGCACCTGCTTAAGAATGGCACGAAGGCTAGGGAGAGCTACACTGGCGTTGTAGAAGAGGCGTTGGTCTACGATGGCACGATATTGCAGTTCCTGGGGATACAGTATGTCTGTCTTTCCATATTTGGACACCAAATAGGCGTTGATAGCGTGTGAGTCGCCGATGTAGAAGCCATTGTCATCCAGTGTGGGCACAGTATGAAGTGGGTTCATCTTTAAAAATTCCGGGGTCATGTGCTCGCCGGCAAGCAAATTAACGACCTTATACTCGAAGGGTAGATTCAACGCTTTCAGAGTGAGCAAGACAGAGCGTACAGGCGGACTGCCGTCGATACCATAGAGCGTTATTTTACCCATGTTTACGCTTGAAAATCTGATTAACTAATGTCATACGTAGCCAAATATCGGTCTTATATATGCCAACGCTAAACTCGCCGAAGTGCACTACAATTTATGATTATAAACAGACATATGTATGTACATATACGATTATACCCGGGAACCATGTGCCAACGATGATAACATTCCAACAAACAAAAAAAGGTTAATTTTTGTTGCTTTCTTCACCTAATTCCTTTTCTGGGGAGCTTTTACTTTGTGAGCATTACGAGGCATTTCTGACAGCTGTGGCATGACCGATACCGACATCAACATAACGCCCATTTACTGATAAAGATCCCAACGTTATTTACAAGTACATAACACATTGTAGCTTTTTATAAGCTAATAACTAAAGATAATAACTCAAGACAGTCCAAACATGAGCATACTGTAAGAGTGGCGCTGTATAACGTTAAGAGTTTCTACAGAACTGATTAATGATTTGAGAGAGACCTCTTGCTGAGTATATTAATGATATATTCGTAGTAAAGGTGTTTCACAAAATTTTTTAAATGCTCACTTCTTAATTTTCCTTTGACATTACCTTGAATATTCGCATTGCAATTTTCGGAGATTTTCCAAACAGTTTGTTGAAAACGAACAATTAAATAATAATTTCAAAAACTAGCTACTAACTACTTATTAACTACTCAAGTTTTACCTTAAGTTTAAATTCTATTTTCGAGAAAATAACTGTTTTCTAAACAATAAAAAAATAATCAAAAATGTTATGAAAAATCAATAAATTTATGAAAAATAATTTCAAGTATTTTTTGTTTTTTTATTTATAGAAAATTATTTATTGGCTTAAGCCAATATTAGCCTTTCTGAAAATAAAAGCGACCGGTAATTTTTAATGGCAATTTCAAAAGAATTTTCTTCTTAGTGTAGATAAGGGGTATCTATAATTATTTGAAAATATGTTAACAATAGCGTACAATTGTTTTTAATCGGCTTTTTAAAAAAGTTGTTTTAGCTGATTTCCACTTTCGGTCAATAGTGAATAAATATGCGATTTTTGTTTGACCTTTGCCTTCAGTAGTTTTCTGTTGTAGAGCTCGAGGTTTAAGAAGCCAATAAAAGCAATATGTATACAACAATATTTTTATTTAATTTATAAGAATAATCATAATTTTATTCTCTTTTTCCATCACTTAAGTACTTAATATGAGAATCGCAGAAGAGAGCGGCCACAATATTTTTTAAATTAATTTAATTTATCAGAAATTTCACAATTTATTTTTATTCAATTTAATTTATCAGTAATTTCACACTTTAAGTCTCGATTTGCCATCACTTATAGTAAGTATTTGGTATGATATTATATTTTTATTAAATTTATCAGAAATTTCACTATTTGATTCTCGTTTGCCATCACTTAAGTACTTGGTATGAGAATCGCAGAGGAGGGCGGCCACAATATTTTTTTATTTAATTAAATTAATCAGAATATTTTTTTATTTAATTTAATTAAACAGAATTTCAGTATTTATTTCTACAATATTTTAATTTAATTTATCAGAAATTTCACTATTTAATTCTCGTTTGGCATCACTTAAGTACTTGGTATGAGAATCGCAGAGGAGGGCGGCCACAATATCTGTATTTGAAGTTCATATTGATATTTTCACGATTTTGATGCAACTTCCCCATATAGTGAGGTTTTATAAAAAAATCATGAGCACCAGATTTTGTTACAAGATCGGAAAAAACACAACAGAGCTTTAAAGGCTTTTTGTACCAATCGCTGCCAGCTATATGATATATGCATAATAATTTTGGGATGTTTCTTAAATATATATATTAATATAAATGTATATATCCGGCAATATCAAAAAATAAAGAACCTTTAGTCGATATTGCTTGCTACAAGTTCTTTAACAGATAGAGTCATTTCGACTTGACCAGATTGCAAATTGTTTCAGATCCTTGCCGCTCACATTTTTATAGTGTGGGACCACGTACGTTACAAGCCTCTGTGATTCGATTTCGAAAACAGCGAAATGTACGTGGTACCCATCAACTGGCTGAAGTATTTCGGTGAATTAATTGCACCGAAGGAGCAATGCGTAACGTCGTCTTCGAAGCATGCATAGATAAGAGTACCATGTGTCAACGACGATAACCTTTGAAATACAATTGGTCTGTTGTTTTCTTCACCTAGTTCCTGTTGTGGGAGAGAATTGACTTTGTGAGCATGAGAGTGCATTTATGTTGGTTGTGGTATGATTAATTTCGACATAAAAGTTAAGCCCATTAAGTGATACATATAGCAGTTTCATAAATACATAATTTGTTTGGTTTCTGCTAGTTAGCATTACAATCGCTTTTAATAGAATGCCAAGTGAGTTAATTGAAAAGTTCTAGAATGAGTCACAGCTTCAACCTATGTTGAAAATACGCTGAAGTTGAAAGCTTATGGGCTGAGTATTTAGTTTTGAATCAGAAAAAGCAATGCCTATAAGTTAGCAAAGCTTACGAGAATATCGGATTTGATTCGAAAAAGTTTATTTGTTTATATTTCCAAATACCAATAATAATGATTGTGATAGATGTATAATACAATTTTGAGACGGTAAGCAACGTTCGGATAAGGCTTTCTCTGTCCGTCTGTTTATCTATCTCTCCGTCCATTTGCAAACAATTCAAGGAAGGAAGCATTTAAATAACCATGCTTGGTACCCAGGTCCTCCTAAAACCGAGAAATACAAATCTTCCATCAAATGCAACGCATTATTTATCCAATTTAAAATCCATTTATTTATTCATTCACAATAGCCTTAAACAATTGTAAAGTTTTTCGACTTGACTAGGTCAGTAAATTGTTGGAGACCTTTGCCATTGGCCTCCGCATAGTACGGTAGGGACTTAGCCAGTTCCAACCAGGCTGCAAGCTTTGGGTATTGAGCCCGATCGATTTCAAGGAAGGCCGTAGCAGTTGAGATTGCAGCAATGAAGTGGAGATCGGCAATGGTCAGATTATTGCCAGCTATATGCGAGTGGTTCTTCAGGAATAGTTCCAGTGTGCTGTAGATCTCTGCAATGGCATCGATTCTTGCCTTCGGAATTTTCGTATCATTCTGGAAAAATAGTGGAAAGACTACAGTGCGGATGGCGGGGAACACTACACTGGAGTCATAGTGGAGTCGTTGATCTACAATAGCGCGCTGTTGAAGGTCCTTGGGATACAGGGTGTCCGTTTTGCCATACTTGCTGGCCAAATAGGCGTTGATGGCATGTGAGTCCCAGATAAGGAAACCATCATCATCTAAAGTCGGCAGTGTGTGCTGAGGATTCTTCTTCAAAAATTCTGGCTTTAGATGCTCCTTCGCAAACAGATTGACGATTTTGTACTCGTATGGCACATTGAGGGCTCCTAGTGTGAGCAGAACGGAGCGAACTGGTGCGCTGCCATCAATGCCGTAGAGCGTCAATTTTCCCATATTAACGATTATAAGTCAGAGAAGATAGTACTTCGCGTGGGTAAATGCCGGCCTTATATAGAGCTTGTAAAGTTTTCAACTATGTAGTCACATACAGACAAAGAAGAGTATATGTATGTATGTACACACATACATATATCTGTATGGTGAAATGTGAATAATTGTTTTCGTTTCTATACAAATTGTTTGTATTATCAAAACAGAAGAAGAGAGAGAGGGAGGGAGAGAGAGAGCGCGATAAAGAGAGAGAGCTTTCCGCTTGTGAGCATGACACAGCAGATCTGACACTACATACATATGTATGTATATGCAAGTATAAGTGCGAGTATATAAAGTTTTATATGTATATAATTAGTATATGTATGTGCATTTGGTAAACATGGCTGTTTATTTTTAGATATACATATGTGTTGATAGTGAAAATCAAAACAAACACCTGTTTCGTGATAAGGAATATTGCCAAACATCGACTGCTGGCTTAGAAACAGCGAGTCCGTCACTCGCTAATAGCAAATACGTGATAGTAGTATAAACAAAAGCTTTTCATAGAATGCTAATTGAGCAAAATTCGTTTGGCAAAGCTCAGAAAGGCAACAACTCGAGCTGTTGCCATAAACAAACGGCCACCCAAGCCGCTGAGTTCAACAGAATCATTGCTATTAAGAACTTTATTATCGCATAACAAATTAAATGTACATAGGCGCCTATATATGTATGTATATTATATGTAGTTTATGTTTACTGTAAACTCTTAAACAATGGTAAAATTCTTTGACTTGACCATATCGATGAACATCTTCAAGCGTTTGCCATTGGCCTCCTCATAGTACGGCAGTTTCTTCATGCGCTCCAGCCAAGCCGCGAATTTGGGAAATGTGCCGGCATCGATGTCGATGAAAGCGGTTAGGGAGGTAACCACAGCAATGATGTGGAAGTCGGCAATTGTTAGATTCTTGCCAGCCATATAGTCTTGGTTCTTCAGAAACATTTCGAGCGTAGCATAGACCTCGGCAACAGCATCGATACGAGCCTTTGGGATTTCCGTGACATTCTGTCGGATCAGGGGAAAGGTGATGGCACGCATTGTCGAACCAATGGTGCTGGAATCGTAATGGAGGCGCTGATCGACGACTGCTCGTTCCTGCAGATCTTTCGGATAGAGGGTGTCTGTTTTGCCATACTTGCTGACCAAATAGGCGTTGATGGCATGCGAGTCCCACACATAGAACCCATCATCGTCCAAAGTGGGAACAGTGTGTTGTGGATTCATCTTCAGAAATTCCGGTGTCATCTGTTCTTTGGCAAACAGATTGACAACCTTATAGTCAAAGGGCAGATTCAGCGCGTTCAAAGTCAGCAAAACAGATCGCACTGGTGGGCTGCCATCGATGCCATAAAGTGTTAGTTTACCCATGTTGTTGTCTCTTGGAAGTTAAGGTGTCTACTGTGGTGGTGTTCGAAAGCCGCCGGCCTTATATGCAAAATAAAGTCTCTCTTTTTTCGCAACAAGCTTTAGCAGCGTAGTCGTGAGTAAGCATTTTGAATGCATCGAGCACGTACATACTCGTATGTATGTATTACACATCAGGTTTATGAAATTCTCCTAGTGATAAGGCGAGTGTGAGTCAAGCCCCCCCGGTTTTTTGCTTGAGAACAGATGTTTTGTTGTCTTGATATCCAAGCACTAAATAAACAAGCAATATCTAATAAAGCTCCTTACAGGCATTCTACACTAACAACTGCAACGTGCCTCTAGATTTACACAAAAGGAGAAAGAAGCACAGTGGACGCAGACTAGATTGAAGTTACGACAAAAAGAATCTTCGAGACTCAATAAACTGATGGCACTTAACTTTAAAATATAAGATAATTAGTTGGTTTTCTTTATTTGAAATTGAACTTGGAACTACGTTTTCTAAAACGAACTAATAGTCTTTAAATCTAATACTGAGAAGGAATTTAATTTAATTTTTAACTTTTGTAAATCAAACATAATAAAGCTTATAAACAGATAGATACATATAAAGAATAGTTTCGGTTAAAAATGTTAAATGAAAATGAATACTTTCAAATAAAAACTGTTAAGAAATCATCAAAAATGTTATAAACATAAAAGAATTGCAAGGCTTTAAAATGAAATTTCATATTAGGTGCTGCTTTTACTTTAGTATTTGATTTTAATATGACCTTTAATTTGTAGGGTTATTTAAAATATAGAAGATAGAATGTTTGCTGTGGCTGCAGAAGGGTGTTAAAAATCAAAAGAAGTAAAATCCAGGCGATCATCTAGTCAGACGGACAAACAAACGGGAGGACATGTCTGAACGCTATGTCTGATGCTGATTAAGAATATAAGTAAGCATATATGTACATACTTGATGTTTTTTTCTGCCTGCTACTCCCTTGACACAAACCTTATACATATATATACAAATATACCCTTTTACCCTTTAGGTACAGGATATTAAAAATAACCCAATACAACTCTAATTGAGGAATAAAAGAGCTTGCTCGACTTACTAATCAATTTTTCACCTCGTCGGAGATTCCATCTTTTTGGATTTTTCCCTTCAATGGTAAACGAGTTAGCTATTAATTAATACTAAGTTTTCTTTCTCTGATCACTTTTTTATTCGAAAATTTAATTTTTTTACCCTGTACCCAAAGGGTGAAAGAGTATACTAGTTTTGTGCGAATGTATGTAACAGGCAGAAGGAGGCGTGGTAGACCCCACAAAGTATTATATATTATTGATCAGAGTGACAAGTCGAGTCGATATAGCCATGTCCGTCCGTTCGTCTGTTCGTTCGTCTGTTCGTCAGTCTGTCCGTCAGTCTGTCCGTCCGTCTGTCTCAGAAGGTACAGGAGCTAGAATGACCAAACTTTGAACTCAAATTTGGCATATACATCCAGTTTGTGGTTATGTATCCCTATGCCAAGTCATCATGATTAGTCAATTCTGAAAGGAGTTATAGCCACAAATAAAATCGCTGCCCAAGCTCTGCCTGCCTTAATTTAATTATAATAATATTTTTAAAATTAATTTAAAAACAATTTTTGTTCGTTATTTCCTTTTTAATGGGCGGTACAGGGTATTTAAGAGATGAGCTCGCTCGACTTTAGCATTCCTTTCTTGTTTTAAATTTTTGTTTTGTTGGTCTATTAACAGTTGGCTGTGAATCGTCCGAACGGTAAATAAAACATCGAGTCAGAGGCGGTTATAAGATGTTATTGTAGTTTTATTTGATTTTTAATATTTCGGTTTTTTATAGTCTTGATTTTGTAAACTTTTATCTGTCCTAGGATGGACAATTAGTAAATATTATGATAACCTTGAAAGTGAGATGAACCGGGAACCTTCTCAGCAACAAACTCAGATTGTGGGTCAAGACCTTATGCATGCAGAGATAAAATAAAATAATTATAATTTGCGATTGCGAGAGATAAGCCAAAAAGTATTTATTAATGATATCGATTAGGTTGTTAACATATTTTGACACATTTAAAGTAACAATCATTTATAAGTATATAAGTCCATTGGCAAAAAATTCATTTAGGTGGGAGATATAAAAATGTTTAGAGTTAGAGTTGATTTAAAAATGTATTACAATAAAATCTTGGTGGGTTAATTATCTGCCTTTGAATGAGAAGTCAAAAATCGTGTAAGCTGCAGTTCGATAAAAAATATTTCGTATGGTAGAAATGATTGATTAGAAAACTGAAATATCAAATTGTCATATTGTTTGTGCTCAAAGAAAACTGGCGGCTCTACAGGGTGTATTAGTAATACTTATAGATATACAAGTAATTACTTGCTCAGCTACTATGTGTGCCAATGGCTTTGAAATGAAAAAACTTCACAATTTTGGGTGCAAAAACTAGGCTTTGTAGGTGCCTACAAGATGACTCTGTATTTGTATATTTAATCTGAATGACGATTCTGTTTGCTGCAGTTTTAGGGCACAATCGTAAAGTTCTTTGACCTCATCAGGCCTGAAAATTGTGCCACACCACTGCCATTGGCCTCGTCATAGTAGGGCAACTGTTTCATCCGCTCTAGCCAGGCTGTCAGTTTTCCATATTTGGAGGCATCAATCTCCAAGAAAGTTTCCAGCGAGGTGAGCGTGGAGACGAAGCTGAAGTCTGCTATTGTTAGCTCCATGCCCGCTACGTAATCATTTTCAGCCAGAAAGGTCTCCACAAAACCATACACTTCGTCCAGCGCATTGATTCTAGACTGCGGTATTTCCGTTTCGTTCATAAATAACAAGGGTCGGACTATATTTCGCAGTGCTCCGATAAACATCATACCAGAGTCGAAGTGCAAGCGCTGATTAACAATGGCACGCTGATATGCATCCTTGGGATAGAGCGCACCGTTCTTGGCATACTTATCCACCAGATACGGCATTATGGCATGCGAGTCCCAAAGAAAATGGCCATTATCCTCCAAGGTGGGCACAGTGTGTTGTGGATTCTTCTCAATATAGTGGGGCGCCAAGTGCTCCCCAGCCAAAATATTGACCAGCACATAGTCGTAGTTGAGGTCGAGCGCCTTAAGCGTCATAAGAACTGCCCGCACTGGTGGACTCGCGTCCAGGCCGTAAAGCGTTACTTTAGTCATGACTGCGCGTTAGGAAATACTCAGCAACTGACTGATTGGCACAAAGTTTGTCAGCCTTTTATAAACATATGCCTGTGCCCTATTTAGATAAATACACGTACTATATCGTGCGAATAAAAATTTAGAAACAGTTGCTCCCTATAACTGCCTTCTGAATAATAAATGTCCAGAGCACAAGAATCAATAAATTTCATCCAAATGGCTAGTTCGTCAATCAGGAAAGCCTGACAGTTGCTGACAATTGCGGCTATTAATTGGTTTATTTAGAATGCATACGAAAATATAAAATATAATTATGGGAACAATTCAAACTTGTACATCGGTCAACGAGCTCTTCATAATGCCAATGTGCTTTTTCGCGCCCACACCATTGACCTCCTCGTAGTAAGGCAGCTCGGCAATGCGCTGCAACCAGGCGGTGATCTTCGGATACTTGGCCTCATCAATGGGAACAATGCCGGGCAGCGTGGATACGGTGGCGGCGCAGCAAAAATCGGCAATGGTTAGCTCATCGCCCGCAATGTACGGTTTATCGCCGAGGAACGTCTCCACCAGATCATAGCCCTCAATGATATTGCCGGTCTTCTCCTTTGGCACCACGGTCACATTGTTAAAGAAGAAGGCCACACTGACGGAGCGCAGTGACATGAAGAGAACGCTGGCCTCGAAGAACAGGCGCTGATTGACGGCAGCGCGCTTCACCAGATCCTTCGGATAGAGCTCATCGGACTTGGCATATTTGTCAACCAAGTAGCAGCAAATCGCATGAGAATCCCAGACCAAAGTGCCTTCATCATCTAACAGTGGGACAGTGTGTTGCGGATTCTTCTTCAGGAACTCCTCCGTCATGTGCTCGCCTTTCAGCAGATCCACCTCCTTGTATTCAAAGTCCAGTTCCAGGGCCTTCAGGGTGAGCAGACAGGCCCGCACCGGGGGGCTCAAATCAATGCCGTAGAGCACAATTTTCGACATCACTTTTTTTATTTTTTATTTTTATTTTTTTACTAGACAGAACGTGCGGCCTCCAGCAGTGCGAAACTCAGACTGAAACTGTAATCTGCGACTGATGTGTGTCGCACTGCCGGCACTTCAGAGGTTTCCCATAACAGCGTAGAAGATTTTCTATGGGGCGTCGGCTCTGATGAATTTTAATAAAAGCTAATGGATGTACTATAGGTGTGCTATAGTAAGTAAATAAGTACTACGCGAGTTTGTCAATTGTCAGGTAAATGCTTTTATTCATTAACAGCTACTAGACTTGTATGTCTGTGAGATAGTTTCTCATCATGGTTATGTATTTTTTGACGCCCACACCATTGCCTTCCTCGAAATAGGGCAATTGACCGAGTCGTGCCAGCCAAGCCGTTATCTTTGGGTATCTTTGAGGATCAATGTCCACAACGGCCGGCAGGGAGGAGACTGTGGCTGCACAGCAGAAGTCAGCAATGGTCAGTGTGGATCCAACGATATACGGTTTGTCGGCCAGAAAAGTTTCGGTGAGTGCCAGAGCCTCGTGTATAAGATCTGTTTTCTCTTTGGGTACGACGGTGATGCCTTTGTGGAAAAAGGCGGCGCTTACATTTCGCAGCGACATAAAAATAATGCTAGCATCAAAATATAGACGTTGATTGACAGCAGCCCGCTTCACGAGATCGCGCGGATAGAGTTCGTCCGATTTGCTGTATTTATCGACCAGATAGCCGCAAATAGCGTGCGAGTCATAAATCAGAGCTCCATTGTCCTCCAGCAGTGGCACTGTACCCTGCGGGTTCTTCTTCAAGAATTCGGGATTGCGATGTTCACCCGCCGCTAAGTTAACCTCAACATATTCATAAGGAAGCTCAAGCGCCTTCAAAGTCAAGAGGCAAGCGCGCACTGGGGGACTTGGGTCCATGCCATATAGCACTAGCTTTGTCATTCTGGGAGGTTTTCGTTGTTTACGCTTTGGTGTAGAATTTCAAATTGCCGGTAATTCTTTGGTGACGCCAGCCTTTGTTTTTTACTGAAGCTTGAAAGCACAACGAAGCTTTTTGGAGAAGGTCGGTTCTAAGAGAGAAGTATGTATATCTTTTGGATAGTTATAAAAAAATAAAAACAACTGGAAAAGCTAAAGTCGAAAGAATAATTACAGAAATTTAAGCAAGAAAAGAATGAACTCTTAAATACCCTGTACCAAAAAACTAAAAAAAAGTTATACTATAAATAATAAAACATTTTTAAAAATTAATTAAAAACTTTACTGACCAAGTTTGTGTAGGTATGGAAAATCGCGGGGGATTGAGGGGTGCATCGTAAAAAAATTAATAAACTTTATCTGCATACAAATTTGGAAATTTTAACTCTTATACCTTCTGAGATCCATTCGTTCATGCAGACGGACAGGCCTTTTGGGGGTTTGCCACGCCTTCTTCTGCCTGTTACACATTTCACCTCCCTCAAACTTAATATACTCGTGTCATTTCATGTACAGACTATAACTAAATACTTAGCTATTGATTATATAGAAAATATTAATATTCCATAAATATTAAATATTAATCCATTAAATATAAATATTCCATTACAATAGTAATTAGCGCAGCAGCATTAGAAACAGTATCCAAACAATAATACAATTTAAATGTATTTCAATGTAATCTATATATATATAGTCTAGTATTGCTGTTCATGATGAAATCAAAATTTCAATCTTGTTAGTCTTCTCTGGCATAACGTTTTGTCATAGAACTTCTGGCGAGTATAGTAGCAGCGATTTGTTAAAGCTTGAAAGCTTTAAAGAGCTTTTCGACGTAACATGTACGGATATCTGTAAACATCAAATATATTCTCTTTTGGTTTCTCAAAATATTATATGGGTATCATCAGATATTTGTATTAGCAAGGTCTTAATTATTCCAAATATAAGTTAATTATAGACTCGACTACGTTAATGAATAGAAATAATGGAATGTTGACGATTCATGGTGACGGAAAATATTGACGATTCAGGCTCATGAGGCACTTTATGAAACCCAATTATGCTCGTATTAGTTTTTAGCCCTTGACTCATACTAAATAATTACAAGTACAATAAGTATATATTGGAAAATCATAGCTCCCAAAATTTCACTTTTCTCTCATTGGAATTCTAAAATTTTAAATTTGTAGAGTACCTTCGAGAAAAAGCACGAATAGATTGTATTGAAAAAACGAAAAAACAAAATTATTCGAAAGGGATTCCACTTACAAAAATTTCAATTAGCTTTCGGTGCTCAAAATGTTTTTTTATTTACAGCCAAGAATTTAATTGTTGCAGCATTTTAAGTAGAAACAAAATAAATAAAATCGCTATTTAGTTAACGGAAGGATTCCTTGATGAAATTTGATTTGATTTCGACTTTAGAGCTTTCAAAATATTATCAATTTTTTAAAAGTCTTGGGGAAAGTTCCTGACTCCCGGTGTATAGAGGTATGTCTACTTTATCATCTCTCTCCCATTCTCGTTTATTTTAAAGCTTTAATTCTAAGTACATTTAACTGAATATGCATTTGTTGAAGGCATTAGACTTGTATATCTGTCAGACGATTTCTCATCATAGCTATGTACTTATTGGCGCCTACATCGTTCAGCTCTTCAAAGTACGGCAACTGATGAAGTCTTGCCAGCCATGCCATAACCCTTGGATATTTCTCTGGATCAATATTTAATACTGCTGGAATGGATGAAATTGTAGCTGCACAGCAAAAGTCGGCAATTGTTAGTGCAGCACCCGCTATATATGGCTCAGTGCCTAGAAAGGTTTCAGTCAGTGCCAAAGCCTCCCGTATATTGTCGGTTTTTTCCTTTGGCACTACAGCTATGCCCTTGCGGAAAAAGGCAGCGCTTACATTTCGAAGCGACATAAAAATTATGCTGGCATCGAAGAACATTCTTTGATTGACAATGGATCGCTTTTCAAGATCGCGCGGATATAGATCGTCCGATTTGCTGTACTTATCGACAAGGTAGCTACAAATGGCGTGCGAGTCGTAAATCACGACACCATTGTCTTCCAGCAGCGGCACCGTACCCTGTGGACTTTTCCTTAAAAACTCCGGATTGCGATGGTCGCCCTTAAACCAATCCATTTCAACATACTCATATGGAAGTTGAAGTTCTTTTAAAGTTAGCATACAGGCCCGGACCGGCGGACTCATGTCTACGCCATATAGCACAATCTTAGACATACTTTGCGGCTCTGGTGTACACTTAGAGTTTCCAAGCAAGACTATTTAGATCTGCGTTGTTTAGATATTTTCTACAGGTTGTTGGTGCGGTGCCATTTACAATGTAATCTCTGTTGAGGTTGAGCTTTTTTCATGGCCTTTTAAGAATGTGGAAATTGGACGGGCTAATATAAATGGTAAACAAAACCTAATGCAACTTTATACGCTACACTTTGTATGTAATATATGGCTATATAATTTTACAATCTCTAACTAGGTGGCTTTCAGAGCTTTTTAGAGTAAAAAGTTTATTCCGAATGCTATGGACGGTCGCGTGCTAGTTTTTATACCCTGTACCCGTAGGGTAAAAAGGGTATATTATATAAAGTATATATATTCTGAATCAGCATGACGAGAGAAATCGATCTAGACATGTCCGTCCGTCCGTCCGTCTGTCCGTCCGTCTGTCCGTCTGGATGAACGCAAGGATCTCAGAAACTATAAAAGCTAGAATAACCAAAGTTGGCATCCAGATTCTCCTTGGTCCGAGAAAGGACGAGTTTATTATTATTTTTTTTTTAATTTTCACCCCCTTCCCCCGCTACAGAATTTTGTCAATAGCGTCCACATTTCAAATGCTACCTAAACCAAACTTTGCACACATAATTTATATATATTCTACTGTTGTTCAAAATTTTATTCAATTCGGTCAATTCTAAGAAAAGTTATTAGCAAAACAAATTCTCGCCAGTACAACCCCCACAAACTGCAGCAACAAGTTCGCTCTTCTTCTTCCTCTTTTTGCTACTGCTATGGGCGCATATAACTCAGTGACGGAAGTTTACCTGGGTAGAGGGTATTACACTGTCGGGCTTGCTCGACTGTAGCGTTCTCTCTTGTTTTTATACTCTGTACAGGAAATGTACAAGAGTATATTAGGTTTGCGCGAGCTGAAAAATGTAACAGGCAGAAGGAGGCGTGGCAGACCCCACAAAGTATATATATTCTTGATCAGCATGACAAGATGAGTCGATTTAGCCCTGTCTGTCTGTCTGTCTGTCCGTCCGTCCGTCTGTCCGTCCGTATGATCACCTAGATCTCAGAGACTATAAGAGCTAGAGACACCAAATGTTAGTCCCAGATGCCTTATGTGAATACGAAGAAAATGTATATTTTGGAATTTCCCTCCCTTCCCCCTCTCCTCCGCAAATCGCGATTTTCTCTAACTTCCGTAATTCTTCGAATTTCGAAATTTTGCAAATACCCCCAATTAGTTATTATGTGTCCGTATGCCAAGTTGATGCTTTGGTTGACTGCGAACATGCTTACACAGACATGAATAGATGCGCATAGGCATACATACACTCACACAGACGCAATTGCTATGTAAATGTGCAATTATACACCATTTACATGAGTTCGAATACCGATAAGGTAAAATCGATCAAAATTTTTTTTTTTAATTTTCTTAATTTTTTTATTTTCTTTAATTATTGTAAACATATGTACAGAGTATTTCAAAGTCGGGACACCCGACTTTTGCTTTTTTACTTGTTTTTTATAGGGCGGGAAATCTCTTGAAAGTACATAAACTATTTGTCCCTTTTGGAGGCCGAATTTATTTTAACTCCGTTTTAGCTTTTGCCTTATTTAAATTACTATTTCATAGATTTTATGAACAAATTTCTAGCGGATTAAGATATTTTTCATTTTTTTTCATTTTGTATTTTCTTGAGCTTTCGGCTTCAGTTGTTTTTCAAATCGCTCCATAAATTCGTCGGTGAATTGCATTTTTTCGAACTTCCCCTCCAATCTAGCTGACCATCGTCGACTATAGAGTATAACATGCTCTGGCTGTTCTATACTTTCATATTCATGTTTGTATTTTTAGTGAATTCCTTAATTAATTTTAAGGCAACTAAATAACTTAAAGTAGTATAAAGAACTCTCTAAATAATTAAGCTTCAGACACTTTACTCATGAATAATATTAATATACAATTTTTAAGTTATTTGCCTTCAAGCTTTGTAATTCAATGAGCAGCATTGTTAATAGCAGCTTTTCTAATACTCTAACATGCCATCTCAGGGACGCAGAATTTTCGACAAGTTAGTTTAATTAAAACACAATTTATTGGTATTTATTTGGAATAAGATTTACGTCAAATATACGATTTTCTTAGCTTTAATTTATTTTACAAAATAAAATTCAACTCAGCAAAATATGAAGTTCGTAATATTTTATGTTGAATTGGGATCAAGTTGGGATTTTTATTAATTTGTTGTTTTAGATGCTTTGTATAAATAAGTACTAGTGTTTTAAGTAGAGATTAGGCAATTGGCTAATTTAGTAATATACAAAGTTGAAAAAATTAAGTTTATATTAATATGATTATTTTAAAGTGGAAAATTTTATTTGTTTATAATTTTAACCAAATCTTTTCATAAAAGTAGAGAAATTGGAAACCGACCGCAAGAGAATTGTTTTTGTTTGAAATTTGGGAGATAAATTTTTAAAAGAAAAAATGCTTGATTTTCAGTTAATATTTTTGTCTCATAATTTATTTATATTACGAGTACAATCTTCCAGCTAGAAGGAATAATTTATTCGTCCAGGAAGGGTTGATTGCGACCTAAAATGTTAAATCATAGCCCCCATTGCAATGCATTGTAGTGACGCTTCTGCCACTGTCAAAATAAATCAAAACCTGATAAGTCTGACAAACGCACAGCTCTCAACAAATATTGGCACAGTCTAATTATATATAAGCACATATGTATGTACGAATACATGTGAAGCAGGTAATGGCAATTGAGCCCACTTATCTCAGCATTAATAAACAATCACGCAAAACTTAAACTTGCAGCATTATGACGTCTTCTTTGGTAGTCCATGATAGCTGATAGGAAGCCAGATCCACAGCTAGCCCCACCTGACCCCGCCACATCACAACTTATGCGATAGCTATCAGGTTGCTTGCATTATGTTGACATCATAGCTGGTGGCGGTATCTAATCTTAGTATCTAAGCTGCTTTAAACTTAACCTAATCACCAGTGGACTGCCTTGTCTGCTGTCAGTTGGCAATTGTGCGTCTTACTATATACACCACTTGACATCCACCTCCGGTGTCTTCGTGAAGATGAAGCTTATACTCTACGGTACTGAAACGAGTCCACCGGTGCGAGCTGTGTGTCTGACACTGCGTGCTCTGGGGCTGGAATATGAGTTCCGGCAGGTGAACATGCAGGCAGGCGAGCATCTTGATGCGGAATTTGTGCGCAAGAATCCTCAACATACGGTACCCATGTTGGAGGACGTGCCGGACGGCAGCGCTGAGGAAGGCCAGTGTATTTGGGATTCACATGCCATATGCGCCTATTTAGTGCGCAAGTATGGTAAAAATGACGCACTCTATCCGAAAGAATATTTCCAACGCGCCATTGTGGACCAGCGCCTGCATTTCGAGAGCGGAGTACTTTTCCATTCCGGCTTCAAGCAATTGCAACGGCTGGTGTTCAAGGAGAATGCCACCGAAATACCCAAGGAAAAGATTTCCGAAATACATCAGGGCTATGAGCTGCTCGAACAATTTCTCAGTGGCAACGACTATGTGGCAGGGGCTCAGCTAACCATTGCCGACTTCAGTATTGTGTCGACGATCAGCACATTGCATTTAACCTATGCGCCTGTCGATGGCACCAAATACCCCAAGTTGTCGGCCTGGCTAGCACGGGTGGCCACTCTCTCCTACTACGAGGAGGCCAATCTGCAGGGAGCCCGTGCTCTGGCCGAAAAGGTGCGTGCTAAATTGCCAAAACAGTTCGATAAACTGTGGCACAAGGCATTTGCGGAGATTAAAGGTGGTGCGGGAAAGGCCTAATGTAGTCAAACAGGTATTCTTGGGCGTAGCCGCTTTAATAGTAAACATTTTAAGTCGCTCCATTGAATTTTCGAATTGATTTTTCGAAATTTGGTGACTCCGACCTGCAGAACAGAGTCTTTATTCTAAGTACGCTTTTAAATATAAAGATAAATAAAGAGGAAAAATATTTTTAAAAGTTGTTATATATATTGTTTTTGACTATGCATACACAGAGAGGCGAAAATGTTGAATTTCAAATACAGACACGTCAACAAATTATTGCCCGATTTTGCTACACAATTTATTTACAAGTAGATTCCTCATTTGTCTTAAGATCATTTGAATATGTCCTTCGAATTAATTTAAGTACGGCTTATGTCTTAAATATACGTTTGGTTATATTGCAATTTTAGAATGCTATTTTTCTACCCGTGCCGTTTGTTGATTTACCAAATAAATATAAAAAAAAGCGATATTAAATGAATCTATGATTAATATTGCTATATAGATGAACAATGAACATGGAGATATGTCAAGCCATAACAGCTAAAATCTCCAGAAATGGAAGACTTGTCTTATCTACACGCAGCGGAAGTTTATTGCCAACCATATATATATTTTATTATTTTATATATATTGCACAGGACCGATCTGTACAAAAATGACTTTTATTCATTTTTTTTTAATTTGAAGAATAATAATATTTCTATCTATCTTTCTATTTCTATAATATCCTAAAATCAGTGCACTATATAATATAACTGCTATAGAAACAGTCGGTGGCAGAAACCACTCTTCGTGGCAAGAAAATATTTGTTTTGTCAGTGTTTGCCATTTCAGCTTATGAATTGCTTAGGCAAAGGGGTGAACACAAAAATAAAAAAATTTTGCACATAAATTTGACAATGTGTTGCGAAGATATGAGCTTATCTATTTGATAACATACAGTGTGTAACTAGAAGTTTTTTTTTTTTTGAACTGAAAAGCAACTACGATATTCAAATATTATGCAGCATTGCCAGTTAGTTATGAAATTGTTGGCCACAGACCGCAAAATGTGCACGCCATGTGCAGTGAAGCGTAGCATCAACGTTCGGTTGTCTAAGAATGCAGCTGGCAGCGTGTAATTGCAAATTGTTAAGGATCTGTTGGGTTGGTTGTGGTTGCGTTCTGGTATCTGTGGGTGCGGCTTATAATTTTTGTTTGAAAGCCAAGCGAAGTGCAAAACTTTGCTTTTTAAGTGTTGCTTTTAAAGTGTGCTAAGAGAAAGGAAATGTTTGGCAAACTTTAAAACTTTTGCGCTCATTAAAATTAAAAAATTGTATGCCTTTCAGCAAGAGCCGAAAAAGCAAAAACAATAACTTGAATATAAGAATCGACCAAAAAAAAAAAAAATAAAGAAGCGAACCAAAATGAAAAGCACAAAGTTTTGTGCTGTGCGGCGCTTCGGCGTGTCGTGCATGCTAAAGTTGTTAAATCATAATTAATTTATGATGGCGGCAGTTGCCGTTGCCGTAAATGTTACAGCAATGGCTGCCAGGCTGCACACTCACACACTTAAACACACACCTATACACACTCGTACAAGTATATGTATTTACCTGTAGCCGGCTGTGTCGTTTGTTCGTTCGACATACAGCAACGTTTAAAATATACTTAAAAAGCAGCCCGACTGCTGCTCGCCTGCTACCTCCAAGCCACCCCGCCACCCATCCTCCTCACCATCTCACCACCTCAGCTGCCGAGTCTGTGTGAGCCGCCTAAATACCTGGAGTGCGACTGCTTCACTAAACGAGCAGGTGGGAGTCGCCCTTTTGACCCCGCTCATGCTTTTTTGCGCTTCATTGCTGCAGCGGCAGGCAAACTAATTGGTTTAATTTCAACTTTTACTTTGGAAGACGCCCAGACCTATGTCTGCGTGGACCTGGACCCGCCCTCCTTGTCGCTTGGCAGGGCGTCGTCAGCGCGGAAGCTTTACGCTTCGCTTGCTTCTTCTTTTGCTTTTATGTGCAAGTTTTTTTTTTGCTTGTCTACAGAATTTGCCTTTTCCTTTTTCCCTTTTTTCCATTTACGTATTGCTACCTTTTCGCGTCCGTTGCTTCCTTTGTTTCATGGCACTAGCTTGGCAAGAAATCTGCTTCCCATGCATTCCCCCCTCCCCCTCACTTCATCGAGTCGTCTGGCCAGGGACAGTTTCAATTTACTCAAGCTTTTGCTAAAATACTGTAGCATACTTTTCGGTGTTCATTGGAATATAAAATGTGCGGCCCTTCATTGGACTTCAACTTGAGAGCGTCTGTTTATTTAAACAATTACTTATAGCTTGTATTTAATGCTCCTCAAAATGGGATACTTCTCATCCGCGCACTGGCCTCGAAAATCGTCCAGTGATATGTCGAAAAGAGCAACTCCACCCAGGCCTTTTGCGTGTACATATCCAGCCTTAATCGCCGCCGATGTGGGATCTTCGTAGCCCACCCAGATACCTTTCTCACCTTCATCTTCGGCAGCGTGATAAGCATAAATGCCAAAGCGCTTAGTTGGATCCCCCACCTTGCGCAATGGTGCCTTGTCTTTGTTGAAAGGCACCTGCAGCAATTCGCAAACTTCGGGCCAGCTCAGTAGACCGGGAACGCCCGTTTGCTTACCCATTGGTGCAGCTCCTTCGGTGGCTGGAATGGGCGGGTAGCCTGTGATGCCCGAGTCCCGAGACATTAGCCAAGCACGTGCATAGGTGGCAACACCAATGTGCAGCTTCTGAGCATTGGCCGTTTGATTGATCCAGTACTGCACCTGATAGTCCAAATTAAACGAAGGTTCCCGATCGTACATGGCATAGAGAGGCGCTGGTATATCGGCTACCTTGGGATTGCGCTCAGGCGTTTGGAAATCATAGGTGCCCAGATTAACAAAGTCGACGTAGTTCATAACGCTAGCCACATCAATGAACACTGCAAAAGTTTTGCGAAATTAGCATCATTTCCATACTATTTTCCACTTCAAGTTAATGCAAATTATAAGCTTTTGCGGTTCTTGGTTGCACTTGAGAGTGATTTGAAAAATAGAATCAATCAAATAATCGGAATTCTCATTGCTTTAGGCATTTAACTCGGCAACATGACTCTAAAACAATTTACTCACATGAGGCATCCACATGCGGCAACATAGTCAGCGACAGTATACCGTTCGTTTGCATTTGTACCGCCAGCTCTCGCAGCAATGTGGCAAATTGTTCCTTATGCTCCTCCGCTTTTTCATCGATGGAGGAGTTTTTAAACCAACCTTTGAATGCATGCCAAGCCTTTTTAATCGCACCGCGCTCAACCTTTGGCTTGTTTTTGGGGAACTGCCAGGCCAAGTCTAGACCATCAAAGCCAAATTTTCTCAGCTCTTCAATGGCACTAAGCTTAAAGCTATTCCTCCTCTCAGGCTCCTCTAGCAATCTCAAGTAAGTCTCCGTCTCCACAACACCTTCAGAGTTTAAGTCTCGATCGCCGCCCACAGAGAGTAGAAAACGAACGTGCGGAAATTTTTGCTTGAGAGCAATTATGTGACGATAATGATCCTGGTTGTATGTGAGCTGTGGGTTGAGGCTCTTCAACTTAAATGTTTCGGCATCAATTCCAGCGTAGCCGTAGACTAGAATGTTGCAAAAGCCTAAGGCAATCTCTAATTCACGCAGGGAAAGTTGTGCGGGACCTACAAAGAGACAAATGTTGCAATGAGGGCAAACGAACAAATAAAAACGAAGCACAGATAGAAACATCAAAGGCAGCGATAACCTCTAAAGCCTCAGATGCAAAGCATACAGCAGCATTTCAAGCGGTGATGAATGAACTTATTGTGTGGAATCTATTCCATTCAATACGAGTTTTTCTATTTTCCACACTCACCTTCTCTGACAAAACTTGCCCCATCGTAGTAGCACACAAGTTTTCCCACATTGCCGTAACTGCTGTGCCAAAATAGACACAGCATAAATATTACTGATATCCAGCTGTTTGGCATGCTGCTCTGGATTTAAAAAATATTTAACTGCGTCGCTAGAAGTCTCGATTTAAACTGAGCTAATGTACTACAAACTGATAAGATTTGTCACTAAAGCTTAGGCAAAGCTTTAATAGATTCAGAATTGATGTGTCGCAGTCGTTGAATATTAATGCCCTTTAAATTTCAATTAAAACATCAATGTAGCAAAGCAAGCGCCCGTAAATGTGCCACAATTTTCATTTTTTGTCTGTCTGTCTCTCACACCATCCCATTCCTTAGTGCCATTGTTTGTAGCGCCCACATTTTATTTATGCCCGTTGCTCCGACCGTTGCTCATCCATGGCGAAGCAAAAGTCTGTTATTTTTATCATCAAGCTGTGGCATCTGGTGGTCAGTCAGCGAGTGTCCAACCCAACATACTCGTATACCACCTACATATACATATACATATACGTACATACATACAAACATGCAGCGAATTGCCATTAGTAGCTGTCGCATTTTCTGTCGCCATGGCCAGACCAGTGACTGGCCAAGTGTCGGCCCTCATGTCAATATCAACGTCAGTGAAGGTTCACTGCACACGCACACGCACTTGTACACAATCCCACACCCACACCCACGCCTACACACACCCTGATTCTCACACAATACATACATATATGTATAAGCAGCGCTTAAATACATTAAGGCACTCACCGACCGCCCACGAAAATACATCCAACAATAAGGACAAATCTTATTTGATATTTAATCGAAGCAATGATGCTCTTTAAAATGTGTATGTACTGTGCAGTTATAGAGTTTATTTAATGTATAGTATATAGAATTTATTTTTTACATATATACAATTTATTAAAACTGTATTCTGCTACCAATATGGCAGCTTAAGCTAGTTGAAAATTAATGGGGAATACAATAGTTGTCTATAGTATGCAGCTATAGGACGCACTTATATGTATGTACATATATTTACAATATTTTAGATTTAATGGGATATATATTTAAGATATTTTATTCTATATATTTTACACAAGGGATCTCGTAGGGAGATCCTTTGGATGGCACTTCTTTAGTCTTCTCTTCCTGGGTCTGGAGAGCAGCCGCCGCGCTAGTGCGTTGTTAGAGAACAATTTCATAATATTGTACAATATAAAAATCGAATCTAACTAAGCAATTTCGCATCTTCTATCAATAGGTCAATAAATTGGAAATTAAATTTCTACGCACATTTTAGAAATTTTATCTGCTTAATATAATTGTCTGTGTCATATCACGTAATATTCAAGTTAATATCAAATTTCTTTGTTACTAAACAAAGGGAAAGAATATGAACTCAGAGTTTAACATCATCTCTAGCCTTATATTTCTTTGGATGATTTTCCTCCATCACTTATAAACTGTAAAAACACATTTTATATATATTTAAGTTGTTAAGGCTTTTTAACCTGTACTCTTTATTATTAACTAATTATGGATGCACACCAATTTATGATGCCAATTTTTGTGAATAAATATAGTACAATGTAAAAATCGAATCTAACTAAGCAATTTCGGTATTTTATAGATGGTGGTTTTTAAAACCTTTTTTTTGTTTGTTTTATAAATGTGTCTAGCAATTCAGTACAAGAAAACATTTTATTTTATCTCACTAGTAACTGCTTGTGTATTTAAAATACATGTTTACACGATATTTCTATATACTACATATTACATATATCTAGATACAATATAGTACAATTGAAATAACCCCAATTTTCTAGTCATTTGTAAAGTTACTCTAAATATACTTCTAAAAGATAAATCTGTCATAAGCACAATAAAAATCTTATGAGGTCGTTGAATAAAATCCATTTTTGTTTTTTAGAATAATGGAACCCGATTGTGCATACAAAGTTTGTAGATAAATAAAATCAATAATTTAGAATAAAATAAAATAAAATTTAATGGAACTTCTAGATTATACACAAAGGACATTGTTAAGGCAGCAAAGTCAGATTAGTTAATGAATATTTTTTAATAATTATACCCAATGGAAGGTTTTAAGCTTAACAGAGTGGGAGCAATTGGAAGCAAATTTGCTTAAAACTCTTGTTGAGAAGAATGAAGAATCGCATTTTTGAGACAATAACAAAAAAGAGAAGTCTTATTTAATAAATTGAAGCCATTTAAATAAATTCAAAATTATAATTCCTTTAAATTTTTAAATATTTTGCAAGTGGTTCTATAGTAATGCAATAGAAAAAAAAGTGTTTACCCTATCTCTTAATATTTAACAATAACAATTCTTATCAATTACCATTATTTCGGCGTTATTTTGTTTTTAAAACTTTTCCGCAGAGCATGCTTAAGTCAGTCGTTTTTAAGCAATAGCCATTTTTTTAATGTATTTTGAAATTTTGAAATATATTCTCCAAAGATGCCGAGTTAACAAATGTTGGAAATTTCCGATCAATAATCGTGAAAATGCATTTAAATATTTGGCTTATAGCAATAATTCTGTTCATAGCAATAAATATCGCATGTACTTGTAAATAGTTATTTAAATATTAATTACTAAACAAACCAATCAGTTATCAAATTTCTTACGAGCCGCATTCAAAGTCTTCGCTCCATTCGCGCATATCCTATTTGGCTAGAGTACGTAAGCAATAACTCACTATGATGATCCAGACTCACGCCCACTAACGTCGCCATCAATGGTAACAACGATGACATCATGCACAGCGCCATTTCAATAGTCGAGCATCGAGGAGTGCCCTTCGGGGGCTTTTACTCTTGACGCTTTTGTAGTTGATTAGCAATTTTCCTCACGTGGCAGCATTTGTAGAACAAAAATTGTTGTCTGCTCTTTGACGTGCTGGTCGGGCGTCAAGATGATGTTGGTCAGTGGTCAGGGAACATAGCTGATAGATTTTAAGTGATGCATTGTGCATTGTAGGGATTAAACAGAAACGGAAGGATGTTGAAAATATATTGAATAATGAAATCTGCTGGCAATGGCTCTTGTTGGTGTTTTGCTCAGTTAATGCTGCACTTCAATGGTCGTATCTGTGTGTTTGCCATTTCAATATAGTATGCAGTCGTTGTTTGATGTACATAAGTACTTTTCCAGGTAAGTCTCACACTTGAGTGAAGTAGCACAGCAATGGCTGATGTCGGTGGGTCCATTAGTCTGAGTTTCTTCTGCTACCTATTCATCATTAAATCCTCTTGACGGACAGATTTGCAATTCTAATGCGCTGTTGGTGGCGCTGTACAACCAATCTTATCCCTGATAGTTTTCCACTTCATAAGTGGTTAAATAAATGTAAATCCTTTGGTAATTACTTTTTTCGTGCCGACGCTCGGCAGCTGCCACTGTTCTTCTGTGTGTATGCATGCGTGTTTGCCCTAATAGATTTGTCCCGAGGGAAATAAAACGCTAAAGCAAAGGCAGTAAAAGGAAAAGGCAATAAATTCCTAAGCCTTGCCATGCGTGTATTAGCACCAACACACACACACACACATACGTGCATATTGTATGTGCGGCTGTTTGCCAGCTTTTTCTGTAACGTATTTATTACACTGTCTGCCGCATGGCTTCATGCTATAATGGTTTATTTGCATATCTAAAGAATTTCATAACCACACATCACGTATACGCCACACTTTGCTTTCAACTCTGACCAAGTACAAACAATTTCATGGCGCGCCTAAAAGATGCAACAAAATTTGGCATTTCAGCCACAGCCATAAATATGATTTTTGCCACTTAAAACGAAAAGCTCATAAAATGGTATACTATTTCAAAACAAACATCCGCAGGCACACACACCCACACCCACACCCAAACACTTAATATAATATAATTAAATGCCAACATCAAACTAGCCACAAAAACCAAATGCAAAAGTAGAAAAGGCACAGCTACAAAACGAATCGGAACAAAACAGAACAGTTGCTATAACCGCAGGCCGTAAAAGCTGTACGACGCACAATGTATTTCAAAAATGCTCGTCACTGGTGCTTCAGCAAATATCCATCGCTATACACACATTTTTACAAACAAACACACGCACACACACTACACCGGCTGAATAATAAAACATTGCTGGCAGTATCAAATAAATAAATATGCATGTTTGCGGACATGTAGACTATAAGTTAGAACTGAGCACATTTGTTCGCGCTAGTTCCAATAAAGTTAGTGTTACTTGGAAAATATGTATACTATAAAAAGGAGAATATTTAATACAAATACAAAATGCGAAAACTGTCAATTTGTATTACAGCTACAGAGACAGCTGGCCACTGTTATGTTTTATTTGTGTTTATTTGAATTTGAATACAAAATGACATTTTTAGTTATATTTGTAATATTTAATGGATTAGTATGTATTATTATTGTTGTTTTGTCAAAAAAGGGCTTGGCTTAAAATTAAGTAATTTTCGTAATAGTATGGTCTTTAAATAAGTTTATTTAAAGGGTAGTTAAAGGACAATTTACAACACAAGCTTTTCATTCTACAAAAAATTTATATTTCGATTATATATCTCTCTTTTAAATAGACTTAATAAATAAAAAACACAAGCAGAGATTGCATATAATTTCTAGGGTCTCTTTTTACAAATTCTCATGCGTATTTGTGCAGATGATAATGAATTTGGGAAATGCTGCTGTATGTGTTGAGTTGACTTGACAGGCTCCTATTAATTGTGTTTTGTTTATTTAATTTGACCTAATCAGAGCTATAAAAAGGCACTTAAAATGCTGCCGAAATTTATGAACGTGTCCAAAATTGTTTGCCATTCAATTTACATAAAAATTAAATGTGACGTCAATAAAGCATCAAATAAACATTTTTTCATCTTCCATAAATAAGAGTAGATCGAAGGTCGGGGAATGAGGAATTTCCCTTTGTATAGTATTTGAAACTTAATTTGTGAAATAAATTGTTCACAAATTGAAATATATGATAGGAAAGCAAATTTAGTTTACTAGTCGTGCATTTAAATACACAAATGTCTTCAATTAAAATGTTAGCAATTATTTTTATATAGAGAGGAGTGTTTTTTGAGGAAACCCCCTTGCTGCCAAAAGTTATGCACGTGTACAAAATTATTTACCATTAATTTTAAATTCAATTTAAATTTTTAAATAACAATTGCTGTCCATCTGGGTGACTAAATGTCTTTAACTAAAATGTTAGCAATATGTAGAAATGACTTTTTTGAGAAAAAGCTCTTGTGCTTCCAAACAAATGAAACCTAACTATACTTTACGCAAGTGTATCTTCTGCTTTATAATGTACATATTAATAGATACATTTATGAACTGTTTGAGTATATTCGGAGCAGAAGATTATCATATATCAATCGATAGCTCAAGCACAGCAATTAAATGAGACTTTTTTGATGAAAAACTCTCGTGTTTTAAATAAATTTTAATCAAACTAGATTGGTGAATTAATAATGAAACCAAAAATATTCATTCAAAATTTAGAAGTTACAAGTTACGTTTGAAATACATAAAACTGTAAAGTCGATAAAAAATATGGATGCCTCTTAGCAAAGACTCTTCATATATAATTTAAAGTTTTTATAATTTAATTCTGAATTAGAGACTTTAAAGTATGTTTAAAGAACTAGATCTTTCAAGGCTATTTTAAAGGACAACTCCCACTGGGTTCCCCAAACAGTGCAACTTTCACACGTGCCATGTTTTGTGTGAATATAGCGCCAGGTTGTGCTTTGTTTTGTATTTGTGTGTGGCACGTGCCTTCGCTATATTTGCACGCCAAATGTTAGACTGTCCGATTGTATGTATTAAAGCAATCGCTGGATGCATTGAAATTCGGTTCAATTTGTACGCCATTCGGATGGGTGATAAACTTTCGAGCAATCTGCCAGCCTCTGCCTCGCAGTAATTAAATTGCAAAAGTCCATGTGCCGGACAGACAAAGACGGCCCCGCTGACGACAATTGCCCTTTCGACTGGCACAAGCACCTAAACGTGTCTGCATATGGGTTCATTTAACCGTAATATTTTTGCGGTGACAAATGTGGCAAAAGTATGTAGCATTCGACCAGCATATCGCATGGGAGTGAGGGGGCTGCCAAGTGTGGCAATGCGGTATTTGTCTTTGTGAATATCAGCAAATGTGAGGGATCCCTTTAGGCATTTTAATGGCTACACCCTTGGTGTTTTATTGGCTTAATTGCCTCAATGTGCGGCTTCCACACACGCACCCACACTCTGTCACACGACGAAGTTAATTTGACCACAATCACGTACATTATACACCTACGATTTGATGTGGATTTCTATTTATACATACCGAGCTACGAGTATATGAACGTAGGGGGTTATGTGTATTCAAAGCACAGTTTAGGGAAACTTGCAACTGAAGAGGTTGACATAATTAAGTTGAAGTATGAAATGAAATGCTCTACAATTCGATTATATTAGTAAATAGTGCTTTTGTTAAGAAGGTATTCGAATGTGGGCAATTAAAAATTTATGAGTGTTTCTCTTTTTTTAAAAATACCAAGCAAATCTTTCTATATTCAATAGCTTAAAAGGAACTACGATATGTGCAGTAATTTATTGATCAAATGCCTTGCTCCCAATGTTTTCTGGCAGCTATTTTGAATCTATATTCAAGTTGGCTATCAACAACAACGTTAAATTACGTTAAACTATCGTATCGTACAATGGCTATGGCCTTCGCCGAGAACTATAAAAAGCGAGGTCGATTGAACCAATGCGGGTTGACAGAAAGGCAATTATTTATAGAACGTGTGAGTGGATAGGGACTTCCGGTCCGTGCGCGTCTAAATAAAGTTCTAGTTCTGGCTCCTCTTTTTCTATTTTGTTTTATTTTTGGAAATAGTTGTTTGCTAGCTTTTTCTTTAAGGAACGGCAACCAGATTTTTGGGATGACAAAATTTCTACATTTTCATAAGCTAGTACTTTTGAAATTAATGTACACCTTATTCTGTTTTTTGCACGATAGATTGGCTCCAGAAAAAAACATGTAAAGAAAGTCATTGATCATATGCAAAAATAGGTGATTGATTCCTTATCTCTAAAACCTATTACAATCAGTGAAAATCATATAACAATAGTTTCTAGCTGTTTGTCAACTGTGTACACACACATTTTTTTAATTTTTATTAATTTATTTTGTGGTATTTTGAATTGTGCTAAATGGAATAAGGTCGTCTAATAATATATACAATTTTTAATTTTCAAACCGTGTTTAATCAAAACCGTGTAAAAACAGAATTAGGTGTAAATGCATTTCATTTCTTTTTTTTTGATTTTGATAGATAGTGCTATTCCCAAGTTTTTTCCTGCTAACATTAACAAAACAAAATAAATTTTACTTGAAGCTGCCTGGGCTCTCAAAGATTAAAGCACATTTGCATGCAATTAATATACAAGGTGTGTTCCAAAGTAAACAGGACTTTTAAAAAAAAACAGAACAAATGGTTTTTTCGGCAAAATCAATTTATTTTATTCAAAATAGTATCCTTCTGCTTCAATACAGGTTTTTGCACGATCCAAAAGCATGTCGAACGAGTGTTTTAGCTCGTTGGCCGGTATGGCCGCCAGTGCAAGCCTTTTGAATGGCCTCTACGTCTGCATAACGCTTTCCTTTCATGGGCAAATGCATTTTTCCGAAAAGGTAGAAGTCGGCGATTGGTTAATGGTTAAAATGTGATTTTTGGTCAAATAATCGGTCACAAGCGTCGATCGATGAGAGCAATTTTTGGTCGTCACTCAATTTGTGCGGAACAAACCGTGCACACACCTTTCGTAAGCCCAAATGTTCGGTGGAAATGCGATAAATCGATGTTTTGGAGATGTTCAATTACAGTTCCATCAATTTCAATGATGGTTTCGGCTGATTTTTGATGAATTCACGCACAGTTTCGATGGAATTTTCGGTGATCACGAATTTTGATTGGCCCACATGTTGATCGTCATTTATGTCCCCACGACCACTTTGAAAACGTTGAAACCACTCGTGCACTCTGCTACGGGATAGGCAATCATCGCCATAAACTTGTTCCATCAATTGAAACGTTTCGGTAAAAGTTTTACCTATTTTAAAACAAAATTTAATGTTGGCTCTTTGTTCGAAGCTCATTTTCGCATCGATAACACAAACATACTGACACTTAAAACGCAATAACTTCACTTCCAATCGATGAAATGCCATGAAATTCTCACTGGACAATCGATAAGGATAGCAGATTCTAACGCACCAGTCGACATATAGATAGCGCCACCAGGGGGCGCTAGATTCAAAAAGTCCTGTTTACTTTGGATCGCACCTTGTATATGTATGTGTTTGTGACACTTCGTATTGCTCCTATCAGCTAATCGATGCGCAATTCAAGGCGACGATTAAAGAGATAGAGCGCGAGCGAAACCTAAACCCAAAGCTACTCAAAGTTTTCTATGGACCTCCAATGGCTATAAAAACACCTCCCCAGTCACACAACAGCATCAGTTAACGCTTTAAAACCGTTCAGAGAACAAACGGACGTTATTAAAATATATAAAAAATATGAAGTGGCTGTCGATTGCATTCGTTTTGTGTCTTCTGGCCATTGCTAGCGGTAAGTCCAAATGTAGTTTCTCAAATAAATATTGGAAAACATTTTGTTTGTTTTTTTTTTAAACACAGCTAACCCCTAAGCCCCGGAGATTTGACTATCGGTAAATGCGTGGAGTGCAACATTCAAACCGTCTAAGCGATGCAATGTTGATGATGCTATTGCTCTAATTTTAATGTGTCAGGATGTGAAAACTATTGATTTAGTTTATGCCAGACTTAAACAATAAACATATGTGCATTTAAATTGTACGTTCTCTTTAAAAAAAAAAAATTCTTTTGTGTTCATTTAGTTTGTAATTGTTATTATTATTATTCTGTTGCAATTCAATTACCAAAGGAACCGAGTCAATCAAGACAAACTTTTACTATTTATTCTGTCTCCTTTTCAAGCTTAAAATCTGGTAAATAAATTGAAAATATTAAAGAAAAGACGTTGAAATGAAAATGCGACTTCTAGATTAAAAATCACTGCCGTACAATAAATTGAATCGCATAATATCGTTTTGTGCGCCAAATGTGTGCAATAGGCAGACTCCATGATTAGACAAATCGATATTTATATAGTATGTCTATCTACCTATCCATCCAGTTGCCCATATAGCCAAGAACAATTAATTATTGTACAAGTATACATTTTATAGTGCTTCATTTTTATTTTATTTTATTCAGAATATTAATAATAATTCTGTCGATTAAAATCTGGTAAATCATAGCTGCCATGGAAACGATTGTTTATTTTTCTTGAACGATTGTGACGTAAGAGGCGGGTATAGTTTATAAAATGTCAGGTCAGACGTCTTTGTTTTAATTCTGATGCTCATATTATGATTGAATGCGATTGGTAGAGCCTACGCTTGAGAAATCTAATATAAATTTACTGCAACGAGTTTATTTTATTTTTTGGAATTTTTCCCCTCTTTCCCGCTACAGAATTCTCGTCCACATTTCAAAAGCTACCCTAACCAAACATTGCACACATAATTATGATTATTTACTTTTGCTTTAAATTTCATCTAAATCGGTTGGTTCTAAGAAAAGTTATTAGCGAAGCAATTTTACTTCGGTACTACGCCCACAAGCTGCAGCATCAAGTTCGCTCTTCTTCTTCCTTTTGCTTCTGCTATGGGCGCATATACCTCAGTGCCGGAAGCTTACCTGGGTACAGGGTATTTCACTGTCGGGCTTGCTCGACTGTAGCGTTCTCTCTTGTTTTAGTTTCTATAATTATTCTAAGCATATGTACAGAGTATTTCAAAGTCGGGACACCCGACTTTAGCTTTTTTACTTGTTTTCTGCTATCATTAAAAAAAACAAAATAAATGTTGCTCGAAGCTGCCTGGGGAGAGCGAAAATATAAAGATTAAAGCACATTTGCATGCAATTAATTTATATGTGTTTGTGACACTTCGTATTGCTCCTCTCAGCTAATCGATGCGCAATTCAAGACGACGATTAAAGAGATAGAGCGCGAGCGAAACCTAAACCCAAAGCTACTCAAAGTTTTCTATGGAGGCGTGTGGCCTCCAATGGCTATAAAAACACCTCCCCAGCCACACAACAGCATCAGTTTAGGCTTTAAAACCGTTCAGAGAACATACGGACGTTATTAAAATATATAAAAAATATGAAGTGGCTATCCATTGCTTTCGTTTTGGGTCTTCTGGCCATTGCTAGCGGTAAGTCCAAATGTAGTTTCTCAAATAAATATTGGACTTTTGTTTGTCTTTTCGAACACAGCTAACCCCCTAAGCCCCGGAAATGTGATTATCAATGGCGATTGCAAGCACTGCAACGTTCGAGGCGGTTAAGTGATGCAATGTTGATGATGCTATTGCTCTAATTTGAATGTGTCAGGATGTGAAAACTACTGATTTAATTTATGCCAGACTTAAACAATAAACATATGTGCATTTAAATTGTGTGTTCAATTTTTAATAAAAAATTAATTCTTCTGTGAACATTTAGTTTGTGATTGTTATTAATTATTCTGTTGCAATTCAATTACCAATGGAACCGAGTCGATAAAGACAAACTTTTACTATTTATTCTGTCTCCTTTTCAAGCTTAAAATCTGGTAAATAAATTGAAAATATTAAAGAAAAGACGTTGAAATAAAAATGCGACTTTTAGATTAAAAATCACTGCCGTACAATAAATTGAATCGCATAATATTAGACAAATCGATATTTATATAGTATGTCTATCCACCTATCCATCCAGTTGCCCATATGACCAAGCAAAAATTAGTTTTTGTTTACATTTTATAGTGCTTCACCATAATCAGCACTATTTCTTATAGCTGCCATGGAAACTGAGGCAAGCCGAGTGATGATCTCAGTTTAGTTTTACTTTAAAATTAAATGCATCGATCCTAATATTCGTCTACTACTCTATTCTCGTCGACTTCTACTTATTAACGTGCCTTGATTACCACTGTAGGGTAGTTGTTGGTGTTCTGTTCCTCCACAAATAGATTGTAGATGATGTTGATTCCTCGTAATTCTTTTTTTCTTGCTCGAGTTATAATTCTTTTTTTCTTGCTCGAGTTATAATTATTTTTTTCTTGCTCGAGTTATAATTCTTTTTTTCTTGCTCTTCAATGAACTCTTCCTTCCCTTAACTTAACTTGCCAGACTGGCGATATGCTTCCATTCCTCCACCGGGTCAGTGATTCTCCAATTTGTAGTTTTTAATTATATTGGCATTGTTTTGCATTTAAGTATTTTAATTTAATTTTAATTTTTTTTTTAATAATACCTTTGTTATTTTTATTATTATTTCAATTTCTTCATCTCCATTTCGCTGGCCCTTCCCCCCATCTAGTTGGATTCGTTATTAGATATTATTGTAACTTTTATTGGAATTTTAACTTTTCCTACATCAACAGCTTTATTTGTTTATGAATAAATAAATAAAATAATAAAAATGCCTAAGCTTTAGCTATTTATTGAGAATCTGCTTGTATTATAACATAAAGATTTCACGCGATTGCGGGCACAAAATGTAACTTAACAATTTGGTTTATTTAGCTTCAATTTAATGAACAATTCGTTGTAGGAACACATTGAGGATAAAGCATGCAACTCCAAAAGCTGCTGCACCAGATGTCAGTGAATATGAGGAACTGCCCGCAACAATAACATTGTCGTCTTTCTCTGGCTTATTGCAATCCACACATTGTCCATTAATGATCACTTTGCCGGGCGTTGCTGTAAATAAATATTAGAACAATCAAAAGTTATATCAGCAAAAACCGCTAAAATTATATTGTCATACCATAGACTGCAGACAAGAGACCAAGTATCAGGAGCAGGGACCATGCAGCGGATTTCATTTTTATTGCAATGCTCGTAGAAGTCTGAGCACAATGAGCGATTCTTTGAACTTTTATACAGAGCAAGCAAAAGATTACAGATTATAACATATAGTATACTTCTTATAAGTAAAAATAGACGTTCAAACACACACAAACAAAATATGAAATTTTCGCAGTAATCTGGGAATTTCCGAGCAAATCTCGTTGTCTGTCAAAGGCCACCCTTAATTCAGCCAGGGTGAATACACGCCTATTTGGCTTTCTACAGATAAGACAGAGTCTATAAAAGTGTGTCTGAATTTAACAGTTCATTATTTATACTACAATTACGTAGATAAAATATTTGATATGTATATATATATATGTATATTAAACAGCGACGCTGTTAAGCTACTTGTATAACGCTGTTAAGCTATAACGCTGTTAAGCTATAACGCTGTTAAGCTATGCCGCTGTTAAGCTATAACGCTGCTAAGCTATAACGCTGTTAAGCTATTACGCTCTCAAAATTCTCTGCTACCCATTCTTTTTTTATTTTTAATCTTTAAAATAAATAGGTTGTTCAAAATTGTCTTCGTCTTATAACCAATTCTTACATGGATTTTGTAGAAGGTTTATCGCGTGCTTCGTTTTGATGAATTATTTCATTATTTCTTTATTAGGTTGGCGAATGTGGGTTATAAACAGAGATAGGATTATTTATATAAGTATTATTTCAACTTCAAAACTCCAGTCAAAACATCTCACAATTATTATACTTCTTAAAATATAATATTTCAGTGAAAAAAAATTACTCTATGATAACATTTTCAGAAAATAGTGCTTCTTAATGGAAAACTAAAAGGCATATACAAAGTATAAATGATATTACAAATGAATCTTAGTAACATTCTTATATGCATAAAAATCAGAATCAACAATTTATTGCCGTGTTCCTTCTCTGCTTCTATTCACAAAAGATCTTTAATACTCATGGACTACAATTTTAGTGATATTCAATACTTCTAAATGCATCTACAATAACAACGAGGGCTATCATGACTTAATGCACATGAAACTGAAATAATATTCCTCTATAAGTGGCTGCCAAGTCTAGATAACAAAATATGTAATGCAAAGTGTCTCCTTTTGGATAGTAGAGGCATGGTGGAGAGAGAAAAAGGCTTTCTTGATTTCCTTTCTTTCTTGTCGAAGAAGTAAAAAAGGGATAGTATTAAAATGTACTGTTCCTTACACTAAATATTGACTTAATTCCGTCTGTTCATAAGAAGCTGCGTGAACTTACCTTCAAAAATGTTTATTAAAGTAAGTCATTAATTCGACTGAACTTTGTTTTCGTCCTTATTTCACACACTGCTCTCTTTATAAAACACACAGTCAAACATATCGATATTCTAATATAAAAAATATATATATTAAATCTTATGAAAATTGACTGTTGATTTAATTTATTTTGCCTTTTTGGCAGGATTTTCAAAATGTTTATTGTTTATTATGACTAATAAATTAGCACTCCAGCTTGCGTTTTTAATGGGTATGCATTATAAACAAACTCAAAAAAATATTTCGTCCTTATTTCACACACTGCTCTCTTTATAAAACACACAGTCAAACATATCGATTTTCTAATATAAAAAATATATATATTAAATCTTATGAAAATTGACTGTTGATTTAATTTATTTTGCCTTTTTGGCAGGATTTTCAAAATGTTTATTGTTTATTATGACTAATAAATTAGCACTCCAGCTTGCGTTTTTAATGGGTATGCATTATAAACAAACTCAAAAAAATATTTAAGTTCTTCATGTATGAATATAAGTTTAATTTAAGTACAAAATCATTTAAAATATATATGAAAAAATAAAATGTTGTACTTAGATAAGAAAGGCTTAAATTTGACTTCACAGAGTATTTGTTAGAACTTTTTTAGGTTCTTTCTTAACTTATTCTTATCTCCAGTAAATGGAAGATGTTATGCTGATGATGAAAACACACGTCCTTAAATATTCTTCAAATAACAACAAATGGAATTCAACTTGGCTTCAACCATTAAATTAGTCTATCATTGCAGCTAGTACTCGTAATTGTTGGTAGGAACGCTCATCAATTATCTGGTAAAAAAAAAATGCTCCACACTTTTGGCAAACAACAAATACGATCCATGTTGTTGTTTTATTCAATATGGTGTAAAGTCTGAAACCAGTATTCTGTAACGACTATCTATTGCAAAGTAATTCTAGAAAACAAAGTTCAAAGTTCATTGGAAACTGTAAAAATATTGCGTCGCAAGTTAAAAAAAAGTAATATAAGGCTAATAAAGTAAGTAAACGTTTGTCAATATTTGTTTTTGAAATTAAATTTTATTTCCCATGATAGTTATTGCTGTTTACGCCTAAAAATTTAGTATATGGCTGTGATTCTACTTCTATCCCGACTCCTTCTGCGTCTTCATCAAATGCCGATTACTTGCCGCCATGAACGTTGCAGACCTTGCAGTCACCGTTGATGATGACATTGCCAGGATTGAGTGGAGAAGCTGTGTATGAGTATATAGAAAATATTTTATTATTGATAACCTTTTATTATCAGTTATTTGTTTAGGTGCTTACCGCTAGCCAACGCCAAGAGGCCGAGAAGAAAAGCAACCGAGAGGAATTTCATTTTGATTAGTTGTGTTAGCTTGGGCTTGACTGCTGGAGCTGAACTGATGCAGCTTTGATTTCCAGCACCGCTTTTATAGTCCCCTATCCGGTCTGTAGTCGCATAAAGTAGCGCTCTCTGTTATCAAGAGTTAGGTGGGAAATATGCATTAATTAGCAAGCGGAATTGCCCAGGCGTGCAAAGCCCCAGTGCCAGTGCCAATGACACTGATCTGATCTGAGCCCAGCCCAGCCCAGCCGAGCCGAGTTGGGTTTAATTCTCATTTGAAGAAAAGAGCGTGTCTAAATGGTGTGTCGTATATGACAGAATGGGGGACTCTCGAATCAGACATACTCGTACTTATAAACATATGCTCAAAACTAGATTTCTATTGCGTCGAATATATTAAAAGCCTGCATCGAGCTTGTATTCCTAAGAATCTGAAGTTGTACAATTATATTATTTCCTCAGAAGTGCTTAAATATTCTGCAATTGCGTTGCTGTCAAGTATTCAAGCTTATCATAAACGGGTTGTATTCATCGCAGACATATAGTTTACATACTTGTACATATCTATACATAAGCTATAATCGCCTCAGACATGACAAGAAAAAAAAGATGTACATAGGTTCAGATAACTAATTATAACGTTGTTTTATTAAATATCTATATTTATTTTATAATATTATATTATAATATAAATCATAGTTTTTCTATATGTATCGACAGCACTATTTGTTGATTTGATAAATAAAATAAAAATAAAATACTAAATATGTACGATATTTTTCTTTGTTTTTTAGAGCTAATTTGTTTAAAGGAAACATTCCACATATCTATAGATGTATGTATGTATTCTGCATACCTGCATATAAATCATATATAATTTATAAATAATAAAATACTTGTATTAAGTTAGTTTAGTACTAAGTTAGGTTTAAGTCATTAAGCTTTATGTGTTTTTTGTATAATTTTTCCCGCTTTATACTGTCAATTGTTTTTTTTTATACCTTGTACCCGTAGGGTAAAAAGGGTATATTAGTTTGTGCAAAGTATGTAACATGCAGAAATAAAGTATATATATTCTGAATCAGCATGACGAGAGAAATCGATCTAGACATGTCCGCCCGTCTGTCTGTTTGTCCTTCTGTCCGTCTGTCTGGATGAACGCAAGGATCTCAGAAACTATAAAAGCTGGAACAACCAAAATTGGTATCCAGATTCTCCTATATCCGAGAAAGGACGAGTACACGGTACAGGGGATTTCACTGTCGGGCTTGCTCGACTGTAGCGTTCTCTCTTGTTCATTTTTATATTTCTCCATTTTGCTTCATTAATTAGAAAATGCTAAGCTGCCGGTTTTCTTAACATTAAAATATCTTTACCTCACTTGTAAAATCATAACGTTTCTAAGATTCTGAATAAATTAGTTTTCTAAATAGGAAAATAATTATAGTAATCTATACTTTTAAGACGCAATTTTATTAAAAAACACAACATATTTCTTAACATGAGGGCTTTTTTAATTTTGCCGCACTTTTTCAAATGTAATAAATGTATTTTACTGAGTGTGTGTGTTTGTATTTTTCTATAATTTCCATATAGTACAACAGATCTTTTTAAGAATTTCACGGAAGGTTAATAAATAGGATATATTTAGTAACTTCTTGAATAATTGATAATTTTGACTTCAAAATCCAAATAGAAGTGACATACATTTAAAAAATTTTAATTTTATAAGATAATTCGCAGAAAAATGTGCACAAATTATTTGCGTCAGAAATTTGCAAAGTCATGGCACCCTTTTAAAGATGAATGCGTATGTAAATAAGTACAATAAGTATATTGCTGACGTTGTAAAGTTAAGAATCCAGTCAAATCACATTGATTTCTTTTCCATTTTAAAAGAAACTATTTATTTCAAGGTATTTCTAACTAATTACTATTAATCTAGCCCTCTCTTAACATGACAACTTTTAATACGAAATCGGTCTAATATGACTAAAAATTTGCTTTTGCTATTTTAAAACTGAAAACTCCGTTCTAACATCCCTCGCTTAACACGGGGTTAAAGAAGACAGAAGTTTAAAGAAGACAGAAGTGACTTGAAGTAATACAAGTACGCTTTTTTTAAAAATATTTTTCAACTTCTATCGTGTAAGAACGATGTTTTTAGGGCGTTAAAGAGAAAAGGTAGCAATTTTTTAATCGTGTTAGACTTTCATATTAAAAGAGGTCGTGTTAAGTCAGGGCTGGGTGTACTTTAGTAATTCAATTGCTTATTTATAGCAAGTATGTATGATTGAAGGCAACAATTAAGGGTAATTATGTTTTATTGCACTCTTAGAATCATAAAAAACAAGTAAAAAAGCTAAAGTCGGGTGTCCCGACTTTGAAATACTCTGTACATATGTTTACAATAATTATACAAAATAAAAAAATTAAGAAAATAAAAAAAAAATTTGATCGATTTTACCTCTCTCGGTATTCGAACTCACGTAAAGGGTTTATAATTGCACATTTACATAGCAATTACGTCTGTGTGAGTGTATGTATGCCTATGCGCATCTATTCGTGTCTGTGTAAGTATTTTCGCAGTCAACCAAACAGCAACATCAACAACAGTCGCGGGCAGCGCTTGAGCAGCGCTGCATCAGCAAATATATTTATGGCTATAACTTCTTGTTAAATCGGTCTATCATAATGAAATTTGGCATACGGACACATAATAACCAACTGGGGGTATTTCCAAAATTTTAGTTCGAAATTCCAAGAATTACGGGAGTTACGATTTGCGGGGTAGAGGGGGGAGGGAGGGGAATTCCAAAATATACATTTTCTGCGTATTCACATAAGGCATCTGGGACTAAAATTTGGTGTTCCTAGGTCTTATAGTCTCCGAGATATAGGCGATTATACGAATGGAAAATCGGGAAAACCCCCATAGGGGGGAAGTGGGGGTGAAAATCAAAAAAATAAAACAAACTCGTATAGAATACACACATAACGCATCTTTGTGCAAAATTTGGTGTCTCTATCTCTTATAGTCTCTGAGATCCAGGTGTTCATACGGACGGACAGACGGACAGACTGACAGACGGACAGACGGACAGACAGACAGACAGGGCTAGATCGACTCGTCTCGTCATGCTGATCAAGAATATATATACTTTGTGGGGTCTGCCACGCCTCCTTCTGCCTGTTACATTTTTCAGCTCCCGCAAACCTAATATACTTCTGTACATTTCATGTACAGAGTATAAAAATGCAGATTCCAAGCTGCTAAGAGGGAATACGTTTCCGAACTCAGTCATTTATATTGTTCTACTTGCTCAGGGGAGTGTGACTGGATTCCTAGAATTGCCACAGATATAAACTTTGTTTGCTTGTTTTATTAATTGTGCAATAAAACAGTCAATGAACTGAATCTGAATTACTTCGTATGAAGCGTCTAATTAGTGCATATTTATAGAAAATATAAAAATGAAATACACCGTAAGTATATGTTATAAATAAATTGTTTTTGGAATTTTATTATTATAATTTAAGTCATTTTATTAAAAGCTATCATAATTATTTGCTGGATGTGACGTGCTGAGGTGAGCTCCATGGTTGAATATTTATGCTCGCACATTGCACCACTTGCAGTCTCCATTAATGACCACATTTCCAGGGTCGGCCACAGGGGAAGCTATGGAATTTAATAAGTTAAAGAGCATTGCTATATTTGTAAGCTTCTGGTATTACTTACCACTGGCCAGAGCCAAGAGACCGAACACGAAGATGGCGACAACTTTGAGGAACTGCATATTGTTTACTGTGTGGTAGTTTGCGTTGAACTGATGCTGTTGTTCTACCAGTTCCAGTATTTTATACGATTGCTCTTGGGTGCAGTTTGTTATATGAAAGCTTCGTGATAACAACCAACACAATGTGTGTGTGAAAATCTCTCAGTACACTCTCTCATAGACACTTGATAAGTAGCAAACGTAAATTCTGTTGAAAATCAATACAAACATAAGTACCAATGCACGCATGTTAATATAAGCAGATAATAATCTTATGTTATCTACAAGTTATCTGTCACTGTTGCATACGAATGTAAGCATAAAGAATATGTATAGCAAAAGTGTCAGTCTCCAATAAAACTCTAAAGCGAACAGACGCACGGCGGTCCGCGACTATTGTCTTTTACTTTACTCCTACTGAGCCCTTCCCTTTTCAGCGAATATATAATCTATTCAATAGGTTATGGGCCCAGGGCATATAGGCTCATAGGAGAAGTTCAAAGTATTGTGAAATAGTAATCGTTTGGTGACTCAAGAAATATAACATTTAAAAAATGAGTGCGCTATATCAAATAGACAAATTGGAAGAGCATAACTATGACTCATGGAGCATACAGATGCGATCTGTCTTAGTGCACGCGGAATTGTGGAGTGTGGCATCAGGTGCTGAACCTAGTAATACTGAGAGTTCAAGGCCAAAAGATGAAAAGGCATTAGCAATTATAACGCTAAGTGTAAAAGCTTCACAATTGGGCTTCATTAAAAATTGCAACACTTCGTACGAGGCATGGAAAAAGTTAAAGGACGTTCATCAGCCGAGTGGACCTGTACGGAAAGTGTCGCTGTACAAGAAATTGCTAGGCAAACGCATGTTTCAAGGCCAAAGCATTTCAAGTTACATACACGAATTTAACGAAATTCTGGATGGTTTGTGTACAGTTGGCATCGAATTAAATGATGAGTTAAAAACAATCGTGTTGTTGTCAAGCTTGCCCGAACCATACGAAAATTTTGTCGTCGCCATTGAGACGCGTGACAATTTACCGTCATTTGATGTGTTATGTATCAAGCTGATGGAAGAGGGAGAGCGCAGAGGCAATGCAGATGGAGAGAGCGAGAATGCAAGAGCATTTATAGCTACGCAGCAGATCGTCGCGCATTCCAAAGCGAATTCAAAAAGGAATTCAAAAATCGTCGTTTGCTACAACTGCGGCGAAAAAGGGCACTACAAGGCACAGTGCAAGCGTGAGAAAATTCGCGGTGAAGGGAAAAAGCAATCGACAAAGAAAGAGATGGAAAAGCAGAGCAGCTTGTTAAATGCGTTGGACGTTGGAAAGATAGA